ATTAATATTATAATTATATATATATATATATATATTAAAAATATACAAATTATATTGTTGATTAAATTTACCAGCATACTCAATAAAATGTTATAACAAAGTCAAATTTGCACAACTGCGAATTTTTCATTCGTATAATTATTCAGATTCACATGGAATCCACAACTAATACTTACAAGTATTGTTTTATTGACAAATGACTGCAACTGCGATACACGCTCGTGTACTAATATTGTAGGATCCGTTTACAGCGCATTTTTACTTGCATCAAACAGCAACTCGAAAGAAAAAGATTGACGAACGAATGCAGGATGAAGACATCGTTCGAATATCTGACTAAAAATGCGCGACGGCATGAATTCCGTTGGAAGAATATGTTGAAGACACACATTGCATGTGACGATATAAGTTAAGTCGATGACGAGCGTAAAAGCTGAAAAACAAAAATCACACTCTCGAGCGGCCTGACGGACTGCTTTCGACAGACGGATAAATGAAGAAGTGTGTGCTTCATTTCGACGAGAGCAGTGAGACGTCGCGCGCCATGCAGGAATTACATTGCGTAATCCACAATACGAATGATACTTTAATTAGATATACTTTTAATCTATCTTGACCGTGGAGTATATCTTTCGCACGAATGCGTTGGTGCCGATATATCCGACCGTTCCGCACATGATGCCCAAGGCCAGGCTGAACAACGCCATGTAACCAAAGTAAAATGCCGTTTGGAAGAGACCGTACATTCTGCGAAAATGAGAAATATTTGCAAACAGGACTTTTTGCGAATAAATTATTATAATTAACATAAGAAACGTGTATCTGCTCACTTGGTTTTGAAGAAGAAGTAATAAAAGGAATAAATGTAGACATAACCGGCCGTTGAAGCTGCTGCAAGAAAGCTCGTCCATTGCCTGCGGAAGATATTCACGTTACACACGCGTCATGTATTCGCAATATGCGATGCAAACTTACCATCGATAGTCTTCAGCGTTCAGCAAGAAATATGTACATACAATAGTGACGCACACCGTCACAATCATGAGAATAACGAATACTAGTAGCATAAAACCGTATACGTAGTAGATCTTGTATGCCCAAAACGAAGTAAAGATGAAGTACCTGAAATCATTGTGATAAGATTAGCGCGCAGGTTGCATTTGATTGAATAAATTTAAGACGCTAATAAAGAATCCCTACATTTCAATGAAGATCGAACCGAAGGGTAAGATTCCGCCGAGCATTATGATCACCAGCGGCTCCATGAACCACTTCTTCTCGGGTATAGGTCGAGGCACCGCGTTCACACGGCACGGAGCGTCCGGTGTCCCGGCAAGATTTCGCCCAAGAATCGTGCCTACTAGTGTCAATGGTAATATCACAAATATGCAGATACACGTCACCGCAACCTATAATGCACACAATTGACATGATTATATCAACACAATACACGCGATAGACACAGAGTGACGAGATCGAACTTGATTAAGAAGTATTCCGTACCATCGATCCAAAGGGTATCGCTCGGCTGGCATGATAATACATGGCAATGAAGTTGATGAAGAATGCGGTGCCGCAAACCATGAGCGGCAGCATAAACGCGCTGAGGATCATCTGTTTGATCCACACGCGTCCACCCATCCGAGCATACAGTCCGCCGCCTGCGTAACCGTTGATGGGCGACGTGGCAGCATACACGAATATCGCTGTGGATAGCATTGAGCCGCGTTCCGTATAAAGCTCGCCCAGAATAGCAAAAATGATTACACTTAGTACGACCACTGTGACCTGTATATAAAAAAATAACGTCGCATTTACAATTTTATCCTATTACTTCAAGTTAGAATATGGGAATACAATGTACATACCTGATAACCTGCACCAATGAGAGCTGAGAAGAGCATAGCGTGACTCGCAGGTCTAAACACGTCTCCATGGACCTGTTTCCAACCGTACTCATCGCCCAAATCTCTCTCCATGTCATCCATTTCTTCATCTCTACTGTATCGAGCATAATCCTTTCTCAAGGTACGCATTAGAATCATAGATACAAGCCCAACAAGGAAGATCACCATCATAAAACTATTGAAGATACTGAACCAGTGTATCTGAAAAGATAATGGTATAATTTGTATAAAATAAAACGCTGCGCTTTTTGTTTCACAAAGCATATCATGATGAATAGAAGTAAGGGGGAAAGTGGGACTTACTCATTATTTTGTTCATTGAATTTGAAATAATGCATGCCATTATCATGCACTATTATTAATACTATAAATTTCTTCTAGCTAGCATTATCCCAAAATTATTTGTTATTCAAGATATGTAGAAACACTGTTTATAAAAAAAGAAACTTACTCTATGCTGGAAGAAATTGGGATCCAGATACTTGTCGAATCTGTCCTCAAATTTAACGTTACTCTTCTTCCAATTGACTTCATAGCTGAACGGTATACGCGCGCCCTGTACAAGTTTTACTTTGTTTTCACTGGTCAGGTTAACATCTACTATTTGTTTACCATTGTATCCGATATCAAATTTTTTATGCGTCCAAATATAATAAGAATCTGATACTGCAACTCCATCATTGTTTTCCAATTCTCCTACAACACCTACAAAATGAGAATTATTTAAATAGCAAATTTTTTATTATCTCAATATGTAGAAATAATTAAAAAATGTTATATTAATTACCCCATATTGGTAAATCATCAATGTACATTTGATACCAGTACTGGTTTTTTATTGCATATACAAATGCCTTTTGGCTTTCTTCATTTAAACTTATCTGGCAGTATTCTGTTTTAGAGATATCCTCTGAAACACATTAAGCATTTATAATTCCATATACATTCTTAAATAATCAAACAAGTTTATTTTTAAACATAATTATATTTTCTGTTCCTATATTATTATTATAAATATATCCACCTTTGAATTCAATATCTAAACCACTGAACTTCAATTCAATGCCCTGCAGAGCTTCTGAAAGAGTCTCATGATAATGATTGATAACGTTCTTGGTGCCCGTACAAAACGGTAAGGAATAATAGGAGTACGTCTCTTGACGATTGTGATATGGCCCCACTGTGCTCATCCATAGAACAACCTCATCGCCATCCTCATACTAAAAACAAATAACGCAATTCTCCTAATGGCAATATTTAGGATATTCTTTGTTTATGTCACATGAGTTCATTGCTGATATTTCATGAGAAAAAAAAAGTGAAGATTGTAAGAAAGAAAAGACATAATTAAGACGGAAAAAAATGACATAATTAAAACGCAACCATGTTGCAATATTGAGGCGAAATTCACCGGCGGCATTAAAGCGCGATAACATTCGAAGTGCTGATACGTGTCGAGTGTTGCCGGTATCGTATAAATCCCTCGATGTGACAGAGTGCAATCGTAGATAGAGAAAAAAAGAGAGAGAAAAAGAGAGGGAGAGAGAGAGAGAGAAAGAGAGAAAGTGAGGCAATGTAAAGCAAGTTCCTCGACGCGACGTTTGGCCTTTAAATGCCAACCGCAGGTGACAATCCGCCATTCGCCGCAGAGTAGAAAAAATACATTAACATCATACATGATACAGGATGAATATACTTACGATGTGAGTGTGCTCATCGGCGCGAGCCAACGAGGGGAGGAGGCTGAGCGCCAGAAAGTGGAGTAGTAATAGTCGTGTTCGACGCATGTTTACTTCTCGATTGGTGAACGCTGGAAAAGGCGCGCCAACCCGGCCGGGCGCCCTTTACGCGTACGCAGGAACGACAAATTCCACCAACGTGACGCGGCGACGACGACCGACAATCCCCATAGATTTTCGTAGATGTGCCAAAAGCGCGTTGCGGGCCTAGCAGAAACACCGGACACGCACACGGGACGGACGGACACGTATCAAGAATGCTGAAGCGATATATACACTGCGGCCGTTGATACGCATTGCACGTCGACAAACTTCGAACGCCGCACCACCAGATGGCACGCGCGACGATTTCGCGCTTAAGATGCGTTCTAAAGACGCAACTTATTTTTAGGGTATATCCAGAACTTGTAGAAGTGCATAAGCATATGTAAGTTTGTTTATTCCTTATGGAATAACAAACCTACTTTAACTATAACCTATTTTAACACACTGTTATAAAGCAAATTTCTCTTTGATTAATTTTTTAAATAATTATTAACTAATACTGTTTTAGATTCATAAATTTGGAGCAAACTCTTGAGAGGTGACTGATAATTATCGGTAACGACCCGTTTTTCTATGTGATAAAAGCTTAACGGTTAGCCGCTTACTTATCGACATAACCTCTTCTGCATGTTCAATTTATTTATATACAATCTAATTTAACTTTTCGAATCGGATTATTGTTAGTTTTCTATCCATTTATTCAGTGGAATATTCTAATTGTATATGATAAAACGTATATATAAAATAAAAATAGCACTCAAAAAATATAATTCTTGTAAATTTCTTGGTGAATTTATCAAGTAATCATCAAAAAAGATAGATTGCATTTGTTTTTGTGACTGCAAGAATAAAAAATAAATAATAATGTCAGGGCCAATGGTACTGTGCCAGCTATGGATGGGTGGTGTGAGTAAATTATTTAAATATTTGAACATGTGCACTGTCACACACACAAAACAGTCTTTATACAAATTATTGATTGAGAATTAACTGATTCACAGTTGGAACCTTATATGACTGAGAGTTTCATCATGAATGCATTTCACAAGATGGGTGAGCAACCACAGACAGTGAAGGTAATGCGGAATAGATACACTGGCGAGCCTGCAGGATATTGTTTTGTACATTTTCCAACTGATGAAATGGCACTCGATGCAATGCACAAATTAAATGGCAAAGTAATACCTGGTTCGAATCCTGTAAGTATATTACAATAAATTTAATACAGACATCTTACGCGAAGTAGTTATCGACTATAATTATTTTAATGTTACCTGATATTTTACAGCCAGTGCGGTTCCGCTTAAATCATGCTAGCACCACAGGAAAACCTGCTGCTGAAAGAGAATTTAGCATTTGGGTAGGCGACTTGTCCACTGACGTAGACGATTACTCCTTATACAGAGCATTTGCCGCAAAATATAATTCAATTAGGACAGCAAAAGTTATTTTGGATAGTTCTGGATTTAGTAAAGGATACGGTTTTGTCAGATTTGCAAATGAGGAGGAACAGAAGAATAGCCTTATCACCATGAATGGTTATAGAGGGCTTGGTACAAAATCTTTGAAAATCTGCAACGCTGTGCCTAGACCGTGGAATAAAATATCCGGGTATGTTTAAATTATACATATTGCATAAATTAAAAAATTAAAAATATTAATTTTTAACATTAAATTGCATAGAGAAAGAGCAAGAGAGAATACATTACTTATATTTGTTTTACAGTTCAACACCACCACAATCAACCTCTGATTATCCACCTTCAAACATGAATTCAGAGGCATATAATTATTACGATACATCATCTTATTGGAATAGTTACAGTGCTTGGCAACAAGGCTATTATGAAAGTGAACCAACATCAGATGCTTACAACAGCTATGTATCGGATCAAAAACCTGAGGAAGATGAATTAGAACTAATTGGTACATCACTTGTTTCTCTTTATAACGAATCATACTTTCTTTAATGAATATTCTTGAAAAAATTACTAATTCTTTATTTTATATATATTTTTCTTCCTTTATAGAGCATTCCATCCCCATTGATATTGACAAGGCAAATAGAGAAATAATCGAACAGGACTACAATTTGTGGGACGCTTTGGAAAGTTCAAAATGGATTCCCTGCGACACTATAGAACTGTGCTACTAATTATTGGAAAAAAAATTATGCGCGGCTTATACCGAGAAATCACAAAAAAATAACTATGTAATACTATGTCTCTATTATATATAATAAAGTACAAAAATATAAAAAACATATTTCAGGATCTTACTTTTAAGTATAGTTATAAAAATCTTTTATCAACTCTGATATGTTGAAAATGGTCAGACCATCACTTTTTCACTTAGTCAAATTTTTGACTAAAAATAAATTGACCTCTCTGCTAGTAAAAGATTTTATTCGATAGTTGCGGCAGGTTGTTGCACTTATTGTAATAATGTTGCAAATCAATTTTAGTAGCCAGTAATATCTTACATAATATAACTCTGTCATGGCAGTATTTTTAATGCTGACAATTCATAACAAGATAATGCATAATACTGCAGTTAACTAAATAATCTTGTATAAAATTCGGCTGTATATCACCTTCTCATAAAAAAAATGTATATTACACATTTTGCACATACACTGTTTATCTCTTATCACAATAGTAATAAAGTATTACCTCCGATTTGTCGGAAAATAAATTTCTCTTAATAGAAAATTGTTTGCATGATACAAAATATTATGTATGAAAAAGTTGCGTGCAATAGAAAAAAAATTTTACATGTTTTATGTACATAAATAAAAAAAATTGTATTTTTTTTATTCCACAATCCACGTAAGTTAATATTTAATCCCGACCAATCGGAGATTCGTAATGCTACCTATTTACAGCTAAATGCAACACAAAATGAATTTTTATAATCGTTTACCCTAATCGATTCGGCATCTTCCGATAATGGTTCATTAGTTGCCGTCATCAGGAGCTTCGGGTGCAGATCTACCACCAATTACTACAGGCGTCAGATTGGGCTTAACTCCCGTGCCGACGCCGTTGACGTTTGGACCGACCATGTAAACTTGTAAAATAGTGTCCTCGGGATCCTCTTCAGATTCCTTCGACACGATCACCAAGGATCCCGGTTCCATCTGATTGATATTTGGTATCGCCATACTTTCAGGCGTTTCCGCATTTCTGCTATCCTCAGCCGGTGTATTTGCCTCCTCTGTGACCTCTAACGATGTCGCGGTCTCGCTATTCAGCGACATCGTATCCTCAACACTCTTGTCGAGCATATTAATGTCGGGTGCTCGCAATTTCTTCACCTTCGGCTGTCTACCAGATCTGGTCGGTCGGACTTGATAAACCTCTGGATCGCTCTCCGAATCCGCTCCATTAGAGCTCGCGTAAGAACTGTTATTGTCGGATTTGTCGGATCTGTCGTCCGCGCGTCTCTTCAATTTTCGCGCTTTGCTTTCCTTCCTCACTTGCTGACGCTGAACACTGCTTGTCTCGACATTCGCTTCCATCGAAGCCAGGTCGATTTCATCGCCTGTCATCGATACCGTCGCATCTTCCACTTCTGGATCGTTAAAAGACGACGATTCGCATTCCCCGATACTACCAGCTACTAATCCTGTAACCATCCATTAAATTTATTTTTTTTTTAATTCTACTAATTTGTTAATCAATTTTTTATTTTTTAATATTATTTCACAATGAGATTAAAATTATGGTACACTCACGACGTTTGAGTCTCCTGGCCTTCTTGGTCACGGGCTGTCCATCCTTCATTTTTTCCGACATCTTTTTAATCGGCAATTTGTGATTTTCAATATTTTCTAAATTTTTTAACATTGCTAAAAATAAAACAAATATGATCAGTTGCATCGTTTAAAGAGTGACGCTTTAAATTTATTATTTATTATTTATTAAAATTATTACAACAATACCAGCTTTTGTGAAGTATATACTTTTTAATTGATTTTTTTCATCTACAAACTTTTATTTTTTTTTTCTACTTCAGCATTACTGACTGTTTGCAAAATAAAGAAAACTGCAAAAAGCATACCTAATTGCTCCTCAAGCATTTCCGTATCAAATTCTTGATGATACTTCAGAGCTTTCTCGACCAAGTGACGATTAACTCTCTCCTCTTTCTTGTACTTTTGCTTGATTTCTTGCCTAGTTCTGTTTGGGAAAAGCGTCTGCATCAATAAGAAATCGGGACCCACTACATTTAAAACTCTGTAAAATTTAAATGTCTCCCAGTTTGGCCAATCCTTGCTCCTCTTGTGCTTTTTATAAAAGCCACCACTGCGGCTGTTATCATCCTCAATAACAGCCTCGCTCGCCAATATTTCTCTGCCCCTTTTCGCGCCCGTTTGCTCTATCACGAGACTCTGCTCGTCTATTATCAACTGACCGTCGGGGCCGACTTTCACTTGCGGCGCGGGTATTGCCGACGGGTCGTCCTCGTTCTCTTCTTCCGGCACTTCCATCGGTCTACAAAGAAAATCACATTAAATTTACCAAATTTTTTTATATCGATATAGCATTTCACACTTTACTGAGAAAATTTAATGTACTCACTGTAATGTAGTTTCTTGCCTTTGTACGATTGCCGATTTTTTCATAGGATTCGTCACGGGATTGTAATATATCAAGTCGTACATTTTCAACTGACTCCTATCAGGCGTTCTGTTTTCGTGCTTTAATAGAAACTCTCTTCTGGCTTCGGCCAATCTTCTCGCAGATTCCGAAATCAGCATACGTCTTTTCTGCGTTGTCTTAATCTTCGGAGAATTATTCTGACTATCGTTGATAACGCTTTCTTTATTGCTCTGCACGGAGCAAACAGAATCGTTTCGTATGCGGTTTGACACGACGGACGCCGCTCTCTTGCCGTGCTCATCTTCGGATTCGCTCGCACTCGCGCCGCTTCCCTGTATACTATTTTTTCTCACTCTGCCACTGCTGTCTAATCTTGGTGTGGGTCTCATAAAGCAAGAACGACTCTGTGTTAGCTTTGTGGGAGAAGCTAAAAAAACAAAAATATTAAATTATGTATGCTTAATGCACAAGTTCTCCCATTCACACAGAAAAAGAAAGTTATCTGACAAAAATAAAACAATAAAAAACAGTGATAGAAGAAAAAAAAAAGAGAAAAAAAAGTAAAGTTTGACAGAAATAAACATTTTTAGAAGTTTAAGTTTTTTTTCAATGTATATCTTTTCATCAAAATTTTTTATTTTTTTATAATGATAGACTACCTATATCTATTCCTGTAGGCACATCTGGTGGTGGAACAATTTTTTGAACTAACTGATTAGTAACTTTCTCACATTTGTTAATCTGAATGTATGGTTCTTGAAAAGTTGATTTCACTGGAGAACATAATTTTTGAGAATTTATTATTTCAGTCACAGCTGCTTCTGGTTGTATCAAATTGATTTTTTTGCTTTCTTCCTTTTCAATAGTTTTCTCTTCCACATTTTTAATAGACTCTCCATCTAGTTTATCAATACTAGATTTGTCTTCTTCTTTCTTAATTTTTATAACATCTTCAACAGCTTCTTGTTCTTGCTTATCAGTATTAGGTACATCTTCTATTTTCTGTTCCTTATCAGGCACATCGCTCGCATCAGAAGAAACTACAGTATCTTGTATAGTCTTTTTTCGCACTGGCACAGCAGCCAAAGCTTTAATACGTGCTCGACGCATGCTTGCTGTATGTATAAATCTTTATAGTAAAATCTGAAAAATAAACATCAGGGAATTACAAAGTGATGAACTACACTGCCGACTCAACTCATATATAAACTACAAATATGTGCTTAGTAAGAATCAATAAACTTATACTAAATCGTTGATTAATAAAAATTATTACATATTGATTGCTTAAAATTATAAACAGATTCTCCAGCTGCTATAATGTGGAAAAAAATAACAATAGATTAATGGTACAATCAGTTAATAAACATCTACAAACTATCAAATATTCTTTAGCCACTTTGCGTAACATTTCTCTGTATTGTGTTCTTTTGCGTACTATTGTGAAGTTAATGTAATTTTCGCAGAATCTAAATGCATAACTTTGCATAATGACACAAAATGAAGACAAGTGAAAGTACGTGTTGAACCACATGCTCATTTAGAGGTTAAGTTCATTGCATACTTACGAACGGTTTGTTATTTTGATGCAAATAAACGGCGATTTCCTCGAGAATCAATGAACATCATCGTATCTACTGTCGAAGCTCAAGCGACAGCACCGCAATTATCTCGTTACCTCGCAATTATCATACGTTTTCACGAAACGTATGGAAGTGTAGCACGCGACCGGATCAAGCCAAATGAGATGCATATAAATACATGTGAAAGAACGCAGAAAGATTGTTCGTAAGTACCAATCATTGTGTTAACTACGCGACCGCGATTGATATTGCGAGTCTCAGATATCTTGCGCACGTTTTTAGTTTGTAAACATACACAGATCGTCACACAACGACTTTGATGCCGTCTCGGTAAGATCAGGCAAGACACAACTTTGTGGTTATGTAAGGTGAATTTCATGCGTACGCAGTTACGATAAAGCGCCTTGCTCGGATGAGTATGGTACAAAATTGTCTAAATATTTCTGAAAAATTAAAAAATTGTGCAAGATTTGCATACAAGCAAAACAATTCAATTTTCTCTCTTTACAAATAACCATATATTTCTTTTAATGATTACATAAATATATTTGCAAAATGTTACATGTCATTTTATATCAAAAAATTTTACTCTATTTACATACATTTATGGTGATTTATATTTTTAATGACTATCCATAAATTGTATATCTGATAATAATAGTACTGTATTTGGCAGTGGCCTAGGTTGCGGGCTGAGTACTGTGAATGTTTGCCTCTCAACATCCACATTGGTTCTGCAAATTTACAACAATGTAACATGAATATATAATTATTAAATAGTATAACAATAACAAATATATGAATTATATACTAACACGCAAACAAATCCAGCTACATTGGTCTGCACAACGTCATCTTCAGGAGAGTCGGCAAAAGAAACAGACAGTAAGTGATGCAGCAGACTGGGTCCCGGGGTGACAGCCACCAATTTTGTCAAATTATCCTCCGCCTTCATACCCAATGGCATACACGATGCCGGTAGAACAGGCGCCCCGATTTTGTATAATCTCGCTTCACTCCACTTCACCTCAAAACTGTGTGGATACAACGGTGTTCGGGAACCATAAAAATACTCTCTTACGCCTTGATCCCTAGCTTCAGTTCTTTGCGCCTGACTTCTTTCGACAACGCCTCCGCTCTTTGGCAGGAACACAACCTTCACAAAATCTGGCATGTCTCTTACCAGTTCGTTGTAAAGCCGCTCTTGATCCAACACTAAAATTGCATCTACTTCAAATGCCTGTGCAGCATGCGTAAGAAGCTTGTAGCCGTCTCCTTTGACCCAACCACACGTATTTATGACGATGCCTGATGCTTTGGCTTTCTTGTTGGCCTGCAATCTATCTGAGCATACCTCCGCCAAGCGTGTCACAAGTAAATTATACAATGCTACATTGGCCTGTGGCATTTTGTGTCCAAAGTGGAAGACCAGTGGGGCTTGCTGACTAAATCCCTCTACTACATTTGATGGTCGTTCCACTAGCAGAGCACCAACTGTACCTGGAATCGCTATGTGTCCCTGACCGACGTCTAGGTCGACAAAAATCGGTCTTCTGCCCATTCTAACAGCATAATTCAACAGTATTCTACAAAGTGTTGATTTTCCAACGTCGCAAGGACCCACAACCATTGTTATCGGACCCCTTGTGTCGTCCTTCTCAGCGGTTTCTCTCATCCGTTCCATCGCTGCGTGACAATTCAAGTAGAGACCCATAGGCGTCTCCTTTGCCACATAGCTGACATCTGTCTTGCCGACTAACTCAACGGTGCAGCCTTGCCATGTATAAATTGCGACTTTTGCACCAGCAGTGAACTCGTACTTTTTGCCTTTCACCAATTCCGTCCCAAAAACTTCTGCCAAACCACTTTTTAACTGCAATTATATAACAATTTAGATTAATTGATAAATATATTTCAGTTTCAATAGAAATTACACTCTATTACCTCTAATGTAACTTTCTCATTCTTGCTCTCTACTTCGAATCTTAATTCGCAATCCGCATCTAATTTAAATTCTTGCACTACGGATTTTTCATCAGTCATTTTTACAGATTATATACAAAAATTTTCTGAATTTACAAGAATATCATAACCGCAAACTGTTCATACGATCAGAGCAAAATGCAGTGTGTTGTGTGCAATGTTCAACGGTATATCCTTCATGATAATCAGGTCTGTTCTTTATAGCTGAACTGGCTGCAGTTCAGAGTTTATCTTTCTCCTTCTAATATGAAGGAAATCTATTGTTTCATCGATAGTGATTCTGGAGAATTTATTGAGGTAGCATTATAAAGTGGCACACCTTCTCATGGTGGACAACATGGGCTGCGTTCCGAAATTCACTGTCAGTACTGAAAATCTACAATATACGTGACGTAAACTATAGATTTTCAGTATTTGCAGTGAATTTCAGAACAACCATATTTAAATGTAAAGTTGGCTATCATGACATCGACGTTATCTGTCTTGTACACAAATTTGCGTTGTAACATCTTTGCATGAAATTGCGTTGTAATCTGTGTTTTATTTGAGGTATATAATTGAATTTTTATATATATAGTATTATTGATATTTCCGATTAATTATATTAGTGTATTTTTTATCAGTGTTTGCGATATAAAATAATATTTCATGTAAAATATATTTCCAGATTCAGAAGCAATTATGGCTACAGCTGGAATACCCAAGCGTTCTTCTCGGCTAGCTTCCCGTGAACCGATTGCGAAGGCTATATCAGAAAGAAAACTCAGATCTGGGAAAGCTATTAGTATCAATAAAAGTGTGCAAAAAGTTAATATTAGTGCGAGAAACAAAAAATTGCGTGTGTCAGTGAAAGATGCACCTCAAAATAGTAGCCAGTCGTTATCAAAACGCTTACGTCCTCGTAAAAATAAAAGAAATTATTGTGAGGATTCCAAGTTGCTGCAATTACATATTCCATCAAAGCAACAAAACAGTATGGTAATATTAGAGAAGTTAAATTTGACTGATAATAAAAAAGTACCTGTGTACGAAACAATAAAGTCTTTTGAGAAATCTTTGAAAGAGAAGAATGATGATGTATATGACTTTACATTTGATAGTGATAACACAGAAGAGAAAATTGCTAAGAAGAGGAAGAGGAAAAGGAATGTTAACAAAGCAAAAGGCAAAGTTAAGAAATCTGTACGTAAGAAAGTTATACAATCGAAACCAATGACTAATAAAACAAGTAAACCTCCTGAGCTTGATACAAAACTTCCTGCTCGAAGTAATTCTTCAGAACCTGCAGAATCAGTAATTATGAAATCAACAAAGAAAAGTATTATGGAGAAGCCTAAAACAGATATGGTTATTCAGAAACTAGAAGAATCAGTGGAGGAAGATATCTCTATATCTAAAGCTGAAACACTAAAAATAAATACAGATATTCAGACAGCTAAAAAATCAATAAAAGAAGATGGCGTGAAGTTGATGGAAACGTCAGGATTAAATATAGCTAGTCAAATAGCAGAAGAATGGGTAAATGAAGATATTATGGAGATGGAAACCATCAAAAAGGATACAAATATTCAAACTACAGAAGATACAACTTTAGCTGACAGAACAGTCGCAAATCAAGACGCAAGCAAGCCAAGAATTATCTCTATCGAGAATGCAGATAATATCATAATTACTAAATCACCTAGAAATATTGAGGACTTGCGGCCCTTTCGGCCAAAAAATATATCTAACAATAAGACGCCGATGAAAGAATCTACAAACACATTGAATTATTCATTATTGACAAAATCTCTGTCTCCTATCTTGAAAACATCAAACACCTTGAATACTGAAAGTCCCTGGTGTCCTGCAACAGTGTCAATGTTTTCTGGAACTAAACATTTTTTGCAAAGTACACCAAATACAAATTTCAAAGTGCATAAGCAAAAAATGGAAAAAAATAAAGGAAATGCAGAGATGAAGAAAGAAAATGTGGAGATAGATAAAGAAAATGTGGATATAAATAAAGAAAATAAATGTATAAATCGCAAAGAAAGAAAAAAGAAAGCGATTGGTATTTATAAGAAACATATACTTCTAAAAAAGAAACTTCCAATGAATCAGATTTCAGAGAATGTTCAGACTACATATGTAAACAATCCTGTTGTAAAACCAGTGCCTGCCAGAATGTTATTTGGAGAAATAAAGAATTTACTACAGACAAACAATAACAAAGATGAGAAGCAGATGAAGCCAGATGTTAATGAAAATGGCAAACAACAGACAACACATGCTGAAGCTGATATACTTTCAATGGAAAAGAATAAAAGTCTTGTGGATCTTGTCAACTTTTCGGATACATTTGATGTAATGTCCGATACTGAACGGCAATCGAATATTGGAATTGATGTTCCTTTATTCGTGGATTTAGAACCCTCGCATTTTGTGGAGGTATTTTTTTACTGTAATATTAACAAATATATTATATATTTATGTATTGTAATGAAACTCATTAATTATATTTATTTAAAATGTTACAGCCACCTCAACATTCATATAAGAGAAGACGTGGTGTAAGGTTCAACTTTTTACAAGAGAGTTGTGAAGAAGACGAAGAGGAGGAAGAAAATAACAAACTGCATGCAAAGAAAAAGAAAAAGAAACTTACAAAAACAGAAAAAGAGCATACAAAAAGAGTGGATGATTGGGTAAAAAGTATTAATAGTACATTCGAAGAAATCGATAAATATGATTTACTCGTTGAATAATATGAAAAACATGCTGCTAAAACACATATCTGAAGAAACCTGCAAGTTCAAATCTGTATAAAATCATTCAGCATGTCTCATCATCCTTTAAATTATACTTGAAATTATCCATGATGGAATGCTTAAGTTTTATGTTGCTATTCTTTATTGCTGTACTATATTTATATAATCTTTGCACTTTATGTATAAATATATATTTATAATGAAAAAGGTATAGATTATAGATATAAACATATTAAATTTAATGCCATAAATTCAAATTTCAAAGCTGGTTTTCTGATTCTATTATAAAATTTTTGCAAAACGTGATTTTCTAAAATTCCAATATTTTTAAATTATTTTTATATTTGTATAATAGATATAGTTTTAATAGATAATAGAGAAATAATTTTATTATTCACATATAAGAGATGTATAATGATATAGTGATTGTAGTATATCAGGAAGATAAAATATTTATAAAAATAAAAAATTTACATATATTGTATATAGAAAGTAGTAAAATATTTTAACTAGAATTTTTGTTTCTGATACTTATCCTGAATTGTCATGGACTTGAAAATCTTAAGCTAAAATAAAGAAATTGGTTATTGATTTAGAATTTATTTTAATTTTAGACGTGTACAAAAAATTTTTTATTTATTGATGGTGATATCGCATTTATAAATTTATATTAATAAATAACATCTTTCTAGATAAAATTTTAAGCAATAAAAGAATCACAATGCTAAATTAAGAAATAACAATATAACAATTATTAACTTTTCCATATGTTATTGAATTAATTTTATTTATTGAAGTTTTCTTTATGCTCGTTGAAATAACGAAAATGCTACGAACTAATAGCGTTTTCGATTATACAGGATTTGAACGACCCAGGGTTGATCAATCACTATTTTACTATAAATGCAAGTCTTTCATTGGTGGAGAGGTTGCAATGACGTCATTAACCAACCCTGGGTCGTTCAAATCCTGTATAATCGAAAACGCTATAAGCGTCCGGTGCTGGTGCTGGTACTGGTGCTGCGCATTGCTGCGCATGAAGTCCATACCAAACTATGCATTAGAGATTTAGGTTGTGAATCGGAGTTAAATCAATCTTTGTCCATATACTTTGTTCTGATAGGTCGAATTTCTGTCATCAATATGCGTGATTGCAGCTTCAATCTCTAATGTCCGATACAAGCTTAAGCGTCACATGTGTTTTAACATGCTAACCAATGCTAACGTACAATTATAACCTACATGTGGGGTGCGAAAAGTAATATTTTGAACGAATACTTTAATACGATAAAGTGTATTAACATTGAAAATATAGTTAATAAAATAATATCAGTGAAACACATAAATGAATAAAAAATGAAGTCCCCGTTTAAAGCCGTTATCGAAGATGTCGTTGTACAGTCAAACAAAATTCAACCAATTATTGGTAAGATAAATAATTCTTTATTACTGTCTTATTATGTGTATTTTACTACTTATATGTATATTACATGCAATATAATTAAATGTATAATATTATATTGTATTTATATTAAATATATGTTAATATTTATTTTATATACATATAACACATGCCATGTTACACAAATTATTTTTTGCACAGTTAACTTTCAAAATGGTGAGCTTAAAGATGAAGAGGCTAAAGAGATGTCATGTGGGATATTCCATGATCAAAAAGAAGGCAAGACTATATTGGCCTTGTCAAACGGACATATTGTTTACAAAGGTCATAGGCCAGATACTACACAAGAATCGACGCGGACAATGCTAGTACTTCACAATAAGAGGACGGGCAAAATTAGATTGTTTGAAGCAGAGCGATGGCAAGTGACTCCCATACTCGACAAACCTTCTGTTGAAGATAATAAGAATGATATATATGAAAAAACTATAATACTGAATAAACAATTTGGATCAAAGAAGGTCAAACGTAGAACTGAGCAATTTGAAAAGCTGAAGGTGAATGTTGATTCTGTTAAAGATCAACTTGAGAAAACGGTGTCAAGTAAGTTTTTTTTCTTATTATTATTAAGTAATTACATTTTAAAATAATAAATTAAACTAACTATTGACTAATTATTAATTAATTAATTAAAAGTTAATACATTCATATTTCTCAGCATTTATTACAGAAATACTCACTGAATTTTATATTTTATTACAGATATTGAAATCGACAGACTAGAATTGTCAACTCAGTTACAAACTGACGAAATTATCCACAATTCAATATTACCTGCATGCAATAGAAATGCAAGTAATGTTAAAGATGTATATAATGTATATGACATCATTCCAAAAAGTAAAGTAGAAACATTATATGAACATGCAAAGGAGGTTCTTGAGGGAGCTATGGAAGGGTATTTAAATTTTTTTTATAAACATTCTCTACAGTGTTGCTTCAAATAAACCATTATGCAATAGACGAAAAAATAATTCCTTCTGAAATACGATTTACACACATGATTTAAAAAATAATCTTTGTAATTACATAGTAATTTTAGCTTTACACAATTTTTGAGAATATTTATAAATATTAAAGTAAGAAAAGTTTCTTGTGACAAAAAATTCTACTTTTTACTTATTTTATCACAAGGTATCTTCAATAGGGATTCTATGTAACTGCATGTCTTTTTGATCACAGAAAATCCAAATTCTTCAAACGTACCTTGAAAAGTATACAGTCAGATCCAGACCATATGAATAAAATTGCTCTCTTGCTTTACATTGAAATGATCAATGCATGGTTCACCATGCCCTTGAAAGAGGCGAAAAAACGCGACGTTGTTGTGTGCTCGGTTTCCGAAGAGGTCAATCAACACATTATTGATACATATAGCGTTTCCAGTGCGAACGGACGGTAAGTTTAAATCAAATGCAACTTAATTGTAACAAATTAAAAAAAAAATCTCTTTTACAGAATGAGGCCAAACACCATGAAAGACAAAGGTCTTATACATTGCTTAATTCTCGCACTGACGGTATCAAATTTTATATTAGACCTAGAGTTGTTTCGAGTTATGCTGGAAACACGAATTAGTTTAAAAAAACTAACGGATCTTGCAAAAATCATTGGAGCAGTGCCTAACAAAGATGATAAAAAGATTATTACATTGAAAGTTCCATTGCCGGCACCGGTATCTTTTATCAAAAAAGGAAAAAAACCGGGAAAATCTGGTTGATAAACCCATGCTGTATATTACTGTATATTTGTCATTATAGATCATATTTGACATAAATCATATTTGACATTATAGATTTATTTTTGCAGCATTGTCCAAGCCCTTATAAGCAATTTTTTACAACGTAGTTTATGACGACGAGTTACTTAATTCTAATAATTAATATTATGAAATGTGTAAATACAAATAAAAATAGTTTCTGAAAAAATGTGGAATTTTTGTGGAAAAACAAATTGTGAATTTTATATGTTCTAAAGAATTTGGAGAAAACATTTTTAATAACTTTTTAAAGCTGCAGATATTAATATGATAAATGTGTTTTCAGAAAAAATCTAAATATTTTACATTAACATCTAGAAGACTTTATAGCATTATCTAAAATATTTGGCGCATCTAAAGAATACTATATCTAAAGAATGCAATATAAGAAAAGTGTTTTTTTTCGCAATTATCTGTATTAGCTTTCATCCTTATCAACGCTGAGGTAACAGCTGTCATATCGGTTATGTCCTTTGACCGTGCCGCACATGTTGCACATCAGATGCAGCAGGATTTATGTGAAGAATAAGAGGTTAGAGAACTTTTAAAATTAGAAGTTCACACTTTTGCATGAATTTTTTAACGGATTCTGAAAACAAGCTGTTAATCGCATTACATGATTACGGTGTCATGAGTCTATAAAGAGTTCAGCATTTCGAAATTACGTGAGAAAAACAAACTTTCGACATGATAGTCTTAATGATCAGACGAGCGAGTAGAGGGGATCACGTTCGAAAGTGCATGCCGAGCTGCAGAACTGTAGCTGGAGTCGTCTCGAAAGGAACAAAAATGGTAAGTATTTTTTGTCGGATTCCTTAGGATTTTACAGGGTTTTTAATTCAAAGAAATTAAATATAAATTAATCATTGTTTAATTGCAATTTTCGAATAAAACTCAAGTAAATCAATTCTGACCTTCTGTCGAATAGCTCAAGTATTTCGATTTAAATACATGCATTAGATCAATCGTTTCTGATGAAGGCCGGCTACCTGTTACAGAATCTTGCCATATTTGTTTGCATATGTATTCTGAAGTATTAGTAAAATTGTCGTGTGTAAAAGCATTACCATATGCTGCAAATAAAGATTAAAAACTGTGTAAAATAAAATTAAGTTATATGTCTGATTATAAATTGGATTGATTATTAATATTGAACATCATTAACGCTTTACACTTCAGATTAAATATATTTTTTTAACATTGGAGGAAATATATTTTTCAGAACGCATAATGTCTAAATATTCATCATAACTTCTTGATTAAAAAATCCAAAAGTACTCAAATAGCTTATTGGTTGATTAAAAACCCAAAATTAATTTTTAAGAAAAAATTCTCAATCGAAAATGTATGGCATTAAAGATTCTTACTCTAATCGTATAAGAAAATGTATTATAATAATTCACAGAAATCTGGTAACTGTATTGATTTTTGTTGTATATAGAGCAAGCTTACTCCAGAAGAAAGAGAAGAGAAACTGAGTCCCCTATTGTCAACGGGATGGACTGTCCAATCGAACAGGGATGCGATCTACAAGGAGTACGTATTCAAAAATTTTAACGAGGTGAGTATTATGAACATGCTGATAATATTGCTTAAAAATTCGGAGCTAATTAAATAGTTTGTCGGTTGGTCAAAAAATTCAAAACTAAATCTAAAACAAGAATGTTATATCCAAAACTGATAATAATTTTTTACTGGATTTTTTCACAATACATTTGAATGTCTAGGCTTTTGGATTCATGACAAGAGTAGCCTTACAGGCTGAAAAGATGGATCATCATCCGGAATGGTTCAACGTTTACAACAAAGTAAACATTACTTTGTCATCTCACGATGTTAACGGATTATCGCAAAGGGATGTAAAACTGGCGACTTTCATAGACAAAGTCGCTACTGCTGAAAAGTAAAACTTAATTGATCTGTAATTATTAATTATTGATCTATCAACATTCTATCTGTTATATCATTATAGATGAGACAATAATGGGAAAGATATGTCTGTTAATCAACAAATATTAAATAAATTGTATCTTATTTTAATATATTATACACGTGTGTATACTCTAAATTACAATCCTTTACAATATTTACGACACTATTGACTGGCTAAAATTACATCTGCAAGATTACAAGTAGCAAAGAAAAGCAATGTCGAATAGTAAATAATTTATTCTGGAATAATTTATAGGCTATCATCATATAAAGTTCTTTATCACACAAACAATCGTTTTTACTGCAGTGATAACGTTTAATCAGTTCTGCGTCTGTCCTTGCCTATTTCCCAGCCATATTTAATAGTTTTCGCAAGTCCTGGGCCATTGTAGATTAGCACAAGCAGACCAGCAAGGGTAGCAGCGGAAACTAGATTCAGCAATAAGAATGCCACTTTTGGAACTAATGTGCCCACCACAATGGGCCGTGCATAATCAAGTATAATAGCTTCCAGTCCCCTTGAATAATAAAATCAATCTTATTATCTTAAACATTATTTTCCAAGATTCATATAAAAATTGTATTTAAAGCTCAGATTAAATGATTTTCCAGAGAATAATGATTACCAATGTGTATGCATGACAACAGCAGCCGCTAATACTATTTCAACAAATTTACTTTCGAAGAGCAAAGCCGCGGGTATTAGCGACAGGAAAGATGCAGTCACAATCCTTTCTATTACCCACAAGCGTACATGATCACCTTGAGCACTTGCCGCACGTGACTGAATCATGCTAACTGTTGATTGTGCGGGTAGCTGAGGATACAAAATAAAATGTACCTTATAAATTTATATACTTGTCTTGGAAGAAAATTTAGTTATTATTAACCTTAGATAAAATACGGCATTTTGCATAATTGTTTGTATTAGGAAGAACACAACGGTTTAGATTTGTAAGACTTGAAGTGGACTTGGGGAACTGTGCTGAATTACAACTCCGCATAAGTAAACCGCCAGGTTTGACTAATGTCTCTGCAATGGAATCATTTTTCATGTTATAATTTTATATATACATTTATTGTTGATTAAATATTATATTATATGCTGCTTTAAAAACAATCTGCGTCAATAATATAATAAAACTGAAATAAATGTGAAATGATTAACAAAATATTTTGAAAAAGATTGCATCAATAAAAATTTTCTATATAATGTCTTTCATTCGATAAAAGATTATGTAAACATATTTTGAGGTTATATAAAAAAATCGGATCTATCTTACAAAACAAAGCGGCTAGAAATACAAAACTACCACAGAACTTGTATAAAACTTACCCAATTGTCGAACTTTGCGGAAGATGGTAATATTAGCTACTCTGCTCAAATTCATTTTGTCGAAATCGTTAGAATCGTGTTTGACGTAACACCTCGTGTAAGAGACAAGAGACAACTGTCCAAACTGTCGCAGTGATCTTAGATGATCGATTTTTATTGAAAATGATTTATATACTTTAGATTTTTTGTCAGGAAACAAAAGTTGATTTTTTAATAAAAAAATAAACTGCAATTTATTCAGCAGACAATTCAGAAATAATTTGTTTGCAAATATTTGTTTGCAGGCATGTTTGTTCTACATACATCTTGATGCATCCCAAAGCTATAATAGTTTTATAATTAAAAAATTGTAACAAAATTTTAAAAATATTCCTTTTTTTTATACAGGTGCGTACATCGACATATATCGACGGAAGATTACTACAGGTTTTTCATCGATGAGTTTCAGAATGCACTAAAATCGCAAATATTTCATGTAATTTTGTGTATTGTACATTTTCAATAAACGTCAAAATCATAAAAGCGTTAAGGAGTATGCGCAAAATTTTGATGCGTTTTGACTACGCGTTGAAACTACGCCAAAATCACATGGTTATTTTGTAATTGCGCGTTCCGAAGTTTATCGCAAGAAAACCGCGTGACCTTCATACTATAATCATGTATACAATCTATGCCAAAAAAGAGAAACAAAGCGGGAGAAAGTGTGGAAGTATTTAGAACATGTTTAAATCTGAAACGTAAAATGTTTTTCAAAATAAGATGTTTCTTGTTTTCGCTTGTTATTGACACGAATGAATTCTTAACAAACTCATTTATTATAACCTGTCGACGTGTTAGACAAAAAACGTACTTTGAGAGATGAACAGTTTTACTGCGCGGTGATAACCTACAAATCTTCGAACATGGAGACATTTAAGAATATTGACTGGTACGTATGTGTGATAAATATGTCACAGAATGCTATAAACAAATTTTGTAACTGTTATTTATTCAACAATTTGTACAATTTGTAAATGGATAAGTTATTATTGAAATTTATTATATTGTAATCATTACACATTACATACTGAGCACGTGTTTTGAAGCCGGTTATTTAACGGTTTCACAATCGTTAAATTTCTCTGTAATCATTTATTATAATATTGTTGCGCACGATTTTAGGCATCCTACGTTAGAGGATTTAATAGACGATGTATTCATCAGAGATGAAAGAATGCAAGATGAGAGCGCAATGTATAAAATTTTGACCGATTGCTTTAAAGATCCCTTTGAAGATATTGAATCTGAGTATGCTGAGGTCGATGTAGAACAAATTAAACAACTCAGTGATGATATCGATATTTCCGTTGATATGGAAGAAGAGAAATTCAAGAATAAGGATTCTGTGCAAGAGGAAAAGTCTTATGTTCCTGGCATAAGAAAATTGCCATTCAACTTTCCAAGAAGATCTTGCTTAAGCAAACCTCAGCAAGCTATGTGTCTTCGTGTTTTATTGAAATTATCTACTAAAGAATATATGCTGACGGATGTTCAAAGAGCTGAGATGGAAGCTTATATGGTGAATAGACATTGACAACAGTTATTTAAAATTTTTGTTGATATATTTTTTTTATTTAAAATAATTATAGCAAACAAAATAGATGCAAAGTTTGAATTAACACAATTATAAATATATTTGAACGAATTTTTACTCTAATTTACATTGAAATTCCGATTTTTTCCAGGCATTACAAAAACAAATAACTAAAGAACAAACAGAGTTCTTAGACTTTGCAAAGAGTAAATGGGATAATAATTTAACGCATATGATTAAATGTAATAAATATGTCATAGAAAAATGGAAGGCAAAGGTGCGGAGGCTTCAGCAGCTACCTAGATATTATATTGAATGTAAAAATATACCACTATCTGTGCAAGAAATTAATATTAATACATCAACTAAGAAGAAGATCAAAGTGGAATTTGTGACTTGTTTGAAGCAGGCGAGTTGTTATGACATGATGATAAATATTTATTAAATATTATTAAATATGTTGAATTTTGGAGTGCATATGTGACTTGTCATTTCCAGGTATCCTTTTTTGAGGTGACGTTGCCAAAACTCGATCAGCCCTGTAAGTTATCCATGAATCCTGAAAATCTGCTCCGAAAATATCAGCCATGTGTTGTATTTGACAAAGCAACGGAGCATTTCAGGTTTCCTGTAAGCGAGGATGAATATTGTGAGAAATTTGCGTTGGAAACCAAAGCAGACTTAATCATCTCGTCCAGCGGCCTAAAATGTCTACTAAACAACTTAGATTACAAGCATACAAATACGTGGGCTATACCGGTAGTTATAAAATCGCATAATGAGAAGAACTTTGTATATATCGATAAAAAATTACCACCTCTAATTGCCACTGTACCGGAAAAGAATACCTGGGTGTACAAGTACATCCTCAGGTACTATTTTGTCGATGCTAAAAATAAATCGCTGGAAAAGTGAGTATTATGCAAAGTATAATATTACACGCAAAATAAAATTCATTGTACAAATATATGTATTCAATATTCTAGTGCGGAAAAATACAAATTGGATAAATCTGCAGTCCATTTAGACTCGGACGATTCAGAGTGTAGTTACTCGTCTATTAATCATCTGAAAGACTATGAAAAAGATCTGTATTTATCAGATACAGACGAATCGGAGTTCGCAAGTGAAAACGAGGTTCCTGAAACACATAAAAATGTGTCATACAAAGTTTTCACGATAGAACCAGCAGAGTTTGTAGATCAGCACGATCAAGTGACACATGCCGTAAAGAAGTATCGAATGTTAGTTCGCACAAAAACGGAAGGCATTGAGGTGAGAATATTTTCCATATTGTTTCTGTCAATCAATACTGAATCGTAAGATACTAAAGAATGAATTGATTTCACTAGGTATCATCAGATGGAAAATCACTACCTTTAATATTAGCGCCGAAGATGGAGCACCAGTTAGGATTTGGAGCTGAAGCTACAACATTGGAGGAAGGAATACATCAATGGGCGTCGCTAATGTTTACGCCTGAGGCATCGTTGGCAAGAGGTATTGTCATTTATTTATTGCATGTTGCATTCTATGTATAAATATCTTGTATTGTTTACAGTTAGAATAGAAGCGGATACTTCGGAAGTGATACAGATAGAAAGACACATGACAACGTCGCTGAGCAGCGAGATGAAAAGGCTTTATAACGTCAAGGTGGAAGATTCTTTGAGCATTCTACACAACATTATCGAAGTATTGTCATTCTTGACTCCTGGTCGGTATATTCTGAAGCATGTACCACAAAACGGATCTTTCGCGTATGTTTATAAAAATGTTGAAGAAAGTGGGTAAGTGTCATACAAAAAGAACACAACAAATACTTAATCCATTAATGGAGGAGACATGTATCGAAACATAGAATTCGTTTGTTTGATACACAGGAGCAAATGTTTAAAAAATATATGTTTTCAGGAAAAACGTCTTGGATTTACATGCGATTTATCAAGACGCAAAATTTCAAACGGCATCCATTACGCCGTGGCCACTCATAGACAATATGATGACAACACCAGCGATCAAGTGTTTTAATAAAATGCCTGCTATGTTTAACGCTTATTCTCCGAAACCTGTAGTAAGCACTCGACCTAGAGGACGTCCAAAGAAAAAGCCCACTCAAGGTTCATAATTTTTCTAATATTTGAAATATAACGAGAGAGAGAGAGCTCTTCACTAGAGAGAAATATTAATTCATTCATAGATATATGTTGAACAACCCCATAATGATAGAACATGTCTTTAAATTATATTTTACCTCAAAATCTGAGTATAATCTTAATAAAATTTAATAATATTGGAAAATTATTTAACAGAACGATAATAGACAATCTACTGTCATCTGTAATTAATTCGGAAATCAAGTGTCTATTTTTTTATTTTCCCTGATATCATTAACATATTTCCTTGCAGAATCTTTCTCCCTTGATCGCAGCAAGAATACTAGATGAAACAATTTATAAAAATGAAGATGTGTGCCATTTAAGAAACATAGATACATAACTCAATGTATAAAAAATAATTAGAAACTATTAGATTTAAGTCTATTTTAGTAACTCAGTAATTATAATTTATTATTTACTTTTAATACATTACTTTTTGGGATTCGACAATTATTTCATTTGTGACATTTTTCGTATAATTATTTGATGATATTTTATCGATTAAAAACGATTTAGAATTGTTTTCAGAAAACTGAAAATAAAATTTTTTAAGAAATTGACAGATAAAAACGGATTTAGTAATATGTATAGATTTTTTTCAACACAAAGCAAATCATTTGATTTTTTACTTAAAAAATATTTGAATATGCTTTGCTTTATTAATCAATGAGACCAATTTGAGTTTTACGACAACTTGAAAAAAAGGAATAAATTTATAAATAAATAATGAATTATTTTGTAAATCAATATTATTTATTGAGTTGATCAGACAGTTCCTTCGAATTGTTTAATAAAAATGAAGTACAAAAAATTCAAAGAAACCACATCTGATCAAATAAATTTTTTTTTGTAATATATAATATCAGGTATTTTATATTTTTGTACATTTTTTCTAAAATAAACAAAGTTCGAAATGCATGTATGTAGAAGAGAAAGATTTTCTAATATCTGAAAATGATTATCCAGAGAGATATTTTTACCTCGCTTATTAATTTGAATAATAGTTTTGTAGTTTTCTCCAATAGTTATTGCGTATGTGTAGTATTCGTAAAATATTGAATCTATTTCTTTTCGTTTTTAGCTCCTCTTCGGAGAAGTCTTAGAGGAAAAATAACGAATAAAGAATAAAAGAAATGCAGTATCATTTTCTGGAAGTTTCTATTTTCAAGAATCTTACCAAATGGTTATTTATTTGATGTGCAATTGACACAGGTATTAAGTAGTGTTATAATTTTGTTGATAAATGCATGTATGTAGAAAATATTTCACTATCAGTACAAGATTATCGTAAGAATGTATATGCATATATTTTTGTTATTATTACAGACAAAATTAAAATGATAAAATAAAAATAACGGTATCAAGAATCTTTTTGCAAGAAAAACATATAGTAAAAATAGTTTTTGTATTCTAATCTATTGTCAACTTTAAAACTAGAGAGAAAATGTTTCTAAAATCAAACTTTTGAATTATGATAGTCTTGTATCGACATATTTATAATTTTTACTAAGATAAAATTAATCAAGTTATTTTTTTATTTTAGTTTATTCAGAGTATGTGTTGTAGCATGGAATACGCTTTAGTTTTTTTATCAATTGTTACCACCTATAACTGTGTCTGAATGTGTTATGTATATATTTATATACATTTATTAAATATATATAATTTATTTTTATATAACACAAGACTGAAAACAATATTAATATCCGAGGGGTGTTTTCGTCGGTTTTATTTCCTTCGATTCCTCAATCATGCTTACGAGCTACAAGATTCTTTATATAAATCTTTCCAGATCTTTTGACAGAAGTAAGAATATACAAAATATAATTTAATTAAGTATAGTTAAGTCGATATTTTGTGCGGTAGACATGCACAGTGTTTCAAAATTTTATAGGCCTACATAATACAGTAGAGTAAGATCCCAAAAGAAAAAAGTATTACAAAAGTAATATTTCAAAATGCATTAAGATATATCTCCTAATTTCACATTAGTAGTTCAAGCAATTAAGCTGGCACTTGTGTGCAGGCGTAAAATTGTTTGTAGATATACTCATCGAACAATGACAAAGCGCACATCTGAATCCTTAATTGCTTCGTCGAAATTACGTGGAAACGAGGGAAAGCAGTGCTTTCTTGTAGTCTCCCGAAGTATCTCCCTACGGTACATATATTCATTAGTAATTGCAATTGATAAAAGATAAAATACACAGAATTTTTCAAAACAATACGTACGGCTATCCAGTTCTCCAGTGACTTGCCGAAGCGTTCCTCGAATGCTTTTTTAATGTCTCCCAAATCGATTTCGCTTCGGGACACAATGATACGGATTAATGTCCGATCCTTCGTGCCTATGCCGTGCATACTGGCGTACAGTCGTTCAGCGAAAAATCCAACCTTCGACTTCACACATTTCACTGTTGGTCAAAAATTTAGATCATCATTCATAACTTCACATACATCGATGACATGTTGGTGAAAAAATATACAGAAACATGGGCATGGGTACTGTTCTCATGCTGCAAAGATACTACGCTCATATTCAATTTGAATTTTATGCTATTGCACTTGTGTGAAGAATATACACATGTAGTAACATGAATGTTTGCACGTTATATGTTAATGATTGCCATGCAGCAGAGCAATACACAGGGTCTGATAAACGTCCACACCATTTCCATGCATTTTATGGATCAACTCAAACATCACGTCCTTTCAGTAATTGCTACTTGAAGATAAAAGTCTTGTTTTCTACTACAAAAATCGAAGATATCATATGTGTTATAATTCTTGGATGTATCATGTGTACCATTATTTTTGGATTAGAAAGAAGCCAAAAATGATGTTGTTGCACATGGAAGAACAGTGTGATATAAAAAATTGGGGGCAGGAGAAAATGTGCCTACACTTTACACTACTGAGAATTGTTGGACAGAATACGTGTGTGTTTGAAAGTCTAACTTTAAGAATTATTCAGTAATCAATAACAATTCCTATTAATAATCCTACAAATGGAGAAACAAAAGCTATGTAGAATTCTTCTGCAGTAACTTGCCTCTGCCCTGCGGAAATACTTTTCGATCGTTTTTACAAAAGTTTTGCAGAGAGCATAAAAATGTGTGGCCAGTATACATTTCATGGAAAGTTTGACTCGTGATATTGTACTACATTAGCGGGATTATTGATATTCCATCGTATTCAAGGGGCTTATCATTTCCTCGCATTGAGTTCAACCGCTTGCTCGTGTTTCACACTGAAACGTATAATTATTCTTGCCTAAGCACAGTTTTTTTCTTATGAGTCATTATTGGTCGTATCAATTCTGAGACACGTATTTACGTTTCTCTCATAAAAAACATGAAACATGAAACAAGGACTAATGACGTTATAAAATTAGTAACAGTAAATGATTCATGAATGTAGATGTTAATACGACATATTCGTAGTATAATTTACACAGATACGTTAGAATTAATGTATATTTTGTCTAGAAGCTTTACCTATTCCAAGTAGGCCTTTCTCGACGCTACCGGAGAACTCCTTCTTTATGGCGACCTCAATGTCATGCCCCGATATTTTCTCATACTCAATAAATGTCTGTCGCAGTTGTTGATAGCTGCGAGTTACCAAAATCGCATTGAATTGTGATTCATCTGTACCCCATTGTTTTTCACCTGCATGTGAAAAAGTTCAAGATTAGAAGTCGAGCGCTGTATTATAAATGACATTGAAAGCAATAAAACGCTTAAATATAAATTGACAAAAGAAAAATTTTCAGAAAAACTTGACAGATTGACTGTTACATACCAGCCTCGTACAATGCTTGGGCATCAGCGGCTGCTTGATTATGATCGACTCCCTGATTTTCATCTCTATTTGCTTGTACAAGAGAAACCAGTAATCTCTTGAAATGGCCCGAAGCATCACCCTTCAAATCGCTCTCAAGTGTTTTTCCATATACTGTTCAGAATAACATGTATTGCTCAATCAAGAAATGAAATAGATAAATGGATAACAAATTGAAAGAAGAATCTTACAGTTCTCATAAAACGCAGCAATCGTGCGGATGCCGTAATTGCTGAGAGTACACAGAATCTCGACAATCGCTTCCTCATCAGTGCCCAAACCGCTTACAGCATCATGTAGCTCCTTGGCATAATAATGCGGTAGTGGGGTCATAAGAGCAACTATGACATCTTCCAGTTTGCCAGTTAGTTCACTCTTCAAGTCACTGATCAGATCCTTTCCATACAGAGTTTTAAACGCCTCTGCGATCTCCAGTCTCTGAACAATGCCTCTCTTTGTCAGTACATCAATGATGGCTTTTTCATCGGTGCCAAAACCTTTCATTGCTTTACGCAAAATAGCAGCATCTGCATTGGCATCAAATGGCTCCGCAGGATACACAGTTGGAGTGCACTGAAATGATAAATTGTTGTAACAACAAAATTTTGTGAAATTTTCTTCAAAATAAAATACAAATCCGCGGCTTATTGTTAAAATTATAATGATAATTCGAGTGTCATTCAGAATTAAGATAAGAAAATTATGTATTATAAAATTTTTGATAAAAAATTGATATTTAATTTTTCGAAAACCGTAAATTATTTATATAATCAAATTTAAATCTATTATTGACAGAGAAAAAAATCTAAAAAAAATTTAGCACTGATTCGTGATTAGTCATACTTTGACGGAACGTGAATCGACTTACAAACTAGGCTAACGTTAAAAATAAGGATGATCGATAGCCTCCCCCCCGCGCTTCGAAACTAGACCAATGCTAGTAATTAACGTGCTGGGCGATGATGATCTTATCACTCGGCAATTTCTTGGTAATTAACAAAATTATGTACCTTGAAGGGATAATATTGTTGCTGCGACATTTTTCCTTTTTTCTTCGCTGTAACGCTCGACAGAAAACACTCCGCGAGGTTCTCTGAAAAAGAATTTCGCAATGAGCTCGAAAAACAAGCAAATGCATCAGACTGCCTATCACCGACTCGATAATTATTAGTTTTATAGTTCGCGTGAGCGACATAATCGCTACGATAAAGTAACAATCAAAAGCCGGGTATAATTTTACACAGTTCAATATCGAGCTTTATAGCCACGCGAAAGTGTTTCTTATATCGATCGTCATGTTTACGCTGTCATAAACGAACGCGTAAGAATCATTTTTTGCATGTCACTGGTCCGAGAATTTAAGCTTTTATCGAGATTCTATTCCATCACTATTCTCTTCAATAAATGATAATACGTTACCGGAGTGCGCGATGACGTGAGATAAGGATGAATTCACAAACACTCGTTATTTATCTCAGTTCTACCGATTTGTACTGTCAATCGGAAAACTGGAACGTCAACTGATTGAGAAAACGACGGATGAAGAACGCAACCGATCCGACTCGTACGAACGCCGGCTACTGAATCGTCGCTACCGGGCACACCCACTTTCACGCATCACGTCATCGTCTGCGGGTTTCTCAAGGTGACGCGTTGCAAGAGTGATTATGAAATTCCGGGGAGCTTCGCATGAGAGATCACGCTGGATCACGCGTATTCAGCGTATCACCGACCTTACATCGCTAAAAAAAACATGATTTTTCTCCCTCTCTCCGATTTTCCCGCCACTCTACGATACTCCCGAAAAATACAACCGAATTTCAAGCCGACGTAAAAGTGTAGCATTGACTGAATCAGAAATTTAAAAATGGCAAAAAATAACATAAAAACGAGTAATCGATAGGCATATATGTAAAGGATGATCGATTGTGATAAATATAACCTCAATTTGGTATAATTCTGGCACATATTTATTTCTCTCTTCTATCGATATCTCTATTAGAACACCGGATTAATAAATGTTCTTTATTTCATGTAATTGCAGTCTCACAACGTACGATGAGTAATCTCATAGATGCGCACTGGTTCCCCTTGGCATCGCAGGGGAACATTTACTCAATGACCAAATTGTGCTCCTCTAATAGTCCTAACAAATTGTTAGTGGCGTCTTTGAAAAGAAAGATATATTCCTGTGAGTATCATCAAATGCCAGAATTTCTGAGACCTATGGTGAAGGAACTGCTGTTTACTTATATACCCAGTATGTGAATTATATTTGGATATATTTTTTTTATAAAATATCTTTTTAACAATATTTTGTACAAATTTATTTTTTACATATTCTAGGTGGTGCAGAAATTATTTCCATTGATGCCTATGACAAATCAGACACTGGAGACAGTTTTGTAATAGGAATAACAATTATGAAGGCAAGTACAGACACAATGGAAAGATTTCTGAACATATACACGGAGGGTGCGGTAGATGGTGAAGGAGACGAAGGAAGCTCTATTGAGGCCATAGCTCAAAATTGTCTTATGGTGGAGCTATCGTATACTCCATATCACTTGTATCATACTATCTTATTACAAGAAAATTCTACACATGAGGTAATATAAAGAGACATATCTTTGTTAGCACATTACAATAATTCTATTATCATAAATCAACTATGTATCTCTTTATAACAAAAAAATTCTTTTGCAGATAGTTTGGCTAATATCTGGAAGCGATTATAGAATTCATATGATAAGAGAAGATAAACTGAGTCATGTTTACAGTGAATCCTCTGTTGAGAAATATTTTCCAGAGCTACATGACATTCAAGCAATTGCATTGTGGATCAATATTTATTATTACGATAATTATAAGCGGTTGGTAGAACAAAAATTGATTTGTTTTTACACCTCAATACAGTATGTCTTATAAATGTGCAAAATACTGATTTAGGAGAGTCACTGCTATTGGGTGTGAATGCGGTTTAGTCAAAGTTGCATTAGTAGACGTGATGGATCTACAAGTTTCTCGAAGTTGGCTTTTGAGATACGATAAGCCTGTGCCCAGTGTAATAGTATTCCCACATCAAAATATCATTAACAGACCAGTGTTTATAGATTCCAGTTGTAAGTATTCTAAACACAAATTTATATAATTTATATAATATATTTATATAATTTATATAATATTTATACGCTTTCTTTGCATATATATATTTTATATGTGTTAAAAATTGTCAAAAATTTCAGCTGAAAAATCTATCACTCAGGATAAAGTTCCAAAATTAAATGTTGTTATTTCAAATACAAGTAACGCTGTTGTGTTTGAGTGAGTAATCTATATATTGTGAAGTATTTAATGATTTTGCGTTAGTTAAGATACAAGTGTTCAAATTTTATCAGAAATATCTTGGAACACGGGATGAAACAGGATGTAATATTAAGTGGCAGCGAATCGTCAGATTGTATTCTGTGCTGTTGCATAGCGGATATAAACATGGATGGCCAGAATGAGATATTACTCGGCACTTACGGTCAAGAAGTTTTGATCTTTGCGTTGACAAATAACTCATGGGAACTGGCCACTAGAAAACTGTTCGACGCTCCTGTGCATTCTATAAGTTACATGGATATAACAAATGATGGAATAAAAGAACTGATTGTGCTCACGCAACGAGGTGTACACATACTACAGGTTTATATCTACAAATATATATTTACTTTCAAAAGTATTTTTCGATAAGACATGTCATACATTTTTAATTTTTTATGCAGCACAATATAACGGATGTACGAACAAAATGGAAGGAACGCTATAAAAAATTATTTGACACAATAACTCAAGAAAAATCGTAGCATTTGCAACAGAAGGTAATTTTTCTTCATATATTTTATATTTCTATTGTATATACCATACACACCATTTGTAATTTATGATAAAACATGGCATAAGATAACATAAAAAATATCTATTAAATTATTTCAAATTATAAGAGACATAATAGATAAGGCATATTTATGTAGTATTAGGTCTGTTTTATTTTGTTAAATTTTATATGTTTTCTGCATTTTATAACAGACACCATATTGCTGTGTTCTTTTTAAATATGAGATATAATTAAATGATTATAATTTCATACTATTTTTTGCGTTTAAAGCGATTTAAAGTAGATTAAATATTTCTTGGTTTTGAAAGGAGAAAAAGAAGGTACAAAGAGAGTAGATATCTAAATGCACTTTTATATTGAAGGTCTATTCAAATAGATTAGGCCCTACGCACAATAGAGAAAATATTAGGAATAAGAATAAATATTAAATATTAGAAGCAGAAAATTGATATTATTTCATTTCAAAACAAGAAAATAAAATGGATTAAAGAAATAATTAATCCGTTCTGTTCCCTTGTTTGAAGTAAAATAATTCAAAATTGTTCTTCCTAATATTTATTCTTGTTCCTAATATTTTCTCTATTGTGCGTAGACCTTAGCGTAAAGTATATTTATAGAGAAGTCGACAAATCATGTATGCAAGCATTAGTTGCGTTCAGAAAATATAACAGTAAAATAATCGCTTGTGATTGGTGCATACTTGGATCGAGAAGTACATCTAGGGTCTAGTTTTATACGATATGCAAATCCGTCTATAGATCTATAGGACTATTGAGTGGGGAACAGCCTGTGACGTTTGTGACAGTTCGTCACACGCACGTGTCCGTGGTTAGTCACGTCCGGCGCTATAGTCAGGTTGATCTTTATCGCCGCTGGTGGTGGCGGCCGCGCGCGCGACTGTCATGATTGTCTGTGGTAATTGCGCACGGAGAAGCATCATTGATGATCGATATACTGTCGTACACTCGCTGCTGCTACTACTCGGCACAGATTAAAGTCTGGGTGAAGTCCAGGTGACTCCGAACCAACGCATGTAGATCACAATGACGAGCAAGAAAAGTCATACCCTCCGCATCGAGTCCGAAATCGATCGAAATCGCGAGGAGGGCAACTGGAAGAAGGTTATAGAACTGGCTGAACACCTAAAAGTGCAGTACCCCAGCAACGGTAAATGTTCTTCCTTCTTCCTCCTTCCTCTCATCATCCGCTGCCCCTTTGCCTTTTTCGCCCACGATTCCTCGAGGACCTCCCACACGTCCTGATGCAAAGGTTATCCTCGCTTCAACGACACTTCATCGTTTCGTAACGCATCTACTTTCTGAGGAAAAAAATGTCACGTCATATAAAGATCAAGGATAATTGTGAAATGTAAACAAGATGTCATGCTCGTTTCACTTAATTATATGACAAGTTGCACATCTTAACATTTCTAGAATACACATCGTCATGTATATTATTTTTCAAGATTTTTATAATTATTTCTTTACGTTTCAAAGAGATATAGATTAATTTTATATAATAAATATCTCTTTTTTTGTATATCATAATAAAATTAATAAGTCATGTGTTATTTTTTTTAAATATTACTAAATGTCTTAAAAATTCCATTTTATTAAATGTTTATAATATAAATAAGAAAGAAATTTTTTACAATTTTATTTTTGCATGGCAGAATGTCTGGCGAATTTCTTGTGCGGAGAAGGAAGATTGGAGAGTTTTTTAGAGCAGACTCCAGCGATTGACGCCAATATCAGCAAGGCACGCAACGGATTGGTGGAGACACGAAAATACTTGTTATTAGCTGCCAATGAAAAAGATAAACAGGTATTATAGTGTTATGTAAAATCAGAAATATCTTGAAAGAATATATATTAAATGTATTAAAATCAAATACTTCCAATATATATGATAAATTATAATATTATCTTTCTGATAATATACAATATTCAAGGCTTTGGTTGTATTGGATGCTCATCTGCTACTTGGAAAACTTCATTATGCGATGGGGATGTATGAGGATGCGCTTCATCATTATCAGGAAGCTGAACTAGACACACTCACAGAAAAGCAATTACCGTGTCGAAGTTTACGTATTATAGCAGAATCGTATGCGATCAAAGGTTTGCAACTAATAACTGTTACAACTCTCTATTTTCTGACGGTAGTAGTATGTTTTAGTGCAACATTCGAAAAGATACACCTAACAGCTTGCTTTATACTTTTCTGTGTTTTCTCTCTAAACAGTAGCTCCATTGTTTCATAGTTATGTTATTAGATATGTATATATATTGTTTTTTCTGTGCAAGATCTGCAATAAGCATAGACGTTCTGTAATAGATAGCGTAATTTAAAGCTATTGACAGTTCTACCGCATATATTATCTTCCCATTATTTAGCATTTTATGCACTAATTACACTTGATGACAAGTTTAATGAGACACGTTTATTTAATTCATAAATTTTTTATCTAATATATTTATTTGTTACTATGGCCTGTGTATGATTTAGAGAAAGAAAGATCGTTTACTTTAGACACAGACAAACATTTATCCTGCCGAAGACTGCGCATTATAGCAGAATCATATGCGATTAAAGGTTTGTATGCTTACTTGCTTCGTTTTGCTCATATTACTCAGTGATTTCTTCACCGCACATTCAATATGTATCGCTCACTGTATTATAACACGTTTTATTACAACGTAGAATAGCTTGCTTGTACACGCTCTTATCACACTAAACTTATTTAGGCGCACAAATCTATCGGCATGTTATATCATTTATATATGTTGTAATATTTAGAATTTTCAAGGAGTAATTTTTTTTAAAGTTTTAAACAAAGTCCTATGTTTTTGCTTCTTGAAAAATTTTATTTTATCTACTTGCTGCTATCAAATGCGATTAGATTCATAGTTGTCGTGTGCGTGGGACAAGCACAATGCGCTATTTCGTCGCGCATTTCTCACCACAACAGAGTAGAAGTTTCAATTTTATTTCACATTAATTATAATTGTATTGATCATGTTTATATATGTATATATCAAGATCACCTGATTGATACTAGTATCGTAAACTGTTTACTCGCGTTAGGTCTCTGTCTGGAGAAGCTGCCACCAAACTCCAAGTCGAAATACAAGATTGCGGAATGGCACGAACAGATAATCAAATGCTACGAGATCTCCGGCGACTTGACGCTGGTGTATCTGCAAGAGCAAGAGAAAATCGCTATGCAGCAACAAAATGGTATCTCCACCATAAACACAAATAGTACAAGTAAGTATAAGTAATTATAACGATAAAAAACCGTGAGCAACTTTTATTGTTTAACGTTTTATCGTTTATAGGTACAAGCACCACGCAATCTCCCGTTTCCGCGAAGCATATCGGTCCTATTTTAGAAACTGCTTTGCAAAGAGCGCCGATATTGTATATTCAAACCGGCAATATACAAGCCGCCGTTAGTCGTTATAGGTATGTACAAGTTGTGTATAAAAAATTATCTTATACTTTATTAATTTAAAAGCCAAGAACTTTATATATTAAATTTGTCACGATTTTTATCTATACGATTCTTCCTATTCTAACTTAATTTCTTTTGATTGTTACAGAGAAATTTTATCCGCTGTTGAATCAACGACTACTCAGAGTCTACGGGTGACGTTGACCAGGCAATTGGCGGAAGCGTTGCTGCGCGGTATAAGCGGTGCTGATTACAAACCACCGGAAGGCCAAACCGACACAACGGGTACGGTAATCGCGCGAACGCGAGTTATCTTCTTCCTGAAACAAAGAAAATGATAATTTGATATCGATATGTTTGCAGCCATTGCGAGCAATAGACGGGCGAATCATACGGGTGCTAGTTCATCCGATTCACCGTGGAAACCGAAAAAATATGCTGGACCCAATATGTTCGTCCCGAAGAACGAATACGAGGAAACGATTCTTCTTCTGTTGATTAGCGAAGCGATGGCGGTGAGAGACGCCGTTCTCAGCCAGTCGCCCGAATTCAAGGAAGCGAGGATACATGCATTTGAAAATGCTACCGCCGTTTACGACCTGCTGACGGTTGTCGTCGTTCGATGGAGTCAAGTAGAACTTCTGCATGAGGTAAGGACAATTAAAAAAATTTTTTTCATATCAAAATTTATTATTCGGATACTCGAATTTTTCACATTGTTTGAACAGTCTTTTGAAAGAGCGATGAAATTCTCGCACGAGGAGGCGCATGTATGGACGCAATACGCACTGTGTCTGATAAGCATGGGAAGATATATGCACGCGTATCGAGTCCTCAAGGTAGTTGCCAGGCTGTCACCCCAGAAAGTAATGCCCTGTTTATTGGCCGCGAGGCTGTGCTATGAACAGTTGAATTTGGTATATATAAGCAAATTTTCTGACTTTATTTTAAATAATAAAAAAACATTTCCATATAAATGATTTTGCATTACAGATCAACGAAGGTGTTGAATGGAGCCAAAAGGCTCTTCAACGAGAGACAGCCAGTCCGCAAGGAATGCAATCCAGGTGTCACCTGTATATCGGGATCGGCCACAGTATGCTGTCGACGAATACTATTGTGAAACAGGACAAAGTGCACCACACAAACACCGCATTGGACTGCTTTCAGAAGTATATATCTCCGGCAAAGCGCGAAGGATTAGGAAAAGACATTCTCTCAAATTGCCTTCCTCGGTGATTAATGGAAGATCTTTTTTTTTTTTGTCGAATAGGGCCCAACAGTGTGATCCGAACGACCATCTGGCGGAGTATTATCTGGCCCACGAATATGCGATAAACAGGCAAATAGCTGACGCCATTGTGCACGTAAAGATCGCGTTGAATTTACGCGCAGAACACATTCCATCGTTGCATTTATTCGCGTTACTCTTGTCGGCTCACAAGCAATATGCGGAGGCGTTGCACGTGATCAACAGCGTGCTGGAGGAATACCCGGACAATCTAAACTTCCTTTACGTGAAGGCGCATCTCGAATTGCAAAGTATCGGCGGTGTCGAGGCGCTGTACACCATCAGCCACATGTTGCACCTGTGGAAAAATCTGTACGAGGATCAGACGAATGTTAATTGTAACGAACAACAGAGCGAGAAGCGCAGCGAGACTAGAAGCGTCTTTCAGCTTTACACGTCGGAAATGTCCGACAAAGATTCGAGTGAGTATTACGCATCGCTGTCAGAAGCATTAATGCGGATGAAATAAGTAATTTTGCATATATAAAAACAATATATATTTTTTTATAAAATTATTTTATGAAAAGACTTATGCACGTTGTGTTTTCGTCCAATAATCCGGTTATTAATTTCTAGACATCTAATTGTACGTCTTTAATCTCGTTTCTTGAACGGTGATGATTTTTTTATAGGTTCTTTGCATGCACAATCGCTAGCCGCATCAAGAGTTGAGCAGGCTCTTTCCGAAGTTGCCTCGTCAATCAGCTCGTTCACACCGAAGCCGGGGCCGCAGAGAGCGTGGCTGTTGCAATTGCAAATCTGGCTCCTGCTCACGGAAGTTTTCCTCATTCTGGACCAACCAAACGGCGCGGTTCTGTCTCTCCAAGAGGCCACCAATATCTTTCCGCTGAGCCATCATATTATGTACACGGTATAACAGATTAAATCTTCTCATCGTAGTAAATTTCCATATTCGAGAATCTATTAAGTGTTTTGCCGGAAGATCATTATGTTGCGTGATAATTACACGTAATTATCTTGTTACAGCGTGGCCTTCTACACGAATACAAACTGGAGTATACGGAAGCGAAGCAGTGCTATCAAAACGCTGTTTCGATTAATCCTTCGCACATAAAGAGTTTACAACACTTGGTAATAATTATTACGTTGCATGTATTAATTTTCGGACACATATTTTATACGAATTTTTTACATACATATTTGCTAGATACAAAAAAGATTTGCAAATCTCGCAATTTTTGTTTACAGGGACTTGTTTATCATTATTTGGGTAGTCAGAGACTAGCTGAGAAAACCTTGAGGGATGCTGCGAAGATCGATCCGAATTCCCATCAGACTTGGTATTTTTTATACGCTCTCTATTAATTATAGTAATTTAGATTATATCACGGGTGCAACGGTCACTTATTATCAGTAATAATCTGATGCTGAGGATATTATTCTTGTTCCACGTAATCATTCATTTGAAAAATTATTACGATAAATCGAGATACGAATGGCTGTTCGATAAGAATTTCTTATATCTACGCGCTTAATATATACTCGCACCGATTGCATCATTTCCACTCTATATTTGATATTAGTATTTAATTATCTGTATTCGTCACAATTGGTTTTGTAATAAGACGTTATATCAGAGATGTGAAAAACGTGATATTTCAGGTACAACCTGGGAATGGTATTGGAATCGTTGGGCGAAGTGGAGGCTGCCAGCGACTGTATGGCAACGGCGCTGGAGGTCGAAACCACGAATCCCATCTTACCGATTCTATCAATACCGGTGACCTTCGAGTGATTCGAATCTCCGATTTCTTAGGATAAGATTCGATGAAATGACGGTTTATCTCACTCCCTTTCCCTCTCTGCATCTCCGCGGGCATTTCCCTCGCCTTTCCGTCAATAGTACCTGGACACGTTGTACTATTGTATAAACTTATTGTTGAAAGAAAAAGAGGATACTTTAACTGTACAAATAGTTACAATGGATGTAATAAATTCGAATAAAATCTGATCTCCGAGGAGGTCTCTCGAATGTTCACAGAGCTGTTAGCGACGTGATGTAAGTATTTCGTAGAAAAATCTCTCGTTTAATCAATCCATCGTGACTTCAATTTATAAATATTTATCGCGACAGCGGTTGCATGTTTGTGCGGCATTCTGGATATGGTAAAATCTGAAACGTTCGCATTCGGCACGAACCGAGCGCGTGTTACAATTTCGAATTTACATATTCCTATACAAAGAGTCTGAAAAAAGAACGTCTGAAGGATATCTGATAGATTCTTTTATGGTTACGTCGATCAGCGTAATCTTTATCTCAGATATCCCGATATTATTTCAATTATTGTGTATCTATTGTCATTGTTTTGATTTATCGCAATAAAGATGTATTCTTTATTTTAGATTATCCGATCTTTTCCGCATTTATCTGATGCGCGCATCGAACGCGGCTGACCGCATGAATCTGTCGCAACAGTGCGCATACGTGATGGCCCAATTTGCGCGCGATGCGCAAGCACGTACCTGGGTACGCGAAAATCAGACGTATACGTACGTATGCACGTACGAGCGGACGGACGGATGGACGGACGAACCGACGGATGGCTCAGGTCGGAAAAGTCTGGTGCAATGCCTCTAAAAATGTAATAATTTATTTTTATAGAAATCGATACGGCGAGATACTTTATCCGAGCGGCGCGGCGATCGATCTCCCTTTTCGCTCTATCTCTTCCCTTTTTTTCCTCTTCCAGGCAAATAAAAGTCGTCTTCCTTCGATCGTCGGCGAATAACATACAATACGTTGCACGCGCGCGACGCGTAATAACGCTTGTATATAGAACGCACGAATGACAGTCGCGTTATCGTTAAGCGGCAGCTATTTTCTTTTGTGTAATCGATATAATAATGTTATATATGCATGGCCTGGTTTCGCGCGCAGGGAGCTCGGGGAAAACGCCTTGGATCGCCTTCGCCGAGGGAGGGTCGACGTGTATTGACGCATATGCGGCGGCACGACCGCTCGTTGTCTTTCTTAATTTCAAATCGCACATCTCAGCCGGCTGGATCATGATTGAGAAATGCTTTCCTCCGGTCTGGTGGAGTCTGTCGAGGCCGCGGGAACGACACACGGGTCCTGGAAAGCCTGTTTCAAACACATCTGTGCGATGTCTGAAATATGGAAATACTCTCTCTCTCACTCTATTTCTTTCGATCCTGAACGTAATTTTCGTATTTCTAGAAGAATATATATATATGCTATGATATAGGTTTCTCGGATGAAAGGCGTAATAAGACATTATTGCGTTCAGGTCTCTCGCGATAAAATCCGCAATGTAAATGCCGCGCACGTTCAACTCGCGCGATTATATATAATAAGGACGATGCGAGTGGAAGAAAGAACAATATCGGCTCCGAGCGCGTATGTAAATTATGTAAGACGCGGAAGACAAATATTTAAGTCCGTAATGAAGACGCATCACCGTCGCGCTTCGAGCTGAACGGCGCGACGAGACGCAGCTTTTATATCCAGGCTCTCGTCCGCGATTTATACGTGTCTAAAGCTGTATCCATTCCCCGTTCCGTACTAACCCACATTGTAAGTATTCTTTAAATAAAGAATACTACGAACGCGCGGCTATAGACTTATATCTCCTCTCTCTTTCTTCCCTTTTCCTTTTTATTCACGTCCGACGTCAAAAACATACACCTAGTATCCCTACCCTACCTACGATGGAAAGTCGATTTTAACCGGAGATGGAAACAATTTTGGAGAAAATGGTACAATTTCGGCCGATTCGGAGATTTGATAAAGGATGAAAATGAAGGGACTTGATCAGTGCGAATCGCGCGAATATTGCAAAAAATAGCGCTTATGTCATTTCTCGTTTTTTTTTTCGCGCCGCTGAGTATTGGGATATATTGCGCAACAAACGCGGAATTCCATTTTCTCTCTTTCTCTATCTTCGTCGGCGACTCCAACCATCCCTTCGCGCAAGGACGCGAGGAATATCAATTTTTAACGGGCGATAGCGTGACCGTGCGCGAGAGACCGATGCCATTACGGTAAAATTAACATTCTTTACTGCGGCTCTCCTATTAAATTCTCTACCTCCACCTGCTCGTCTTGCCTGCCTGCCTGCCTGGCCTGCCTGCCTGCCTGGCCTGCCGACCCACCCACCTACCTACCTATCTACCTACCCTATCCACCCTCGAGAAAACCCACCCCCGGTACCGAGAAGAGCGTCCCCCGACTCGACGCCTCCGTTCTCTCTCTCGCTCGCGCCGTTCTCCTCTCTCCTTCGTAAACGAGATTACCGCGGTCGTGCCGTTTTGCCGTCCCGTTCTATCGCGTGTCGCATTGCGCGTTCCAGCGTGCGCAGGCTCGACGCTCGACGACGATGCGCGTCGGTGCCGTGCGGTACCGGCATCGTCGTGCACCAACAACGGCGAGAACTTGGCCGAAAGCCGCCCGAGAGCGGCTGGGTGAGCTCGACCTTTCTCGATCGGGCTGCAATGCTATATGTCAATGACGACGACTACGTATTAGCCTTTGACGACGCTCGGCGTACCGGCGACGGGACCGCAGCCTCGCGCTCATCGCTTGGCTCGGCTCGGCGCCTCATCGATTTTCGCCGCGACGCGGCAGCGTTCCCGCGAAGCGTGTCGCGTACAACACGTACAGAGCCCCGCACGCATATGTAACGTTCATACCATCGTGCTTAGCGCATTACGCATCCGCAGAGCACACGACGGCTATGCGTAAAATACAATCGACCGGCTGTTAGCCGTTCCCACTTCTCGCCCTCCTTCTCGCCGACCCTTCTCTGCGTTCCTTTTCCTACATGCCGCCTACATCTCTCTTTCGCGGAATGGAATCGTAGGAGCCGCGACGAAGGGAGTGGAAGAGGTCGCGCGTCGCATCGTCCGTGTCGCGCGAATAATTTTTCTGCATGTGCGCACGCCGCCGCCCGTCGCCGCTAATTAGCCTTATCGACAACACGCCGGGCGTCCGCCACCGAGCGCGCGTAACCGCCGCGTTTCTGGGATATATCGGTCACGGTCACAACGACGGCGGAACGGTTAACAATTCATCGGACGACACATACACGGACACACATACACACACACACACACACATACATACGCGGAGCGAAACGGTGCAAACGCGCAAACAGCGGGGTGTTCCTGGCCGGCTGCGTCGCCGTGTTCCTGGCCGGAGCGCGCCAGCGATCGATATGCGCCGCGCGCGCTTTTCAGAGAAGAAATTTCGCGTTCCTTGGCAAGCGACCGAGCACGCTTCCGCTTCGCTCATGCCGCTCGCGAGAGAATACTCTGACGCACCCTTCCCTGCGTATTATGTCGCGCTTCTCTCTGATTGAGGAAAACACACGATTATTTACAGTTGTCAGCGAATTCGCATCTCGTATGCTGTAGAAGCGCGCAGAAACGCTTCCCCTGCCTTCGCCTTCAACGGAAAATCAATGTCGATAGCGTATCGAAAGATAGCATCGCAGATTCAACTAACCCAAAATTACCTCAATTTCCATTCGTATTTTTGTTCTAGAGCTGTCGATCGCGTTTCTCATAATCAATTCCGCCTGGATATAGTGTCATCGAGAGAGCTGCAGCTGAAACGCGTTGTAGCGATGTGCTGTCGCAGTCTTACACCTGTCGCCGATAATTTCTCTTTTCCTCCGAATGACGTTTCTGGAAAACCGACTTCCTAGCAGACTCGTGACGCATCACGCTTTTTTCTCTCCGTCGCAGGTGATATATCTACAATTATGTTCGAACTGGAAACAAAGCGTGCGACCGGCCGGCTTCGGCGAGTCGCGTGCTCTGAATTATTCACAGCGCGCGCGGTACACATGACTTGCGTAGCCATCTCGCTATTAACCACCTTTGTAAAAAATTTTAGGTCCTCACTGGGTCAGCCGGCCAGCCGATCGGATGATATATACGTATGGATATTCACGCCGGCCAATAAAATAAATAAGCAAACGCGGAATAACGATTTCACGGATATTTATACGATTTACGACGAGCGTCGATGAGCCGTGGACGAGCCACCCTTTTATCCGTTATCGAACAATCATGCCGATAATGATAACAAATTCGTTGAGTACAATTTGGATGAGATTAAGCTAGATTTAGATATCGATATAATTTTGATAATAGGCACTTTGAAATCATTTCTTTCCTAATAAGAAGCCCACTGTAAAGTTCAGTTTCTCGAATATAATATTATAAAGCGATTTCAGTGAAATTAACGCCGTGGCATTGCTTCAATGAGCATGTAGACGCATTGATAATTTGGTAATTGATAGGCAGAACTTTTGATAATTCTAATTTTTCACAGAACGCTTTATCGCAATCACGTATACATACGTGTTGAACGCAATGCAGAACTTTGAAGAATATAATCTATATGATGATTCTCGAAGTGGAGCACGCGGCGAATACGAGCAAGCGAGCGAGAAGCAACGAGACTGAAAGAGAAGCAGAGAGAGAGAGAGAGAGAGAGAAAGAGGGGGGGAGACAGAGAGAAAGAGAGAGAGAAGAGAGTCAAGGAGCCTCCCGCGTATTCTCCCCTTATCTTTATAGATGCTGTGCAGAAAATAAGGTGAGTTTTATCAATAAACAATCATTTATCGTTCCAAAGACTTATTGTTGGAATGTAATCGTTTCTAATCTGTAACTATCAGCGTGATCATACGTTATCTGACATCGCTGTCAAATTGCCGCACTGACACACATACCGGGAAAGTGGAAATAGTATATAGGCAAAGCGACGGTAGAAGGAGAAGGAGGCAAAGGGAGAGGAAGGAGCGAAACGAGCGCCGAGAGAGCAACCGTGAGCTAGAGAGAGAGAGAGAGAGAGAGAGAACGTAAAGGAGGGAAAAACAGGGGAGGAACAGAGAGGTGGGGAAGGAAAGGTAATGGGAGAAAGGCAAGAGAAGCCTGGGAAAGGGGTGCGGAGGACAAGGGCGACGACGACTATGACGACGACGACGGTACGGCCGGGTACGATAAATTTTCACGCTTTACACCCGCCTGTAAATTTCTCGAGAAGGTGGAGATCCGTGAGCTAGAGCGCTCACCGATGAAATTGATCAAAATCAATACTTGGGGGAGAGAGAGAGAAAAACGTACAAAAATTACAGTTCTCTCTCTTTCCCCGCCTAGTCTCGAATAGATCCAATTTGTGTCGTCTACGAAAGCGATAAGGTTTTCTCTATGGTGCGATCTGTCGCTAAAAGACCCTTATTTTATAAAAAAAAAAAATGAAAAAGAAAGAGTAAAGAAAGAATGAATCGATAAGAGTGACACCAAGATACCGCGGGTTAGTTTATATGAAATATGCGGCAAATCTACGTGAAAAGATATCGGTCCGTGCTTGTGTCTTCTACGTGAGATTGAATTACAGGTTTGGTGTTCACCCTATCGTCGTGTGTCGTGTTGCCGTTTTCATAACGACGCGATGGCATGCCACGTCTTGCGAGGGAAAGGGGGTGCGAGAAGTTGGTAAGGTCAACCGTCATTGCGGCGAGGTCGATGATGAGCGCGAGCAAACGCACCGGGAGGCACGAAGTACGCGGAAATCGGTGAGGAGAATCGGCGAGGAGAATCGGCGGCAAGCGGGAAAGAAAGTCCGCGGGCAATTCGGGGGTGCAGGAAAAGAGAGAGAGAGGATGGGAAGGGGATCGGAGCAGGAACGATCGAGGAGGGAAACAACGAGTTACGAAGGAAGGGAGTCGTGAAAACCGACGGGGCCAGAAAAGAAGGGATGGGTGGGACGGAGGGGACCGAACGCATAGCCGAAAAACGCGTCCATCGCATTCGGTCTTCTCACAGGCAGGGAAGCCCGGCTTTGACCCGGTAGCCGGCGCGACACGGCACAGTCCGCGCGACTGCCTGACGCATTGCAGGTGCGCGCCGGCCAATCAGAGTGCCCGCTTAGTTCGCCCGGACTCGTCCTGTAAACACGACCGCACCCACCCCGCCGTGTAAAACGGATTTGTTACGGGGCGGTCGCTGGTACGCCGAACCAGCCGGCTCTGCTCGTCGGCCGCGCGGCCACGTCGCCGTGTGTCTCGCCTCGACGCATCATTCTCTTCTTTCTTCTCTCTCTCTGTCTCCCTTTCGCTCACTCGCGTCGTTTGCGCGATTAAAAACCGCCACGGGCCTTTTTTTCCGCACCTTTCGGCAACGCAGGAAAGCCGCGCGCGCGGTCTAGCTTGCAGCCGCGTAGGCGGCCGGCGCGTCGCGGCCGTCGCGCGCACATCCCCTTCACCCTTCCCGTTCAACGGCGCGCGCCGATTGGCCGGCGCGCTGCCCGTAAGGGGACGGCGTAGTGATATCTGGGCTGCGAGACCAGCGACGGCCCCACGGAGAGCCTCGCAGACCGAGAAAGACACGGCAGACTCCATTGCTGTCCCGAGTGCGTTTCTCGTCGGACTTGGTGTCGCCCGTTACTGCGTGTCCGCGCGCTCGTGTACAAGTTATTCTCTTTGGTACGAACGACGAATCTTCACGACCGATCGACCTACCGACCGGGCCGGAGGTTGTGAATAAATACACTCTTGTTGTCCAGTGTGCGGGTACGCGGGTGTTCGCGGAGCCGAGCCTTCTCGTGCGTGACCGAGACGTGAGAAAAGGGCCACAATGGTAAGTACTTATGCGATTTGTGCCGTAACGCGAAAATACCGCGCGTTGTAATCGTACACGCGTGTACGTCTTCCGTTCCGCGGAATACGTCGTAAACTCATAGTTATCGGTTGTGGCTCGGGCGCTTTCCGACGGCTCTCGGTCTCGCCGCATTGACGCGTCGCCGAGCGCACGTGCAACGAGAGCGTAGAACCAGCGGCGGCGACGATGCGCAATTTACGTCGCGGATTTTACAATTTTGAACTCGTCCGTGCATTCCATCCTGCTCATTCGTTATTCGCGTTCGCCGGCAAGACGGATTTCCTTTTCTGGAAGGATCGCTGTGAGCCTCGTTCTTTCTCTTTTCTTTCTCTCCGCTCTTTATCTATCCCTCTTTCTCCTTCTCTTTCTCTCTTCGTCGACCGTTGTCAGCCTCGGCGTATCGAAACGGTCGAAGCGTATTTCGTCCGTGCCGCCCCGGAGACTGCTCCGACTCCCCGCGATTATCGATCCGGCATGGCCGTCTATACTTCTCCGTGCTCTTCGCAGCGAGTTTCTTCTGTAGCAGCGAGCGAAAATCTGCATCCGCGCGAGCGGAAGTAACCGTCGATCGATCGTTACCGTGTAGGGCGTGAGAAAGAGGGAGAGAGAGAGAGAGACAGAGACAGAGATGGAGAGAGAGATAGAGAGAAAGACAGAAGTAGACACAGAAATGTCTCACCGCTTTTTTTTTCTGCTACGCTGTTTGCGTTCGCGACGGTTACGAGCTTTCACGCGCTCGACACATCGTTTTGACCTGACGCGGCACGACACGCTTACGTGTCCCCGGAATTTTTGCCGTTGCCGCCGGCTGGCTGGCTGGATGGCTGGCTGGCCGGCCGTACATTACGAGAGTAAGACAGGTGGGCGACGGTTCGCCGCCGGAGCAGCTAATTTCGCCGCTTCCAGCCAGCTTCACGCTCGCCGTATCGTCAGCATTTTTGACGTGCGTCGTTCTCTTGGTGTGCCCTCTTGGACTCGTCGAGATAATCGACGAGCGCCACGCAACGGTTATCTTCTCGCCATCCGTCCGTCCGTCCGTCCGTCCGTCCTTCTGTCTGTCCGTGCGCTATTAAATTCACGGTCTTCGCGCTCGAGATCGAAACGCAGCCGCGAAGTTGTCTTGTTCCTCGATCTGCTCTCGGCTACACTTTCCTCCACTTTCCGCATTTGTCGACGAAATGGTTATATATAAGTATTTAAATTAAGAGGGGAGATGTGTATCGCCGGAGAATGTAGAAAGTGTAGCTAAATAAAACGAATTAGCAACGAGGAAAAATCAACCGGCGTTCTCAGCTAACGATGACGCGTCCGCTAATCATTCCGTAATCCCGACGTCTTACGCGAGTCGCAAAAAAAAAAAAAACGACGGCTGCAGCGAAGTTATCGCGCTCCGCGATCTCTCGCACTCGCTTCTCCTTCGATCGCAGGCGGAGATACCTATCGGAGCACGAAATACGAGAACGGAGCGAGCGAGCGAGCACGATACGCCTGACCGCTCCTCCTTTTGCATAATCCATACGGGTCACCCGATATTCATCTTTAAGGGCGCTGCCGAGTTCTCGTTACGTGCGTATCTCGCGGTGTTTTCGACCCGTTTCTTTTTTTCCTTTCTGCGCAATGCGTGCGATGCGGCGTAATCCGCTTGGCGATCAACCGTTTACGGCGATACACGCCGCACTTGGCTATTGATTTTCGCGCTCCCACACCATTGCGCGGCCGTCCGCCGATTCCCCGCGCTCCTTTTACGTTCCCTGTGCTTTCGCCGTGAGCCTGTTACACCAGCTCGCCTTTCGTCTTCGCTTCGCGATGTCGAGTTTCCGCGTCTCCTCGCAACGATAACGACGCATTCGTATCGTTTTATCCGCTACGCAACTCCCCTTGGCAAAGATTCGCCCTGCCCGCTAACATGCGGTTTTCCTGGGGAAGCCATACTTCCCAGCGTTTTGAAAAGTGAGGTTATCCGTTGGTTAGTCATATGCGTCACTAGTCACAATTTTGTCGCAAATATTGACGTTTCTGTAATGGAACGCTTCTTGATAAACAAAATTTTTGTAAAAATAAATTAGTTATTTAGAGAATATAATTATGCACGCGAATGTGTATCTGCAAGATTTATCCGCAAAAACGACAGTAATAAAGATAGCAGCAAAATAGACTGGCAATAATAAAAGTTGCAATATTTTATGATACAATTTTTGTTTCTTGCACATAGAATTGATACATTATTGCCACTTTTTACTTAATTCTGTGACAAATAAGGTATTAAATCAACAACTGTCTGTAATTAGTGTCCAAGAATAGCTTGTGTTGTGTATTTCTAAAGATATCACAATTTAAAGAGTTGCTGCAGAATTTCTTTTATGATAAAAAAGTGACACGATATTTTTGTCACAACAGCAACGTGGTATTTCACGTATTTATTTCGCAACGGTATTTTGCTTAAAAAAATATTAACAATTGCGTTATAGATAGTTCGTGCATTAAACATACGCACACATTTTTGGAAAAGAATCAAAATTTATTTTAACTATACGCAATATAGTCATGGGACATACACATATATCTTCGCATACCTTATAAATGCACAGTATTTGCAATGAATTGTGCGACTATATCGCTTTGTTAATATGCAGATAATTATTTCCAAAGTAGTCTGGGATTTCCTTATTTGTGCAGAAACAATTAAATTGCCTGAATACATTTGATGCATCATCGTACTATTTCTGCCGGCATTGTCTCGCATCTCATTGCCTCATATTACTTGATACACCTAACATTAATTGCGTTCATTTATGAAACTTGTGCTATCGAGACTTCTAAAAGTATTACCCTGATAATCAAATTATTGAATCCGTCAAATGTTATTTTAGTATATTAATTGAGATTGAGACTGAATTATAGCTATATTATGTCGGCGTTGCTTTAATATTTAACTAACGTGACGACCTACAGAAGAATATTTTTGAATTTAAGATAGCAGTTTATATTTACATAATATTAATTCTATTATTTATCACGCTAATTTGAATATTGTGAAACATTCATTAAATATACATGTGCGATTTATGTAAATATTTATGTAATGTGGTTAGGAAACTAAATTTATAAATTGTTTTTTTTATTTAAAGGCTGACCAGCTTACAGAAGAACAAATTGCAGAATTCAAGGAAGCGTTTTCGCTGTTTGATAAAGATGGTGACGGTACCATAACCACCAAAGAATTAGGTACAGTCATGCGGTCCCTTGGACAAAACCCCACAGAGGCCGAACTGCAAGATATGATTAACGAAGTAGATGCAGATGGTACATATTTTGCATAATTTTGCAGCGTTTTTTTTTTGTACAAATTATATCAATGTTTTATTTTTAACTATATGTTTCTAAAAATTCTGATAAAAATATTAAGCTTGAAATTTTTGAAGAGAATTACTTGTTTTTTTTTTTCTTTTTACTAAATAAGTAAATAATGCGAAAATAATAAAATTCTAGGTAACGGCACAATCGACTTTCCGGAGTTCTTGACCATGATGGCGCGTAAAATGAAGGACACGGATAGCGAGGAAGAGATTAGGGAGGCATTTAGAGTGTTTGATAAGGATGGAAACGGTTTCATATCTGCAGCGGAACTTAGACACGTCATGACAAATCTGGGCGAAAAACTAACTGATGAGGAGGTAGACGAAATGATACGAGAGGCCGATATCGACGGCGACGGCCAAGTTAATTATGAAGGTTGTATTGCATTTTTAATTGGTTTATTTGCATCATTAATAAGCATAAAAGGATCGTTAATATCTGTATCAGACTCTATTGATTATGTCAAAAAGCGAGCGTCAAAAAATCCATGAATAATTTTTACAATTTTTACTTCTGCAAGTGACTTATTGTCAATGATAAAAATGAAAAATTGTTTTAATTCGAGGTAGTAATTTGCGCAATTGATTTTTATATATCTGCTCGCAATTTTTTGTGCTTAGAGATTTCTGACTACCTTTATTCTTACATTTTTTTACAAAGTTTTGTTATTTTTGTGCATATGATGTACGATTAACATGCGTAAAACTAACGAGCTCTTTCATTGTATTTTTCAGAATTTGTCACAATGATGACATCAAAGTGAATGCAACCTGTGTAACGGAAGAACTTGCGACTGGTGGTGTTGACGTATTAAATAAATCAAGAAACAGAGAAAAAACATATGTAACAAAAAGAGAATCAACCAGAAAGTGATCTTGTATCAGGATACGAAGATGTCTATAAAAGCGCGAAGAGTCAACGTCCGATACCGCGTTAAAATCATCGTTTAACGATAAGTAATACAGGGCAATTAATTGTTTAATTAAAGAGTTATACCACTAAAAATCATTATCTCTCAAAAAAAAACACGAATATTTACGCAACACAGTAATACCGATACACATACGAACACAATACACTCGAAGAGTATACACACGCATTAACATATTCACTCGGATGTCTTATTTCCATCGGAAAAAAAAACACAAATTTGGAAGTGAGATAACGCGAAGACACAATTGCGCGCGCATGTGCACCAACGACAAAAAAAAAGTGCATTTTCCACTTTCCTCTCTTTCTCGACTGCCCCCCCTATCCCCTCTTCTTGTCGCGTTCTTCGTTCACCACTCCCTTCTTCCTCTCGTCACCCGATCTCCTTCGTCTCCCCGAAAAGTTTTTTCATGAGGAAAGGCATGTCGAAGAATTGTAATTTCTCTTTGCGAAGGGAGAGGAAATGTGTGTGTTAGGGGACAAAGTATAAATCCGATGTAAGATAATATTAAAAGCAGCAAAGTTTTATTTGCCAATCGAGAGAGAGATTCATCGTGAATTCCTTCGTTCATTTTTTTAATAAACGAGATACGTGTATAGTGAATGATGACATTAGGGTATGTAGCTGCTAAATAGATGATGTCTCTACCATTAAAATGCATGCACATGTACAAATGTTTGTTTGTCTCTGTGAGAGAGAATTCGGCCTGGACCGATCATTTTCCAGACAAAGAGAGAGCGAGAGAGTATAAATACGATGCGCTTCGGCCTCTGGGTTATTGACGACTTCAAATGCAACAGCTATACTGGACCCCTCGATGCCTCAAATGAATAACTTAATTTATATAAGTAATGAGCGAGAAAATTTATAAAAAAAGAAATACGGAGCGAAAGAAGGAAAGAGAGATGAGACGAGATGAGACGAGATGAGATGAGATGAGATAGAGATAAGAAAGAATTGGAGGAGGAGCCTCGAGGAGCTCAGATCTAGTGCTTTCGCGCGTGTCGCGTCTCGCGGAACGGAATAGGAGATCGGTCGCGCGGTTAACGTCACGGGAATGCGAACGAGTCGCGACGCGATCGTTGGAAAGCTCCAGGATCCGAAGTCTCGACATTCCTATTTGAAAAAAATATCTCTTCCTTGCGCTTTCAACCGACATCATTCAAGCCTCTCGTGTCCGTACACACGGGACTCACACGTACACGTACGTTTTACGCGAGAAACTATACACACGAAAGATTTACACACAGCAAAAAAAATATAAGAGAAACACTATAATACTATATTCACGAAGTGCGTTTTGCCTCCAGTTCCATTTTAATCTCCTATTTGTAAACTTGCCTTCCACTCGGGAAAGTCTTACATACATGCGCGCAAAAAAAAGAAATCCAAAAAAAAAAAAGAGAGAGAGAAAACGACGTCGACACCACTTTTGTTGATATGTATAAATTCACGGAGATAAATAAAATAGGGATGGGGGATTAAAGGAAGTAAAGGCCACATTGAGAGATCGGTGCATTACTTTTCTTCGCCCAGGGGTGCGTGCCAGTCTCGTAAAAAGCGGAGCCAACCAGATCGGAGAAACTGGTGTGATTTTGTGCGATCCGTACGATATAATGTTACTTAAGAACTCGAGAGCAAAGAACATAAATGCCGTACAGCGTAAAAAACATCATGCGTGTCGGTGGTTCAAGTCATAATATACATGTAATATATATTATATATATATATATATATATATAAAAATAATTTACGAAGAAATTAAGAAAAAAAAGATGAAAGAGATAACTCCTCCACAGTCCTTTATTATTTAATATTGAAGTGAACAAAATGAGAAGTACTTGTATTTCTGGTGACCTAGATCGCATTGATCATTAAACGATAAAAAAAAAAAGATTTAAAAAAGGAAAAAAAAAGATAAAAAGACAAAATAAATGTATCCTCATTTTTAGGTCACAGCTACTCAATTCGTTTCCTTCATTAACCAATGGACCTCTCGTTTCAGCAACCATCTCTTTTTTGTGTTCGATGGCATCTAGATACTTTGCTATGAGAATATTTCATTGTGTCTCTGTGAACAGGATCCACTTTACATATCTCTAACTTTTCTCGCTACCCTCGGAAAAAACTTTTGAGAAAATTAGATATAGGTTACAAGAAAGTACGGTATTACTTATAATTAGGAACTCGCTCCGCGTTATTAAATATCCGAAAAAAAGAGATGAAAAAAAAGCACACATTGGGTCTACTTGTGAACTGTAGTATTCTGTGTCGAGATATATTTCCACTTACACTTTATTAAGAATGAGAAAGATTGTCAATACACACTCGTTTTTTTGTAAAAGTGGTCGTTAGTATTCGACAGGCATCTGTATCTAAATGCTTCCAAATCCGCTTCGTTTCATCGAACACCGATACCTAGCGATTAAGTCTCTTACGTTACAAAGACTCTATTCCAGTATTTAATATAATAGTAATTTTATATATCCGTATCGCAAAATCTATTTATTGAAAGAATTTTCGCGCGCCGAGGATAGAGAGATAGAGAAAATACGGCGCATGGAAGCTCTTGTTGTGAACGTTAACATCGAGGCAATGCCAAATCTTTACCGAATACTATTGAAGCGTTAGCTCTTCTAATATTTAATTTAGCGTCCCCTCGATCTTTGTTATTGAAATACACGTTGTTGTTACTTAAAAAAAAAAAAAGATATCGTTTATACCATATTTGCTTGCTTGCGCAGGTACCAAGACACATCCTGCTTCTATATCGAACGTTGTATTTATTTCAATGTGTACATACGAACGTAAAATCGATCGACGAAGTGAGTTTTCGTTCGTTCGTTATATTAATTGTACTTCTTAAAGCAATCAAGTTCGTTGTGACATAAACAAGGAGACGTTGTATGTTGCAAGATGAGGAAATATTTTTATCGAATTTACTTCGAGCACAGACTCGGTGTCCTATATTTCTTTCTTTTTTTTTTTATTATTTTGAACGATTACAGCCGTTCGATTAATGCTTCTTGATTTCTCAGACTCTAATTCGAACATTGTTTCTAGTGTATGTAAGTATATTCTCTGCCGTATCTCAAAGGCGTTCTTCACTTCTTGTCGTACATAATAAAGCGGCACAGTTTGTATAAAGTGTTGATATTAAGTTAATAAATTGTTCCTATATACTTATATGGGAGCAAACTGGTGTTTATCTATAATACAAGCGATTTTATCTCCCCGAAATAAATAATGACGGTTTAGAATAGTTAGTGAACGCGAATGAAACAGCTACGGGATATTATAGCGCTCTTGCACAGCGTTTCGTTGGAGTTTCACATGAATTCCACAGCTCTTATTTTATGTGTTTATGTCTAGCGATAGATTTGTATGCGTCAAAAACTTAACAGAAATAGGATATCTTTTTTTTTTAAAAATACTACTATATTTTTTGTACATATTTTTTTTAAACTCATCACGTAACACAATAACAAGATTGATTCGATGATTATGCAGATATGTTTTGCTGACATTGCACCAGGTGTACTCTCACAATCCGCATTCTTTTGGTATAACTTTGAAGTGCTCGCACACCGCCATCTGCAAGTGTTTCAGTATTTTTGTCTGATACATGGAACTCTGAAAGCAGCACGTATTTTTCGGTAAATTCAGCGTATCGTCGCATTTATTTTTTATTTAGCCGATTACGAAACTCACCTTGTTGAGGGTAACTGTTGGTATAAAATACACTTGTGGCACAAGCGAGTACGTCATCTGCCCATACTTGGCCAAGAGTTCCTTTCCCCTTTGCGTGTTCGAACATTTCTTGATAGACTCCAGATTCACGGTTATGCGCTCGGCACAGGTATTCATTATCCCTACCGGATCAATGTTATTCTCGATCATGCAGGTCACAAATTGTAGTCGTATCGATGGGTCCTCGATGACATCGATGGAACATGCGTGTATGATATTCGCCTTACACTCGATCGGTCCGTGCTGACACTTGAATACGTACCCATCGTTTGTTTTCCTCATCTGAAATCAAACGTGTATTTTAATAAACAAGTGATTTATTTAATTATTTGCAATATACATATTTATTCATTTATATTAATTTATTTAACTCGTAACAGTGGTAATAGTAATAGGGAATAATTTTGAGTTGCAGCAAACTTTTCTTACCCCGCCCTTTCCAAACGGTATCAATTCAATTTCCACATTCGCCGAAAGTGTTCGGTACATCGGTCCTAATTGCCGTATAATAAAACTACGCGAATCCGGGCATAGTGCTTCGTAATACACGGCCACGTGTACTTTCTCTCGGACCGAATCATTCTTCTGACTCAACGCTGTCTCCGCTTGTCCATCTACGTGAAATTTTGCAACATATTCAGAAAATATTTAAGATTCTGCTTAACAAGCGATAGGATATGTGGATAGAAGAGACGAAGGTGTGAAATATCAAAATATACATTCAGCATTAATGCTTACTTTAAACATATGTAGTATTTTTGTCGTAGTATTTTTAAATGCCTTAAACTTTTTATAATTAATTTTTAATATTATTGAAAATTTTATTATTTGTTCTTATCTGTTAAAACTTCTATTTTTTGCAAGATACACTTTCAGAAAGTCGTAATCTGTGAATTGTCTCTTATCTCGTTGAACATTGATAAATGACAGTCCATTTTTTATTACGTGAACGGTGTAATTATTGTATATATACCTAACCCACTTTTTGCAGCGTCACGTTTTTATTATATTTTTTTCCCATATAAATCTCGTACATGAAGATCGTAGATTGTGGAATTAACTATTGCGATCTAACAAACGTTAATTTAAATTGTAACTAATCACAGCTTGAATCTTAACAAACTGACAATATTTATTCGACGAATATTGAATGAAGATGAGTCCCTTACAAGTATTACACGTATTACAAGTATTAAACAACTATTTTTTCTAACAGCAATTTACAGAATGGAAATTTATGAAATATAGCTCAAAAAATCTGTCTACAATTAACTACTTTTAACTACTTTCAACTACAATTAACAATTTTTCAAATTAAAAGACATCACCATTACATTCAATATATCGAACGGAGATCAAACCCGACATGAAGCCATTACAAATGTCAAACACAATTATCTTCTTCGAACGACAATTTATATAACAATATGTGAGAAGGAAATACGATTTTTTAAATATAAATTTTTAATTACCGACTTCTTCGAGATTGATAAACAACATTTAATAGCATTATCATTGTCTATTACGAGTACTGCTGTCAAAATCAATATACAAAAGCTGTATGAAGAGTGTGTGCGGTCAGCCTTTGCAGCGATAAGTGCAGCGCGAAATATATATAGCGACGGGTGTATGCGGCGCTCGCGTGTGCAAGAGCCTCTTACCTTGCGTGGCGGCGCCGTCTTCTAGGAATGCCAGCCAGATCTTTGAAGTCTGCCAGAGCAGCAGACCGACGACGAGGATGATTACGAGTCGCCTCCCTAACCCCATCGTCCCAGCTGCTGTCACAATAAGAGGCGCGCGCGACTGTCGCTCGCGCGGCGGTAGCAGCGGCCTCGTTAAAGCGTGGAGCTGACGCAACGAGTCCTAATGTCAAACACGGCGACATAACATGGACATGAACGCAACGATGCGTGTGCTCACCCAACGGCAACCGATGTTGTGTCAACCGGTCGATCGCAGTTACGCGGTTCTACGACACGTTATGCGTCTTTTTAACGGGATTATGGCTGCGCCGTGATGTTTTTTTCCTCCCGTTATCGTACGCCACGTAATGCTCGCACAATCCATGTATGAAGTCTGTTCTTTCCAGCAGCTCTTTCTTTCGACTTTTTCTCTTTTTCCCCAGTGACTAAATATATACTTATTTTATCTTAAATGTAGAAACCTGAGGCGTATCGAAGTTGCACTTAAGAAAGGAGCAATGTCATAACTCATTGTCATAACCCCCTTGTGATTTACCCAAAACACAGAATAAAGTTTTGATTTATGCTGATGAATAAACTAAATGTGTGCGTATGTGTGACGCAACACACTAATCATAAAAATTTTAATGATTTAAAAATGCTTACATTATGCCTATTCTGTTTTTTATTAATAATCTATATCTATTATTTTCTTTCATCTAAATATAAAATGATTTTTTAGGATTTTTAGGAATATACGCGAAATTGGAGAAATTCATTAAGAAGTTTATTTTATTTTAAATTTATTTAGCTCAAATTTATTTTCCAGTGCGGTCCAGTTCTGCGAGAAATGTTCTGCATTTGTTTTTAAGCACTTTAACAGCTTCTGTGAATAATACTGCTGAAGATAACGTTCCCACAGATTCTATAGTGACTAAAAATCAAGAAAAATTAATTAGATGTAAATTTTACAGTTATCATATATTATGTGAAATTTCTATTGAGCAATATATTTATGTAACAAATTAAATATGACTTTGGCTCTGATTTTTGTCGAAAAATTTCCAGATTGTGCATACTCACAGATAAAATGATTTTTTACACGACTTAGCTCCACACAATTCTTCAATTGATCGTAACGATAGACATTTCTGGCACAGCTGTCATAACGAGCATTCTTTACACGCGCTTCTCGGTACTTCTGTCCCGAGTTTGTTTCTTGTTCTATCACTTCTATCACGCCCGGACTGAAGCAACTTTGTAGAAGATCTGCGTCCTTGTCCCTTACAGATTTGGTCAACCGAATGGCTGGCATGAGGCGATAAGATGCAGTGGCTAAACACATTTTTATTATTACACAACACCTGATGCAAGTAATTTATTTGAAATATAATTGAAAATTATTTAATTATTATCAAAATACATAAAGCTGTGACAGTAATATTATCTGTAGAATTTTTACATACCCACGGGAGAAAATTTGGCGTGATCTTTGCCGATGCCCTTAACAGCATGCATAAACGCATGGATCTCATGACCTGGACGCATTTTACATATCAATATATCATTCTCTAGCACGCCCATCTGTTCTGCTCCACGTGGAAACATATCTGCCTGCCGGCCTATAGGTACCCATTTAATATCTTTACTATAAACTATAAAAGAAAGATTGCATGTTATTTCACATATATAAATTCTCCAGTACAGTTATATATTTTGAAACATTCTAGTTAATATTGCATAATATAAATCCGCAAAAGTTTAGTCAGTACCTTTGCTATTTCTATACATGTCCTCTGGAAGATGGGAGTTTTTTGGCGCTTGTGGATTTACAGTACATGTAGCTTTGAGTTCATATCTTAGAGTGTCTTGATCACTAACCTCGTCATCTGCTTTTCCATCATTAGGAGGATATTCAAAAAGTCGAGCATCTGCCTGAAGAGGTATAAGGCCCAATCTTGAATTTAAAATAGATTTTGATTGTCATATCGAAAAATTGTAGAAATTATGAAAACATTCATTATAGAATTCAGTTCTCTCACCTATGCGCAAGTACTTCATCCTGCAATAGACTAGTGTTGTTCACAATATAAACCTGCTCAATAGCCATACTTGGCACTTCACTCAGGAGTATTCTGCGGTACGCGTTGACTATTGAAGTGTGACAGCCAATTATATCAAATTCTAGCTCTCTATCCTCTTCTCGTATTATTTCTATCTTCAATTCCTATAAAAGAGAAAAATGTTTTAAAATATTGATTTATTAATAAACAATATAATGTTTATTTTACAATATTACTTTTATAAGTCTTTCTAGCGTTGTTGATTTGTCCGAGTCGTCCGGAATTTCCTTGATCTGTTAAAAAAAAATAAATTTATAATGCACATGTTCACAACCGGTCAACAAGACAAAATTTTTTGATAATTCTGAGTAAACTAACAATTTCGCATTCTCGCATAAACCATGATCCCTTTTTCATTGTAACTTTTTTATATTTAAACGGCACAAAGACTTATATTTCTTAATACTTAATACAAAAGAAATCTATTTTCTTAGGTTAGAAATGCGTTGATACAATTCCGAATCATATGAATACAGTTATGGCATCGATTATGATGTGTTCAGAAAGTGCATCAGCTGTACAACTGCTACATTGTCTTGTTCATTGATTGGTCAATTCTTCTAGATCTACGCTTCTTAGTTTTTTATTTTTCAAAAGTTTGTCACTTGCTGTATTTTCTAAATGCAGCCATTGTGATTATGTGCTTTAGAATAGTAAATAACACAATGTTTAAATTTTAGACGATTAACTCCAATTAACTCGTCAGAAAGTTCGCGATAATGGTCGAGCTGGATGAATACAAAGAACGTGTGCGACAGATCAGAGAATATGCGATCGATCATAATATCACGGAAGCACAAACGTCGGAAATATTTCAAGCTTGTTTTCGGCAATTAGAGGCAAAGTATTCGAAGAAATCAAATAGATCACGAAGACCATTGCGACTTGTCCTTTTCTTCGTTTTCATCTCGATCGTTGCTGTATTGTTACATTTATGCAGCCAAAAATGGTTAAATGATATATTTGTCAGAATCTCACAAAATTCCATTTATCCCGTTTTATATGTACTTCGGAAAGTGGCTATACCTGTCATCAGCCTATATCCATCTTTATCTGGTTTGTAATAAAAAATTAATATTGAAATATTTTAATAGAAGAGAAAGTCAAAAAGTAAAGAGATTTTTTTAAAGAGTTTGATTTCTGAAATGTCTTTTTTTTTTTACTTTTTTTGATATAATTGTGTCTCGGAATATTAAAGAATATTGTTATGAAAAATATTTGAATATAATTTGAAATATTTGTATTATTTCAGATTTATATGATGAATGGTGCTTGATAGAAAATCCATATTTCTATGTTAGCGACATGGATTGCTGGCCCTGTACTGCCGTCCATTCCGTCCCAGATTTGACTGGTCACAGTATCAGTAGATCTTTCAATATCGGTATACCATATACTAGAGCGGAGAATAATACTAAAGTGAAAATGAAAGATCTAGTTGACACATATTGGAGCAACAAAGATATCTTTGATGAAGATGCTAGAAGAATTTCTTCCAATAATGAGACTTTAAGGTAAGTTTTTACATATACAAATTATGTATCACACGTAAGTTTTAGAATATATATTTTATTAAACAGAATGCATTGCATTTATACATAGAACTATTCGTGATGTCATGGATAATAGATTGGATGTATATCCAACTAATTTGCTTACTACACACATATCTTGGAGAATAAACCGTATGAAGCCTAACAGGATACTTCGAAAGTTATTTCCAAAACCGGCCGAAACTCCGGATTGGTGGAGTCAGAGCATAGAAAAGTACATTTTTATTGATGAATCAAGATCACCTCCTTATCTGTTGGTATGAAAAGCACTCACATTATAATTTTATAAATTCGTAAGTGGTCCATTTGTTAATTTTTTTTTATTAGCCTAATCCCGAGTGCAGTAATATCGTGATACGGTGCGCGGCTGGTGCGAGGTTGATAAAAATGATACCGAGCTCAGAGTGCATTCAACATTGTAGATCCTTGACCATTTTATTGTCCGCTGGACATACTTGTGAGTATTAGAAATTTGCAGATGACAAACTTTCTTTTCTTGTTATTAATTGTAAGTTTTATTTTCTTATTTTTTTTTTTTATTTTTTAAGTATGGTACAATTGGTGGTATTGGAGACCTGTGAGTCTGCCAGTGTACAATGCTACTGATCTCTTTATCGGTTACCTAACTTCACTTTGTTAGCGCCACCGATAGAAGAGACGTTCTCGATGTGCCAAAGCAACGATAGCCAAATGATAAAGTCGCGTTTCATAAAATTTATATATTGTGTTTATCTGCATGTTTTTATTTTATATTTATTTATTTTAATAATAAATATAATCGTTTATTTTAATCTTGTGAACATCAACATATATATATATATAAAGTGTTTCAGACCAACTGTATCACTTATTAATAGCAAACCCTGACATCATTTGGAGATGAAAATCTTTATACAATAATGTCGAGACTACATTAATTTTTAAATGAAGTATTTAAAATCGGCTAATCAGATTGTCAAAAATTCACGCGCTCAAATACATCGTATATTGATTTTTATATTCTTATGTGTGAAACCTCAGAAATTTGCTATTAACGGATCATCCGAGATACCTTGCGTATATTTTACATTATTTGCAAATCTATTAATGACATTAAAATAAAACAAATTGGACAGATTTACTGGCACGATGCGCAGCAGCGGAATCGATCACAAGATCTGTAACATAGAAAACACAACCAAATTACAGCAGCAAAAATAATTATTTGGAAAATAACTAAGCACATTAAACTTTTTTTTATGCAAATATCTAATAAAAGAATTTGTATATTGATATCTAATAATCATAAATATTAAAAATTGTAACTTTTTATGGAATATTTCAAACTATGTGCGTTATATTACATAATATTTAACAATTCTTTTATCGGATATTTGCATAAAGGATGAGTAAAAGTTTAATATGCGTAATAATTATTTTCAACGCTGCTATAACATGGTTGTGCTTTGTATGTTACAGATTAACATGTGTCGATTTCGCTGCTACGCATCGTGCCAATAAATTTGTCCAAGTGCCGGGAAGACAATCTACAATTTGTTTTACTTTAATATCATTAAGAAAATAAATTTGCAAATATTGTACAAGGTGTCTCGGATTAATTGTCATCCGTTAATAGTAGATTACTGAGATTTCTTATATGCTAAAGATATCAAAATCAATATGCAATGTATTTGAGCGCGTAAATTTTTGACAATTTGGTCTGCTGACTTCAAACATTTCTCATTTAAAAATTTTTATAGCCTCGACATTTTTGTATAAAAATTTTCGTCTTTCAATGATCCCAGCATCTGCTATTAACGAGTGATGTGGTTAATTTGGAATACTCTGTGTGTGTGTGTGTGTATATATTTATATTTATATATATATATTTATGTACATATTCGCGCGCAATGTTGACAATATACGATCTTTTACACATTTAGATTTTTAAAGAACAGTATTATTTCTTTGTTATAATGCAACGATGCGTGAAATAAAAAATAAAACTCAACAACCCGTCAATCTAGAATTACCTGAGATCATGTCCTGGGCGTGATATTGTCTAAAATGTAGGCGTATTTGTGTAACAATCATAATAGCTGCGGATTTCTTCGCTTGTAGTTTACATATTTAAACGATATCCGTATAATCTAAACTGAGAAAATAACGCGCAGTAACATAAATTACAATAACAATAAATAAGTTATGCGTAAATTGTGCTCGTGGAAACTCGCACCATATTATCTCGCACGTATAATCCACGTGACTAAATGCAGATAATTTCATAGCAACAGCGCGGGAAAACGAATTCCGCAATTGACCGCTTTCAGCTCTCTTAACACTATTTGGGTCTCGCACAACTTTTACAAATTTCCTAAGTAAATCATCATTCTTCAAAGTATTTTGTTCCGTAAAAACGGAGATTTCTTCCTTCTCGCGTAATATCGGAATGTCACCGTGAAAAGTATCGTCGATCAAATATTTCAGTGTTTTACTCGAACTTCTGCTTGAGCTTTTGCTTATATAGTACAGGTAACAGAGAGAGCAGCGCAAGCACACACAGTGTGATTATGCTATTCCACGACCACGCGTCGCTCGACGAGGTGAGCTTGTGCAATGTTTGACCCGCCTGTATAGCGACGATAGAAGGCGGTGCAACACCGAGGAAGGTGCCGATGGTAAACGGCATCATCGGCACGCCGATTACCGGACTGGGCAAGATTGATGAACCAGTTTGGCAGTAGTGGCGTCATCCTGAGGAACAGCATGTAGTATAGCAGATTGTCGCGATGCTTGACTACGGTGACGGTCCACTCATTCGCCTTCTCTGGGAAATATCGATACAGCAGCCGCCTGCCCAACAATGAGGACAACAGGTAGCATAGAGTGGCGCCGATCGCGCTGCATGTGCACACTAGTAGCAACGCGATCGGAAAGCGGAATAAAAATCCCGACAGAATCGAGAGAAAAATGGAGCCGGGAATGGCGAACGTTTGTAGACTAGAGGTACGATGTAAGAAATATAGTTTATCTCAATATATTAGCTGAAAAGCAAGGCAAAAATATTCGTAAAAAATATTTAAGGATACAAGATGTAAGTGACGAAGAGCCCAGCTAGCACTTGAAAATAATACAGATCCTTGTACCTTTCCAGCAATTTTCCTAGATTCTTGGCATCTTCTATGTGAAACGGTAATTTCATATGCCGTTTTTCATCTCTGCAAAATACATGAAAGATATATATTTTATACTTTATGTAAAATGCATGAAATGTTGAATGCAAAACTAGCTTGACAAACAATCTTACTCTTCCAACTCTGGAAAACTCATATATACATAAAACAATGCAATCAGTGAGGCTACGAAGATGAGTCCAACGGTTAATACCGCTCTTCTTGTAGAAGTTTCACCATTGGTATCTTTGGTATTGTGTACTGTAAAACATGTAAAAAAGAAATATAATGCATTTTTATATAGATTTTGATTGAATGTAAACTTTATTTGCATTGATGAAATTTTAATATCAGATAATTTTAAAGTTTTTATAAAGATAAAAATATTTTTAAAAAGTTTAATATAAATTTTAGAAAAAAAGAATACGAAATTTAGATTAAAAAAAAAAATATGTAGAAATGTATAGAGAGAGATATATAATATGTAAACATGAATAATAATTAAGTACACAAGTTCTGTAATAGGTTATATAAATATTCGCGAATAGTTTTCTCATGAAGTGTGCTACTTACACGCTTTTTCGCACATCATTTGAGAAATGCATTCTGTCATTTTCTAAACGTATACAACATTAGAATCAGGTCAACTAAATACGTTATTTCCAGACTTATTTTCTGTAAAAAGAAAAAGAATCAACTCATCTCACCTGATTTCGCGTTGATCTTCGAACTCATCTTCCGTTTTTCTTTTTGTGTCACGTTCCACGAATGAATTCGATGCACTTTCTTTGGTTACTTCGTTTCACTGCATATCACAATTAATATATAACTATTCGCCCGGACGGCAGTACCAAAGATAGAAACGGGAAGCGTCCTCGAAAGACTACAGGTTACTATTGATAATAGACACGTTCCGAAAATCAGCTGACAGCCTCGTGTTGTCTCGGCATTGGCTCTAAATTTTCTAACGCGACTGCTCCCACTGGCGATAATCGCGCAAGGTGTCGCGTTGAGAATCATGACACAATCACGTAAATGAAGTATAGAGGGCGTCCCTAGTGCAATCGAAATGCTTAACTGCATTCCGGCGCACTTCACGCGTTTCAAATCGAATGAACATATGTGTTGTAGGGTATATAATTTATATACTTACGTATTTAAATTACTAATTTACATTATCTCTTTTCAGATATAAAGGAGAACGAAAGGAGAATAGAAGATTCTAAGAAATAATCTAATAGCACGATTATATACCAACGATTAATAAGGCAGTGATCGGAAATACGGGATTAAATGAAAAACATGTGTTCGCAAAAATAATGTTTTTATCATCACGCTGCTCTAAATTGCTGCCAACTGTAGGTCGTTCGGATAAGAAAAATTAAGTTTACTGCAATGCACATATAATGGCCGATATATAGCAGCGTTAATTCAACCGCATCATTCCTTTGTTTCATTTTGAAGCACAGTCACGACGACATAGTCTGTCAGCAATCTGTATTTACGTCAAAGATCTTCAATTGTAAGACGATTATTTATATTCTAGTATTTCTCTTGCACGTATTTCAATTTTTATCACTCATGCTATTTGATGTAATGCAGGAAGGAATGCGGAACCCGGCGGAACAAGAAGAGAAAGAGAGATGACCTCTCTTTTGCCTCGGCGACAGACCAGCTCCAGATGTTGTATGCCAAACAAAATCCAGCGAACGTGTGTCAAGACCGAGGTTGGTACTTTAAGATATCCTGCCGACAGGAAAGGACAGGAAACGAGGTCGAGTTCTAACTTGAGTTTGCAGGAAATGTCCGGACCGACTTAAGCAGCAGGTATCGATCTCAGGTTATGTTTTTGCTCGGGTGCTTAAACTGAAAATAATTAAATTTCACTGTACAACTTGTGTGAAAAGTATGGAAAGTAAAATAACATGTTATTAAATTAAATTTTCGAACAAACTCTTCTAACAATGTTAAATTAAATTAAATCATAGAAATGAATAATATTCTGATAATTTTGAAATTCAAATATTATCTGTTTTCGCACACCATGTGTTTTATCTTTTAAAATTGAGTATAGCAATTTCAATTTTTCTCTGCTAAATTATAATTTGGGATCTCACATGAAAAATCATAATAGATAAAGTAAAATTTTTATTTTACACATTTACAAAATTATAATATACATCTACAATAGTACAAAAATAATAGATCTACTTCATTCTTCGCACTGATTATGACTTAACGCTAACACTTCTGTAACACATGTATCAGCAGCTCCGTCATCGTTAACTAGTCTTGTTTCTCTTCTCATTTCCTTCCGTTTCCCTAATTCCGTTTCCTGATTCGTAACGCTTGGCGGACCAGCGCCGACAAATTGCGAATGAAATGATATATTACGCCTCTTCGACAGGATACGGGAATAAATTTACACCTGCGAGGTCCATTATCGCGTGATCGCAACGAGGCCCGGCGGCTATAATGAGGGCCGCCGAAATGATAGACTGCGGTCAATTATTGTACAATTCGGTAGCGCGTATAATTTGCGCGTTCAACCCGGCAGATTCACCAGGTAGATTATGGGACGGTGGCCATGCGCTCTCACATACGTGCAGCGACGATAATTAGCCGGGATTGCAACAGAGTAGTCATAACGAGATCCGAGAGATCGCGGGATACGCATTACTCCAGATGATTAATATACTACTTAATATAATTAAGTTGCTCGTATCGTGCGATATCTACTGGCGGTCGGCTTCTTGAATACTCGACAAGGATGTTATCGAGGTGTACAATTAATTTTTCTTAGAGATTCCGCAATGGAAAAGAGATCAGGATGTAACTGATGAATGTGCCGATTTCATTTAGATTATCATCGACGTATCAATCTGAATAATTAAACTTTCATGATTTCACTAAATTATTTCGCGTAAAATGATAAGGATGAATTTCGAGACTATTTGGATTGATCGCGAATCTTCGCCAAAAGATTATCCGATGTTCAAAATCAACTAACTCGAGACTTCTTAATTAACGAAACGCATAATGATGCTTTGTCGTTATCGATTGTTATAGAAAAATTGTTAAAGAAATATTTATGAGAGAATTTTACTCTTCTTTTTTTCATGTATAAATATTATTTGTTATTAAATTAATATCAGAGTGCTGTCAAACTTTATCTTCTTTTACAGCCAGCCGGTCGCTAGCCTCGGCATTCCGGGTGCAGCTTGCTTCTAGGGTTAATACCACTGTGGAATGCAGAAGGACGCTGGACCACTCCACGTAAGGCGGCTATTTCCCGCGGGGTTAATCATCTCAGGTAAGAGATGATCGCATATCTATATGTAAGTGTGCAAAACCTGTCGGACCCCCTCTGTCCTCTCTCCCCCGGATCCCCAGCCAACCCCTTTTCCGTCCCTCTATCTGGAGAGAATTTTCTCTCCGACGACACCGAGGCCACAGCCGATCTCAATGGTCCCGCCGCTTCCTCCGTTCCTTCAGGGCTGTTTTATCGCATTCATAGACCCCAGGCCTAATTTGCTTTACAACGTTATCTCGAATAAGTAAGATATGTGTGAAAGTCGGAATTATTAAAGTAATGTTAGCTCTGCTTTATCGAATTTGACGAACTTTTTCTGAGGGGTTTGATTATTTTAACATTGGATTTTATCAGATAATTCAATATTAATTAATAATATTTATTATTTATTAATATACAATTCTTACAGATAAACATTATCAAAAAAATTCCTTTTTGAATAATTTGTCAAAGTAGAATCTAGAAAGCAATTACGATAGATTTTTGCACATATACTTTTCTGAAAACTGTAAGAGATTTTCAATTATTCAAATAACACATAAAATTTTCTCAGGTATCGAACAAACTTGTTTTTTGTCAAGTAAACCTTAAATAAATCGGTAAAGTTCGCAAAATAATTACGCCACAGTTTTTATAAACAACAATTCGCGCGTAACTTTTCAACTAAATTAATTTCCATCCAGTAAATTGTAGGGGGGCTCTAATAAAATCGCGGACCTAGGCAATAAAACGTTCCTGCGTCTCGATATCCTTCTCTTCATTCGTCTCTCTTTCTTTTCCTCTTCGTTTCTCCTTCCTCTGCGCGCACACACACACACACACACACACACACACACACATACACGAATGCACCGCTCTCGCGCTTGCGTCCGTTCGACTTTGCCGCGATTAGGTCGTGGGCGGAAATCAGTATAACTCGGCGGACTAGTCGAGTCGCGACTGTGCGATGGTACGCACGTTTTCCGCGTGTGTTGTGTGCGGTATCGAGGAGAGTCTCCGGAGAGCTCCGTTTCACATATTCGGTGTCTCTTACGATCATCGTCGTCATTGAAGAGTGGTAACATGACGGCGTCGCGACGCTGACGCGCCTTCTATTTTTCTTTTTTTTCCCTTTTCTTTTTTTTTAATCGAAAATATCGACACTGTCGATATCGGCCGGTTATTATTCGGTGTTGAGAGATCATCCCCCTGGTGCTCTGTGCGACATAGTGGCGATCCGCGGAAAATTGTCACACGGGGCTGCAGCAACGCGTCTTCTTTCTTCCCCGTCTCTTCCTCCTCGGCTACGTCGCCTCGGATTACATCATGACAGACTCGACTCCACCGAAGGCAGCGTGAGTACACTAGAGTGGTGCTGGCGGTGCCGTGATGAGGTTGATCTAATTCGATCGGTCCGGCAAATCGCGGCGCTCTCGCGTCGACGACGAGCCGAGATCACGCGAGAGAAAATGTATCATATTCGAGCGCTATTTTTCAACTTCTTGATGTTAAAGGATGAGATGATGATACATGACGCAAAAGGTGCAAAATCGCTTTGCAAAACACAAATTTTCCGACATGGAAATTATTCTTATTTTTTTCATACTTTTTTCGAATAATTTCTACGTAAAAGCACAATATTTTAAAAAATATTCTTTTGAAGTGATAGAAATGCCACTTGCTTCAGCATACCATTATTTTTTTCTTAGTTTGTTTGCTCCTTCTCCATATTAGAACTTTTTCTGCCATTTATTGTCTTTAGCGATATAAAATTTCCGATGATAAGCTCGAAATTTGCGTCATCGGTGTCACATGATTTACTGGAAAAAGATTTGGGAAATGAATTCCGCATTTCCTGACGCGATATCGTTCAGATTATAAGCTGATGTGTTAATAATCGTAATAAAATGTGCAGCCGAAAAATTCTCTTGACTCGTTTGCACGCGGATCAGGTGCGTATTTGAATGACATCCGCGATAAACCGAATGTGCGCGCGCGAGACATCAACGCGTGGCGATAAAACAGGTACGATGATGGCAAACGTGCTGAAACGCGCAATTCACGATTTACTTGTATATTGAACAAAATTCCGAGGCACGTTTGGTCGCGGCACAAGAAATCACGGAACGATCGATTTCCCGAAATTCTCCCGTCGGCAGAGTTGGCAGTTATTATCATCATCCGCTTCGCATTTTCGAGATCGGCCCGTTCGATGTATTCTCTATCTCTTTCGTTCTTTCTACGCGCCGGTATATAAAACACGTGGCCGGGATTCTCGCGCTAAAGTGGTGCTATTTTTTCGATGTTTATTGAAGATCTCGCCTGAAAATAAACGCCGGTACCGGCGCTTCCCGTAGAAAAGCAAAGAAAAGGCGCTATCGCATATTGTATTCTCTACATTCTGAACTTCTGTAATACACATTGGCGATTTCTTTTCGTACAGAATCTATCGCAATTCTGATACAGATTTCTTTCTGATCAAATTAAAATATGCCCTCAGATAGAAGGATTCTTGCTCTGACGACACAGTTGTGTAATCTTTTATTTCGCTTAAATTTAAATACGCCACTAAACTTCTCAAAAATTTCGATCAATTGATTATCGTCGGCAATGGCGACGATCTGCTATCCGTTTGTCTCTTTTTCCGCTCAAAAATGTAACTATAATAAAATTAAATATAAACTTTTCTATATAATTTTATGGCGCAAAAATACACACGTGATGTGTATTCTTCTTTACTAAAATTTATTTAAAGTTGCGCTTAAAAGCGCAAAAATTTACTTTCTTTTGTTTAAGCAGTTAAATGTGTGTGTGTGATTCAAATAATCCTTCTCCCGTTACTTATACGTACATTTATTCTTACGTCGTGTGTAACGGCCTTTTGTCACCGTCGGCGCAACGCGTCCGCGAAGTATTTAGGCTTCCCGCGTTGTGCGAGCCACGTTCCCGTGTCATGGCAGTCACGTCAATAAGTTCCTCGAATGCGCCTTCGAATCGTGCCTCGCCTCCACCGAAGATCGTCGTAGATAACTTGTACGAATGTTCCGTTCCGATTGGAGGATACTCGCCCGCCCGCTCGGTACGCAAACGTAGAATTCGAAAGCGACGAAAGCTCGAGGCGCGCATTAACGATCGATCTGTTTAACGACAGTTTTCTCGCAGTCAATTAACGACAGCGAGAGAATTTATCGCTCCTCTCGGGAAATTCGCGAAAAATGATTCAAGATTCGCTTTTTTTAATTAAGATATCTTTCGCATCGATCTCTGCGGGTTGCCGGCCAATCTACCTAATTGTAGATCTGTTGAAATTTATTCCGTTTATTAGAACTGTATTAAAGCTTATATTTATTTATACAGGATGTTCGTAAATTATTCCCCTCATAAATTCTGTACAACGATAGACATTCTCGCGGAAAATTTTTTGCGAACGCCACGGCGTTTGACTTATAAAGCGATGCGAAATTAGCTCATTAATTTTTGTGCACGCTACACAAATATTTTCTCGCGTGTAGATACGCTACAAATTTTGGTCCGATTTTTGTTTGTCCAGCCGCGTGAATTCCTCGGGACGATCAAACGCTCTAACCCAAAGTGGATCAAGTCGCGAAGTCGCGCTTGTTCTGATCGGTGCGAATATTATTTATACGAAAGCGTGGGAAAAGTTGCGAATGTTCCGAATTGCAGTGGTGGAAAAGAGTTTTCGGGCACATTGGCGGTGATATTGCTTTCGAGAAGAATCTCACATGTAGTATTTATTAGCGTTTTTGACTTATAAAATTTTGTGTAATTAAAACCAATATTTATAAGCCTGTGTTCAAACAGAGGCGTATTTGATACATTTATAAAGAATAATTGAGATAAGTATATTTTGGGCTTTTTATATTATATTTAATTAAGAGATATTAAAAACGTTTATCAAAGTCTTTAATTTTTAATTTAATACTTAATTTAATCCAAATTTTTAATTCAATTTGATTCTGTTGCAGTTGCATGTAATTTTATTTTGGATAAAATTGTACAAAATTCTCTTACGAATGTAAACGAATATGAATTATTTGATTTTATTTGTACTTATCTTAAAATACATGGAGAGAATTACTGAATCTATAGTTTAAGTGACACAAAAGAGAGAAAATAAAAGAAAAAAAAAATAATAAAAAAGGATGGGAAAAATATAGACAAATTTAAGAATGTGATTTTGGTGTGTTATATATTATTTATATACTATTTAATAGTTGATTTTTGAAAATATTTAATTTTTTTATATACTCATAATCGACGGACGACCGTCGTTGATCCGCGACGCGGCGTAATTCGAGTCGTCACTTTAAAACTGTTTGCACGCATTCCGGGGAGGGAAAGAGCCGTCTTATTAGCGTCATTAAGCGAACACGTGCGGCCGTATCAAGCGCCGGCATTCTTTCGCTTCGGCAGACGTTACCCATAAAACACTGTCGCGGATTTTTTCCTTCCTGCGAGAATAAATCCATGGCTCTTCCACGCTATGTGGCGTTAAAACTCTGTTTATTCCGCGATTGCGAATTATGGGTTAACAGTGGAGCCGACGAAGAAGATATTTGTGAAAACGTAAGATTAATCGCAATAACTGTGATGTGTCAGTAAACATGACGTCATTATAATACAATATAATCGAAACATGTGATATTCAATGTAATATCAATTAGTAATAAATAATATTAATTGATATTAAATTATTGCAATTATTATAATTGAATGTTTGATATTATTTTTGAATTAGTGTGGGATTTATTAAAAAGAGATGCAACTTTTATTTATATAAATACCTATGGACTTGTAACAATGTTTGCACTAACATAATCACTTCGATTTTAGATAAATCGAGAGCAATCAGAAGGGATTTACTTTTGTAAAATCGACCGCGATCGAAATCCGTTCTCCGCGTAGGGTGTCGTGTCTGAACCTGTAAGACGTGATGTTGAGGAACGTAAACCGGTTCAGGCCCTTATTCCTTGGAGTCAGGGCAGTTTTTTAGTTACTATTATTAGAGGCACACATGTGGTCGTGTTAAGCCATTTGTCGACGGCGATGAGACAGTGGCAAGAGTATCGTTTGATAAACGATCAATTACAAATGTGCGTTGCAAACTAATATCAATCTCTAATATTTTATTTCAATGTTTATTTTTCATGTACAAGAATACTTCTGTATATATTTTATTAAAAAATGTACAGACTATATATAGTTTAATTAATTATAACAATTTGGTACAAAATACATATAATCAAATGTTACCGCGCGCAAATAATTATATATTTTTGAATTAGATAAATTTATGGAATTTCTCAATAGCGCACGAGAGAAAAGTCCAAAGCTCTGATTTCCTTATCAAGATCTTCGTGAGATTGTAGACGCAAGTACAGCTGGTTTCGCGGCGGCTTTTCGCGTCGTACACGAGCCGGGAGTTGGTGCCTCACAGCGACAACGGCAGCTCGTGTCCGTAATCGTTTTTGAGGCGTGCAATTGGTATCCTAATCACGGAGAGATGAGCTCGCGGCCGCGGCGACGGCGGAAGATTGCATTCGCAACGATCGAGCGAGCACGAGCGGATCGAGGTGCTGCATTCTGATCGCGCGATTGCGCGCGCGTACGTGCGGAGGTCCCTCGCGAGAAATATTACGAGCGCACGCTCACAGACGATTTGAAGTAGGCGAGGAGAAATTCACCGCGGGTCCCTTGTGCGTACATACGAACGACGTGTTGCACACAGTTTTCTTTTCTTCCTTTTTCCCCGCTCGAACAACGCTCGCCTTTCTGCGCGAGCCGCGCGAAAAAAAATCTCCGCGTCGCACTACCGTTAGATTGCGAAAGAATCTGTACGCTTTTGACGATTATGCACACGGATAGAACACACTTTTGCTGAATGATCTAAAAATTGTGCCAGATACAGATCTGAAAATAAAATTTGTCGGACAATCAAAATTTATCAATAGAGCGCTCGAGTGAGGGGCGATCGTCAACATTTTTACCGCGGTATGAAAAAGATCGAGTACTCTATTGATAAATTGATTGTGCGACAAAATTCATTTTCAGATCTGTATCTGGCAATTTTCGGATCTTTTAGCAAAGGTGTTTTTTTCCGCCAATTTATCACGTCGAAGAATGATGATTTACGTTTTGCTAATCACAAAATTCGGTTTAATAATTTCGTACTTCATCATTCGCGAACACTCAAAAAAATATTTCGCTGATGTAGTTAGATTTCTAGATATTGCAACAAGAATGTATCGCTATTTTTCGTATCTGTGAAAACATTGTTTGTCACATATAGAATTTATAACAGTAATGTTCTAGCAATAGCTTCTGAAAAATTTGGGTACCATTGCTAAATGTTATTCATTGCATGATCTAACACGTGATTGATCTTATATAGATAGGCGCTTTAGAGAAACTTTCTTTTTAAAGTTCACAAACAATACAGATATATATTCTGTTTCTGTCATCTAAACTGACTAAGTAATTACATATGCAATATCACAACAGTTGCTAATCATTTATCTGTTTTAGTTAATTTTTTACACCTAGAAAATTTTAGCTATTATTGCAAGATCATTTTTTTGAGTGAATAAATGCGGGGATTAATAGAGGCGCGGTTCGCAGCGTGCGGTACACCGCGGATTACACAAAATCCGCAGACTGTAAAAGTTTTCCATTTGCACCCACATGCCATATACATACAATACACACACGCGCGCATACACACCGATATACATGCTCGCTCGCTCGTGCGCGGAAACGAAGGCGTACAGACGGCCGCGAGCTCTGACGTAGATGGATCGCGATTCAACTGCGGATGTAATTACATCGCGAGCGAACGAGCCGGAAGTGGAAACGGTCCGAGCGCTTTTGCGGCTTAAAGAGCAGGCTTTATACGCTCGAATTACGCCGATCGACCGCGATCGACGTCGGTCGCCTCTCCATTAACGTTCGCAGCGCGAGACGTCGAGTCGTTGCTCTCTCGCCGCGCGCAATTGCTTGGGCGAAGTTCTTCCGGTTGACAAACCGCCGCAAGACTTCAATTTTAGCAAAAAGAATCGTAGACGTGGACGGAAGCTACGCGATAGTGAGATTAATTTGGGGTATAAAGATTAAAATGATAAGTTAATTAATTCAGTGTGAAATACAAATCTAAAATCGAAACGTAGTTTATCTTCGTCAAGAAATGGAGACTTTATTTTTATTTAATTAATTTATCTATTCAATTTCACGTATTACAAAGTAGTTATTTGCAGCAATGTTGTATTTAGTTCGAGGATCTAAATATTTTAATGATACAAAAAATTGAAATCAATGGATTATTCTTCTCATTCCTGCTTTTATCTACTAAAATTAACAGGAGCGCGAAGAGCCAGAATTAGTCGATTGTTTTAATCATTTGAGTCTTGTTATACTTTTAATTTTAAATTTTTTGCAACCTTTATTCACTTTCAAATTTTTTAATTGCGAATAATAAAACAATTAAATATTTTTTGCAATTATCTAATTGTATATTTCAGTGAAAAATAAAAACTCAGCTTTCACACATGGAAACATAAATTTTTTCGATCGCGCCAATAACAAAATTCAATTAAAATTATCTAACAACATATGATGATTGCAGGTAATGCCGAGGGAATCCTGTCCCGGATTGCTGTTGACCCTGGTGTCGATATTCGTCGGCCTGTGCGAGTCCTCCGCCGCCGGCGGCGCGACATCCGGCGCCCAGCAGCAGCAACCACAGCAGACACCGCCGCAGCCGCAGCAGCAACAGCAGCAACATCCGGTCTGCAAGCCCGGCCTGGAGTTCTGGTCCGCCGATCGCGCCTCTTGCTGGCCGTGCACTCGATGCGCCCCCGAATTCACTTTGAGCCCGTGCGCGATACACAAGGACGCGATCTGCGGCCCGCTGTCGGCCCTCGAACTCGACTGGTCCTTCCTGTCGTCGACGGTCAGGAAGAAACCGGCGTCGGAGGCTGGTAGTCAGCATCGTCTCGACGAGACCGTCACCTCGAAGGTGTTCTGGCGCTTGCCCGAAGTGCGGCCCACCGAGGAAGCCGGTAATCTCGTCGACCTCGGTCGGCAGGACGATGACAATGAAGAGGAGCCGGTCTCCGCCTCGCAGGAATCAAAGGTAATTTCGAATTGAATTCGCAGAATTTTGATTTGTATTTATTTAAATCTGAATTTTGATTAAGATTTTCCAATTAATTAATTTGCTTTTATACAGAAAATGATGTGATATTGTAGACGTAATTTAGAAATTAATTTTTTGTGCTGTTACATTACATTTTCTACAATTAAACTGCTAATTGGCAATCTAAGAACGATTAAAGCCGCTCAAGAGAATCTCTTATTAATAAGCGCGTAACAATCAGCTTGTGCGTGCCGAGTCGGCGAAAGCCTGGTACCCGCTTTCGCTCCTGTTTGTCATGCGACGCAGAGTCACGTTGCTAAAATTGATTGCGCTTCGCACGTCACCTAGAAACCAATCAGTATTGCATTTTTTCAAGGTAGAATTTAACATTAAGGATAACACACTGGCTTTATGACGCAGACGGGATACGATCCTCGAGAGAGGAGAAAACTGGTCGCCGAGGACAGCCTGTCGTGGGATTGGCAGACCGGCGCCCTAGTCCTCGCCGTATGCGCCTGCATTGTGTTCTTCCTGGTGGCGGGATGCTCGGCCCTCGTCTACGCGAGGCAGTGGCGGCGAATGAAGAGGAACTTTGAACCAGGTAAGTTCTACAAGTTCGTACAATTACTGAATAAACGTGATTCGCGGATCGCTCTTGGAAGATAGAACTCAAATACCTCTCATGAAAATTCAATTCACTCTCAGGAGTTTATCGGAGCAAAAAATGTAAATAAATATAAATCTCGGCATTTTTGACAGATCCATCTTGCAATAACGTTTAATCGCGCGGGCGCGTAATTCACTGGCATCGCGTCACGTAATTCACATAAGAAAAATAATCATCGCCGATGCGTGATCATCATGCGTCCGCGATACATCTCTCTAAGGAAATCGGAGGAAAGAGGATTCGTATCTCGCGAGGCAAAGGGAGCCGCGGTCGGGAGGTCGGCGGGAGGAATATAGGTGCACGTAATACACACCGCGAGTCGACTGGGGACAGAAAGAAAAGAGAAAAAGAGAGAGAGAGGGGCGGAGTCCCTTAAAATGCACGACGGGATTTTCTTCATTAGAGGGCCGATCACGGCCGCTCCTCACCTTGGATCGACCTACCGCGCCCGGATATGACGTCCTCAACGTCCAGCGCGTGGTGCCGTCGCCCATGCTGCCACCGCCGTCGTCGCCATTGCGTTTCTCGTTTCGTGTTCGCTACACTTCGAAATAAAGCGATAATTTGTTCTGGATATATGATGTTTTTTGTACAACAATAATCTAAATCTATAAAAGCTGTGTTTTTTTTCTATTAGAGTAAAATTAAAATTTCGTATAACTCTTAAATTTTTGACAGTCACAGAAGATTACTAAGATTTTGGCGTTTTGTTCGATAAAATCTCTTTTCAGAAAGTGAAAATAATTTACGAGTGCTATTGCGTAATCCGATATTTATCGAGACTTGCTGAAGAAAACAAGAAGGCGATTTGCGTCACTATTTCATTCATTTTATGTATTTCATATTTAATCTAAGAACTTTGCTGTAGAACGAATTTTGTTTTTATATTGTATTACTATTATTCGTATTTGGTAAATATTCATCCTTCAATTTATGAAATGTTTTTATTCATATGATTTGAATAAAATATATTGATTTTGCATAAAGATCTTTTAAATTGACGAAATAAAAATGAGAAAAATATATTAAATGAAAATTGTCCATCAGGAACAGCTAAATATCTATCTTGCAAATTCTTTTCAATGTAACTCTTTTGTTGTTTCCATATTTTTTAAATAGAATTTTCTTTTTATCGTTAATGATATAATATAGATATATAATTTAACTTGATTATAATTTAAAAAGTTCCACCGCATGGATTTGATGAAATATTTGTTGCGAATTCTAATTTATATTTAAATCTTGCTTGTGCTCTAGAATTATTCGAGAACAGAATCTTGCTATATACAAACGCATCTTTCTTCGGCGAACATCGCGTATGCAATTCATTTACGTATCGCAGCTCTCGTAAGGAATGAATCGGAATCGCGTAACACTCTTTACAGGCACTCGACGGCGAGTTGCACGTGTGTACAACGTTACTATCTGCATTTGCATAACGAACAGTACGCAGAATTCCTCCTCGCAGAAACCCTTCCTCTCGTCGCTTTTCTCTCTTTCTTTTTCTGTCTCTCTATCTCCTTCTGCCAGTCGACGTATCACGGCACGTATCGCGTATACGTTTGTGGGAACCGATTCAGCCACGTTTCGTTAATGAACGCCGTATGAATGAAGCCCCTTGCGCGTCCGTCCGTCCGGCCGGCTCGTACGTATCGCCTTTTAAATCTACGCTTTCGACGAAACACACGCCGCACGTCGCAACGACGACGACTACGCGAAATGCGTTCGCAAACAAAATATATATATTCTTTGGTGTTGTATTATTAAAATGAGTGCAATTTCGCAGATTATAAAATTAACATTTTCTAGAGGAGCGAATTTTTAATATTATTTTAATAACTTATTTCTAGAATTTTTACAAATTTCTTTAGAGTTGATCAGCTGCTACATGGCTTTCCTTTTTACATTTTTTAATGTGAATAAAATTTAAATATTTTAATTGGGCATCATATTAAAATACAATCTCGCGTAAAGCTTGAAGTTAAATGAAGCCTAAGAGCTTGTCGTTCCGCGTTTCGAAGAGGCGCTCTCATGTAAAAATAGCGAGTCGCGAGACTACCTCGAGCGTGTTGCACGCGAAATCCGTTTAATTTTACTGCAATTGCAGCTCCCATTAATATTTATTGCTCGCGAATTATGTATATAGTTAATTAATACTAATTATAAGCGCAACATGATGCGCTTGCGCGTTAAGAAATTTATTATGCCGTATAATATTAATAAGGAAAAACAGTAGCAGTCGTGGTATTTCACCTGGAGAGCACATGTTGTTTGCATTTTGTAGTAGGCACATATCATCGCATTATTACCGGAAGTTCATATTATCTAAACGGGCCGCGATCGTTATCGTCCTCGTCGTTCTCTTGAAACAACGTCGCTGCAACAAAATTATTGTAATGTAATCCGCGAAATTTCTATCTACAGGTGTGTCTATAATTTTATCGTGAAATCGGAGATTGTTGATTAAATATAGTCGAGAGGCAAAAATTATATTTTCTTGGCATAAATATCGAAACTGAACAGTTTTAAAGCAGTTCATTAATTTAAAGAAAGAAACATTTTTTCACGTATTGCATTTTTTAGATAGCAATATAATTTTGAAAACTGCAGAAAATGTTTTAATTAAATTTTTGAAAAAAATGCAGAAAAAATTGTTTTAACTTTTTCTATTTATTAATTGCGAATGCATTCATCTGCAGATATTCCGTCGATTTTGTTAATGCGTGTCGCAGAGGAAGAAAATATCAATTGTGCCTGCGCTTTTATAAAATGAACATGATTGGCAACCGTGAAACGGACGCTCGGTATGCGTGTGTAATCGGTACCGTTTGATTGCGGCTGATGGTCGGCCCACCCCGATGCTTCTGATTACGAATGTGGTCAGGGGAGGGGTAGAAGAGGGGAAGTGAGGGCTTATGGGGATACCGCTCGAGTCCGGGAGTCATTGGGGAAACCGATCGTGCGCATACCATGGGGCTCCGGAGAAAATCGAGTTGCATTCCGCAGACATCCTCGGCGCATTCCATGTCGACTGCGTTCGATGCAGTGCACGTTGCATATTACTCTCTATTTTGGGGGATTTTATTTAAATGAAACCTTAATTCGTATAATTTTATATTCTGTGTCATATATAATGGAGAAAAGAAGAAAAATTGTATACACATATATTTTTAATTTATATTAATACATGCTTATTTTAATTACAGAGAAAAATTCTTTAACTTCAAGAATATAATGCAAAAGTTTGTTTTGTGATTTTTGTTATTTACGTTGAATTTGTGAATTTATATTTTTCATATAGATTTTCCGATGTTTTTGGAGATATAATTTAGTTTCTGCAATTTTACAATTCACAATGTACCATTTATAATTAGGATTTGAATATTTAAAAAATTGTCAAAATATAACCAGTAGAATTTTTACATTTATAAATTACAACACTTGTGTTCAATGGATCCCGAAGTACAGTAAAAGTCGTATCTGCGAGATAAATCTCTCGAGCGATACATCAATGATAGGATCTGCGGAAATGGGCGATTTACGACATCTTCCGAACAAATGATTCGATGAATGCACGGGCGATCGTGGCGTATCACTGACTAACCAGTGGAATTTCTGTTGCAGCGGGTCTCGAGGAGATCTCGGCAAGATTGAATCTGATGGTGAAGGCGGAACTGGCCGAGCTCGTCGCAGGAGCACCGATGAATCCAGGTGATCCCGAGACCAGATGTCAGTATCTTGAAAAGCTTTTAGGTAAGCACAGTCAGAATTTCAAGGCCCTTGTTCCCACGATGACGATCACTTGACATCGCCACCTGTCGTTTCTATCTGGTCATTTCGTTTTTCTAAATGATACATTCGAAAAAAACTCGATAAATCTCATTTTGAATGAGAATCTTTATCGATTTAAGAATGTAAAATATTTACATTGCTTTTTACGAATATTTTAAGGCAAATTGATGTGCTTGACTTGTCAATATTGTAGGTTGCACAAAAAAGAAAACATTCAAACGAATGTGTCGCAATTATTGCTCAGCGGTGAAATTAAAGCACAAATTCGACCTGCATTGTTACGTACTACGCGTTGCTTTTGCAATCAACACTTCTATTGCGCGCGGCCGTGTAAGATGTAGTTGCGTACACGTTCGCAATGATCATTTTGTGCGCTGAAAGGAAGAAAGGGGGGCAGAGCGACAAATGGGAGGTCGCAATCGCAAACACACAATAAATTCGCTTAACTCGCACCGCACTTGAATGAGCTTCACACGCGAGCGTGCTTCACACGGGGTGACCGTGAAGTACCGTTTGATCCGCCGGAAGTATTTTTTTCTTGGTATTGTCACATGATAGTGACGGTCAATCACGATCGATCTATTCGACGCAAATTAAATGGCCGCTCGTTTGGGATTTAAAATCGAATTAAGTTGCGATTGAATCGGGGACAGAAATGATCGCATCGTCGGCCGAAATATAAGCGTAACGAGTAGGTGAGGAAACACGGTAATCCTCAAAATGGGGCGTGTTTTACGATATGGAATGCTTTATTTGTGCCCGATTGTACACAGTGGTTGCACCGAGAAAGGCGCGCACGGGGTCCCATTGACACACATACACGGCACGCAGCTCATTATCGAACTTTCATTCAGCAGCGCATTGTTTCTTTGCGCGTTTATTTCCGCTACGATTCACGGTATTTGCATAATACGTAACATCACGTTCCGCATTTTTGTTGTACACGCAGGAAAGAACGGGAGGCGAGTTTGAGTGCGGATATTTAAACTCCCGTCAACACGGATTTTTTTTTAATTTATTGCTGTAATCTTTAGGATCTCTTTGCTTTAATTGTTTTTCTTTCATAAAACCTTGGGATTTTTAGCTCGCATCAACAATATATCTCGCAGCTTACGTAATTTTTTTAAGAATTTTTAGGAATTTTTTAGACGTTGTAAATATATAAATGCTGCATTGTCACTGTATGTTATACTTTGTGCGTACAGATATCTGCTTACATTAAGAAATTAATGATGTTAATGATGATAAATTTCAATTACATATATTTTAATATCAATCTCAGATTTAAATTTTTAATTTTAATATTGGATTTTTAACATGTATCTGGAGACAATATTTTGTTAAGAAGAATTTGAATACTTGTCATTAGATGATTACATACATTTTTTTAATAATTTGCAGGTACATATATGAAGTTTATGCAATCGGTAGAAATTTTCGATACGTCAGGCTCTGACAGTGACCTTCGGACTTGGCTAAAATCGATCGACACGCGGCTCCTTCAACTTCCGCTGCGTCCGCGTGATAAATCGCATGCGGGGGAAACACACGTGCGTTACGTCAGAGCGCGGATCTTCGACGTGCGTTTGAATGCCACGCCGCGCCGATGTATTTTAAGAATTGTAGTAGCTGTTTGTAGTAGACGGGTCTGAAAACAGCGAAACGAGACGGGACGGGGCTCGCTCGCCTGCTCTCGCTCGTCTGCTCTCGCTCGCTGCACTCCCACGAGAATTATTTATCGTGCGCGAAAACAAAATGACGCGATTGTTCGGACGTTTATCTGCTTTCATTCATTCGCACGGCGCGGCGCGCCGCCGCTCTAACTTTAGTGTATGCGTACGCGTCGCACCAGTGGCGAATTCGTGGGCAATCATTTTAATCTTTTGTAGATTCTTTACCATTTCGCCGAAAAACTATTTTATCGTCCAGCTTATTACAATAATATTGTTAAGAGATTTAACTCGAGATGTTTGATTAGCCATTGATTGACTATTTGATAATATTCGAAAAATGGACAAAAAGTACATGGATGTATTTAAGTGTATTCAATAACTTTCCTTTTCTTATCGGTTTCTTTTTTTCACTATTCTACATTTTTATAGTCTCAAATAATTATCAAACTTGTAGGAAGAAAAGAAAGTTTTCAATATTTTGCTAAGTTGATCAGCAAGTCCGCATCACAGTTTAAAAATAACATCTTTGTAGTTGTCAGTAGCTTGTATTTAGTTTTGATTACGAGAACATAATGTCACGCGTTTATCTCATTATACTATCTCTACAAAATGTTTTTTTTTAAACCGTAATATTGTAATAAACTTATTGAGATTTTCCAGTCTTTGCAATAGCTCTGCGATATTGCACTGCAGTTTGTAAGATCTGAAAGAGCTGCGTGCTGCGATTATACGAGGATCGTTCGGGATTTTCGGTGTCGCGGAATCCGCCACTACTCGCGCGGCCTGTTGCAGTTTCGAGTTTGACGCGCGTAAGCGCGCGCGAGCGTGAGCCCGAAAATCAATCCGTCGCCAATTTTAGCAGCGGCTCGCCAGCGGCGCGGCGCGTCAATATACGCTGCGTTCTCCGGCCGGAAAGCAAGACGCCGCGCGCGGAATCCTTTCCCCGCCGGGAATATTTCATTGCGCTCCCACGCCTCGGAAGTTGTATTTATATGTGGACCGGCCGCGCTTACCGGAAGCGTAACACGATGTACACGGTGCTCCCGAAATACGCGCGTCCCCGACGTGACGCTCGCGCGCGCGGTGTTTTGTTCGCCCGCTCGAATTATCTCGTTACTTCGAGGCTTCGAGAAATCACGGAAATTAATTCGCCACTTCGAAAAAATATGATAATTTATTGACGATGAAGAAAAGTCAAGTACCATCACCGGTTGAAACTTTAACAAAGCAAAACTTTTTCATCTTTTTTTATTTATTCGTAACGTTGTTTACGATATATTTGCTAAAATTTATGCGATTTTTTAGGTCGCTTTGGAATGACACCAATTTTACTTTTAAATATAATAAATTAATATAGTGATTTTATTCAGAATTTTTCAAGTCTGAATTTTAGATTATTTTACTTGAATAGAATAATTTCAAGACAAAAGAGGAACGGAGAGTCACAAATTTTTGTTTGCAGTGAATCTATTTTTTATCCTCCTAGACAAATAATTTCAGATATCGCGCGACGCAGATCATGCATGATACTCTGTTTCGAAACGAAGTCTTCTCCCTTCACTCGCTTGGCTGATGGATTCGTTTGCTCTGCTTGCAGACCGGAAACGGGAGACTCCGGCGGTGACGGCGGCGGCAGCGACGGTTGCGGCGGCTGCCTGGCCGGAGGCAGCCGCCGGCAACTTATACATCGAGGAGGGAGGCACGACGACGCCGAGGAGTAAGCGGTCGCAAATCGCGCGGATTCAGCGCAACATCGAGACCATTCTCAGTCACAAGACAAATCAGGGCGCCGATTGAGATCGTTCCCTTTTCTCATCGTCCCGAGACCCTCCAGATTTGCTTTCTGCGCACATCGCTCTCGGGGCGCGCCATGTATCGCAGCGCGATTAGAGTTACTTTACGTTAAATGAACAAACAAACTAGAATTAACACGGTGATTCTCAACATAAGAAAGATACAAAGTTGATCCAACATGTTTTCTTAAGCATTTCTCCATTCGCTCTCGCAAAGAAATAAATTTTTTTTATTTCAAAATATGTGAACAAAAAATGATGATATTTATTTAATATAATTCTGAATTGTGAATTGTAATTTATAATTGATTTTATAGAAATTATCTTATTAAGAAATATAGTTTCACGGAATTGATTTTCAATCGTCAATCGTCCACAATTTGTCCATCTTTTTACGAGGAATGTAGCATGTGACAAATCGGAAAGGACGAAACAAAGCATTAGATCGAAATGCGTCTATTTTATAACTCGATATTATTAAGTGTAATGTATTTAGTATTTAGTGTAATTCATTGCGACAACCAGACAATCGAATACTCACACTTTAAGCCAGTTGCATCAACGTTGCTCGCGATTTAGTTAGATTTTTCTATAAATAACAATTAGAAAAGAATTGTTGATTGTAATTAAGCATTTCTAGATTTAAAGATCCTTATTTAAGGAAATAAAGTATATTAATTTTTTTTTATTTAATTCACAAACCATTAACTATAATTTAATTTTCAAAATAAATTTCTACTTGCTCTCATTTTAATTAACCGTGATTTATGAGATATGTATTATTGATGGTGCAATAATTTTGTTTGTACTTCAAGCTAATTATCCAAAGAATAATGAATTATCTAGCATCGTTGGTGCAACAAAGCCAGGAATACTTTAGGAGAGTTCAACAACGACGTTCGACGGGTCACATGACAAATTTACTCACCGTTGGATAAGATCGGATCAGATAGAACTTATTTTTTTATAAAAAAAATATACGATGTCTCCCGACGTGTCCCGCAGCTCGAGTGCGTCTCGAGCAACGAGCGACACGATTTGCGTTTGAAGGATTCTATTTATTTCTCTTCCTTTTTTTTTCTTTTCGGTAGTTTATAACGAACATTGTAATATAAGGCGCTTCTGTATTCATACACGCATGATAACGCGAATAATAAAATAAGATTTCAATATGTAACTGAGAGAATGTCTTATTTCTCAAACCGCTCGAAACTTGCGAGATAGATATTCGACTCTGACAAAATATATGCGATGTAAAATATAAACAAGATGTTCGAGATTATTTTTTTATAAGTTTTCAAACTTCAACATTTCACGTCTTAACCGCTCGGTAAGCCAAATGTTTCGTGACATTATTAGAAAGGATTGTGCACAACTCTGTTGCTAAAATTTCAGATAAAGTAATCGTCGAAAGTGGAGTGCGAATGACGGCGCACATGGTTAATCGGTGGAGTTCCGCAGCAGGGAAATCGGAGATCTGGTGAGCCGAAAAGAGAGTAAACGTGTACGATAAAAATTCTCTCCGTTCTATTCCTTATATACATAATATTCATGTATTTAGATTGTACCCATTACACCGCAGTAACATCAACAATATTTTTTTATTCCATTCTTAATCGATTTAAATATATCTTTATTCGTATGTCGTATATAAATAAATGGGGGAAGGTGGTGGAAGGAGGGGGGGAGAGAAGGATTGGGAAGGACAGTTGAGGGGAAAGGGCGTAAGATGGGTGTGTGCCTAGGGTGGATGGTGTGTCCTAAACGCCTGTCTTACACATACACTCGAGGGCCGTGCTCGTCGTACTCTCGCCTCGCCCTAAAGACATATACCTTTACGTCTATCTTCTAGCTTTAAGACTATTTTCTTTGTAAACGTGATCACAGTGTAAAGGCATCGCTATATACGCTAAAGCGGTAAGCACATATGGTGAACACGGGTTTAACGCACTCTTGATCCGCGCGAATCGGCATCCTCAAGTCAGACCTTTCGCACTTCCCTCTCGCACCCGCTGTCCTCTCCCCACGTCCTCGACTCACGCACGCGACTTCCCTACGTTTTCTCCGAGGAGAACTCGTCGTCTCAAACAGGCACTTTTTTGTTCACGATTCCGCCCCCGAGGACTCGCGCGAGAGTACGACGAACGCGCGCGCGCGCGCAGCTTTGTAAAGGTATCTAAAAAGATTTGTACGTCAATGATGCTTTAATAAGGATCGAAAGTGCGAATGACGAACGTGTTGTCCTAATGATGAATATACGTGCCTGCGTACAAAATAGTAGTAGTTTCGTGACAGCTCTTACATACGTATATCGATCGTAAATACAATAATTCGTGTATGTTGCATTCGTTCACGGCGCGAGATCTGTCCGACGGATCTCGATGATCGTTTTTTTTCCTTTCTCCCCCCCCCCCCTTTCTTTACGTGTGAAAATTCGTTAAGTTACATCACGCGATCGGCTCTGTTAGAAAAGCACCGTTAACGCTAAGACATTCGCTTAATCGCATAGTCCCGTGGTCTCGGACCTCTCTTGGAATGCAAAGCAATAATAAATTACTTAGACTCTAATAAATAATCGTATTAAATACTACACGATATACAGAATAGTTATTTTAAATAACTACAACCATTTACAGCAGTGTCCGTATGTACGTGTGTATGTGTGTGTATGTCTCCATCCTGTGAGACAGAATAGATTTATATATATATATATTTTATATTCATATAATAATTATCTGTGTATACATATATATATATATATCTGTGTGTGTCTGTCTGTGTAATTCTCTACGTGCATACATATATATATATACATATATATATACACATACATATATATACATATATATGCTATCTCGATTTTTCTTCCCTTCGTGCTCTCATCTAATACTCTTTTTTTTTCCTGTACAAATATTTATATATAAAATATTTATCGAATCAAAGGCAGAAGATGGAGAAAAGTGATCCCGGTCGTAGCGAACCGAAAATCGCATTTCTCGGACCTGCCGCCTGGATCATATTAATAATTAACGCACGCCCGGCTGGCTTTTGTGCCCTGTACAATCACCCTTCGGTTAACACCGATGTTCCTATCTAAGGAAAAAAAAGATAGATGAACCCGACAATACCTCGGCGAGATCGCATCCTAGCTGACGCATTGTCGCGACCCATCGTGTATCCACGTGTGTCGATACGAGATATACAATACACGGTACCGATATGCTTTCGACCAACGCGACGTTCCAGATTTTTCAAATTTCCTTCCGAATTTATGCAATATTTTAACAGTCATCTCTTTCTAAATCTGTGCAGAAATCGAAATCGCTAAGATTATTTAAAGATCAATCTATCTGCTATATCGCTTATTTTTTCATTACAGTAAATCTAAGCTCTTGCATTTAAGTTTGTAGTTCATAGAAGCTATAAATGTACTTTTTTAAAAATTCTTTTTCTTTATTTCTAGAGGACAATAATAAATGCATTTTTCCCCTTCTTTTCGTCTGGCCTGCTATTCAGGCCAGACTATAGTCGTCGCGTTCGTCTCGAGCACTGGAACCGCGTAGCGTCAAGTGGATAATCCCTATCTATTTATCCGAAATTTTAACGTACTTTCTTTCGCGACGAAATACGGCGCAGCTATATAAATATATTATATATATATATTATTAATTTATTATATATATATATATAATATACTTCTCGCAATTATCAACGGGGCGATCCGTCGTGTTTTCATACTTATTTCGCTAAATTAAGACTAATGATAGAGCTCGAAATATCTTGATAAAGCTCTATGGACGGATAGTTCATACAATATAACAGCATGATGGACGAGTGTGTGTTGGCAATTTCTTTTTTTTCTCTTTCGCGAATTTTTCTCTCTTTCCCTGTCTTAAAGAAAAGGCACAATTTGTCGCGCTTTGTACATTATTTTCTGAGAAAGCAGACATACTCTCTCTCTCTTTCTCTTTTAAAAACAATTTACAATTGACTCACCGTCATGTTTCAGCGAAAGACGGAGCGGGCGCATTGTTTTGCGATTTTCGAAATTACTTTTTTGGCGAGGAGTATGTCTGGACACGTCGCAGAAAATACTTGCACCTTCATGCTAATGAACACTGAATGCACGTACGAATATACGCACGGTTCTCCTGCCGTTTTGTTTCATTCAATAAAGATGGAAAGAAGTAGAAGAAACGAAAAGAGGAAAGACGAATTTTTAATCGCGGGTCTGTCTTTTCTCCTCCCAGCTACTGATGACTCTTGCTCAGTAAATGCGAGTTGAACTGGTACAGATTGCAGCACTGCTCCCCGCAAATATTGCACTTCCATGGGTTACTCTCGCTGTGACAACCTTTGTGAAGGAAGTACAACGTCTGATCCGGAAACGTGATGCGACAGTGGGTGCACTGGAGGCCGCTCGTGCGCGGATCCGGCCTGGTCGAAGTGGGTGGCTCGCCCCTCGAGTGCGGATTGGAATTAGTACCGCCACCGCTGTTGTTGCTGCTGTTGTTGTTATTATTGGTGGAACTTGTGGAGAGTTTGCGGCGCAGATCGTCGCGCAGGAGCGACTTCAACGGCGACACCTTGATCAACGACGGAAGCGACAAGTTGCTCGACGTCGCCCCGCTGTCGTCCATGCCGTTGCTGTTCGGCTCCTGCTTGATGGGTATCAGAGAGATGGACGGTGTGATGGCCTCGTCGCCTCCGCCTACATTCCTAAGAATCAATTCAATCTATAATTTATTCTATTTTCAAAGTGCAATTAATTATTGGCATATCTAATTGATTCTTGCAATTTTGAGTGTAGATAATTCTAATTTTCTGAAATAGTATCCATTCTATGTAGTAATATTATTTTGATTATTGATTCGTCTGTCAACTGTACACTTGAAATGTTTGTCGATTGGAATGCAAAGATTATTTTATAAATATCAAAATATTGAATATTGAATTAAAAGCAAGATAATAAAAAAACAAACTCTTGCCTAATTTAGAATGGATTTTGATGAATAATTTAGATGCAAATAAATGTTGCGATCAGATGCAAACCTATGGATGGTGCTGCTATTGATAGTTAATTGATGATGACTACTGCTCGGCGCGTTGCTATTGCTGTCGGCGCTCTGCGGACTATTGGGACTGTCGCCGTTCAATGGAGCGGGACTCGGATTTCGCTGGTTGGCAGCCTGTTCGGGGTAAGGAATGGATATCTCCACGTGAGGCGTGAGGAAATGCATGGGTGGCGTAGCGTTGTCGGTGGAACGGTTGCCAGTGCTGTCCCCGCTGTCGGACAGGGGTGCCGACGGCATCGCCTCCCCGGATGTGCAACTATTCATTATGGACGTAGAGCTATTTGGTCCTGGATTATCTAAATCTATTCCATGTCTGCGAACAACGTGAGGATACACATGAAATGTGAAATGATGGACTTTTCTTCGGATTACTTGCTAAAGAGAAGATAGAGCTTTGCGACTCACCTATTAAAAAAGTGCAACCTAAGGCATTTCATAGTCGCCGCGCGATAGTTGCAAAGTGGACACGACTTGACCATATCGTGCTGGCCGACGTGCTCGTTCTGAAAGTGTGCGCGCATCGCGATTTGTCGTTGGAAACCGCGGTTACATATCGGGCAATGGTACGGCAGAGTTTTTGAATGCGTCGTGAAATGCTCCGCAAGATGGTCCTTCCGAAAGAATCTCTTCTGGCATACTCGACATTCGTACGGCTTCACGCCCGTATGCCTCATCTAAAAGATAAACGGGTCAAATGGGTCAAATGTTCACAGATAAGTGATGTAGTTAATGTACGAGCACGCCATCCGGAGATGACAAGCCCGTGCGATCTCGCCTTAGCATGTGAGAGCTTATAATGCAGAGATAAGTCTACAGTTGAAAAGAAAACCTTCAATCGAGAAAATAAGATAGTATTATTTCATAGAATTATTTCTTTCGAACATTTTCTTTATGCCACAATTGTCACTTGTTAATGTCAATTGCCATTTACTTTAGATTCTTATCATTATTCCTCAATTTAATACGCATGTCAAAATAGACTTTAACACAATATTGCGTCTTTGTACTCACTTTGTGCCGCCGCATGTTAGCTCCATTCGAGAATTTCATATTACAAACATCACATTCGAACATCTTTCTATGAGACCTGATCCCAGAATGGCCCTCTTCTCCGTCTCCGTCATTCTCTGCACCCTCTATACCCTCAGCACTCTCCCCCGCCTCGCCGCTCGCCAGACATTGATCTTGATGAGCGGAGAAAGCTGTCTTGTTTATAGTCTCATAATTGTCACACCTATCGCATCTGTAGTGAAAATTAAACGAGTTGAGTACGCATTCCAAAACCATACGATCCATTTGCGTGACAGAGGATCACGTTCTGGCTATTCTACTCTAACTGTTGCTCGACATTGACCGGAGGACACGAGCTGCGATTTGAATCCTACCTAAATGCAGGGACTGCTCCGTCGCTACTGTCATAATTGGTGTTGAGAGCCGCCTCGTTATCAGGATCCAACGCCTCCTCCTCCCTGTGATTGGAAGAGTCTCCGGCCTCGGCTTGCGAAGAGGAATGAGAGTCTACCTCGTTTTCCCCACCGCCGCCATCAACTCCATCTGACATGTTATCAAGCGGAAGGACTATCTTGAGTCCGTCATCTAACCTGCAAAAGCAAAGCACGGATTACTATTCGAGCTTTAATCGGAGAAAGTAAGTGCATGCACATCGCCGTTCCAAACGTCAGCAGAACACACATGTTAACTCCAAATTAAATATAAACATGGTCATTTAAATAATCATAGCCTATTTAAATGGACCACGATCTCTCCTCGACGTTCGAAGATTGACAGGTTTATCGAATGACTATGCGCAAAGGACCGAACATTCGTCACAATTCGCGTGCCATATTTCGAGTGAAACGAACGGCGCTGAGTTTGTCGAGGAGGCGAACGTCGCGCAAGTACCCGACATCGTCGTGCCCTACATAACAACGTCGACTCGTTCATCGCGTCACTGCGCTCGTAGACACGTCGTCGCGTGCACACAGTCGCACATAATAAACGCCTTCACAGCGATGCTGCAAAAACGCACGTTAAGAAAAAGGATCGGGGCGCGCGCACTCCTCGATGGATAACTGCCGTGATTTCTCGCGACGTCGACGAGAATTTCGCGCGGCGAAATGAGGTTGTTTTATCGCGCGCGCGCGCGCGCGCGTGCAACGCGAAGGAGTTTCGCGTATTTATTGCGTTAACGGCCTCACGTTACGCGATCCGCTCGCATCTCGCCGTTCAACGCTTCCTTTTTACCTGTCAGCTCTCTCTCTGGCGGCGACCGATACTTCGCGATACCTCTCTGTCAAACACTGTCAGACGCTGTCGAGCGATTTCGCGATTTTGCGAGAGAGAGAGACGAAGAAACGTATGTACGAGCGAACGAATGAGCGAGCGAGCGAACGTAATCGCGAATGTAACTCCGGTGGATATCCGCGAGAGCAAGGTGCAAACGGTACGAGTGTATTACCCAATCCTGGGAAGATTACGGCATCGAAACACCTGGTGGTAAAGCGCAATGCCAGAGTGCACTGCACTTTGTCCCAGTTTCGACCGAATCCGTCACTCGTGACGTAGTTTTCGCGGCTTTTCCGCGGAAAGTCTCTCTGGGCAGTCGCGCGCACGACGGACGGCGGAGGAGGTGAGAAAAAAAAATCGGCGACGGGGGGACGAAGAGGTGAGATTGGGGAGGGGGAGGAGAGGGAGGCGAGGGAGCAGGCAGGAATGGACTAGGACAGCTCTCTCGCTCTCGCGCGGACCACTTACTCACATTCCACGGAGGGAACGCACGGAGAACACCTTCCTCGGCGCCACGACGGAATTTCGCTCGTCCTCGCGCACCGTCGTGCAAACTCACGACCGCTGCTGCCGTCGCGCACGCATCTCTCCGATATTTTTATTTTCGCCCCCGTTTCCCGGTCCCCACAGCACCGCGCACGGCACACGGCCACACACAAATATAATAAAATGTAACGGAAGTGCGAGATATCCGTATATTCTCGCTCACCGATATCGGCATTGCTGCCAACCGCGCTGACGACGACGACGAACAGCTCCGTGTTCTTTCACCGCGGGCGGATTGCGCTCGCGCCGACGCTGTTCGCGCGAACCGCGACGCGTAGTCGACGTCGGAGGAAACTCGGCGGATTTGCGGCGGTGCATAATTCCGCAATCTCAAAGCCGCACGCGCGACGTACTCTTGGGAAACATAACCTCTTCGCGTCGCGCGATTGACAAGGTTCGTCACGCAGCATTATCCGACAAATGTCACACTTGTCAAACATCACGCGCCATCTCGCTCGTTACATGACGTGTATACGTGCATTTCGGACGGTTCCGATCGTAGCGATTTTCGATTCATCTTTTGCTACTAATCCTCGTGAATCCTAACACCCGAAACCATGTGTAGTGGCGTGTGAAAAGCAACAAAAACAGTCATCGATCAAACGCGGTATGATTTCTGTCGATCCAACATTATCGTGCCATATTTCGTAGTTGAATTTCTTGATAACGCGCTAATTTCGCAAAGTGTAACAACTTAACAACTTAACCTAACTCTAACTTCATTTCAGTCTGCATTCGTGGTGCACTTCACCGCAACAGCGTGTTTGTTGACCTTATCGCACGAGACCAAACGAGACTGTTATGCTTCACGTGGAATGCGGAAACTATCATCGCAATTGTTACAACATCGACACGAATTGACATTCTTGTATAAACGTCAAATTGCAGTGCGTCTTTCGATGTTTATCGAACGTGCAATCAATCACAGGTTGACAGTTCTCGATTGACGTACAAAGGTAACCTGCAATTCCAAGCAATTCATATTTTTCAGCATTTCAATACCATATGTTTATTTGAACAAGTTATTCTGCAAGTTTTGCTCATAAAAATTATGCTATTTACTTTGGTATGTGGTCGAAATATATCATAAAATATTGATGAGAAACTGACAGTTTTCGCAGACGATCTACAAATCTATGACATCGCGTAGGCGTTTTGTCGTCTCTCGATAATAAATTAGTTTATCGTAATAGATATCGATCAAATTTTAATTTATAAAATCTGTTCTTTTGTCATATTTTGCTTATAAAATAAATAAATAGATGATGCGAAGTGTAGAGAAGATTATAAAATTCACTCAAACTTTTCGGCATTTTGTGCGTTGCACGATTACACCAATATTAATATGACATATTTATATGACGATTTATTTAGTTATTAAATACATTAAAAAAAAGTGTGTTTAGCGATATTTTGGACCAAATTATTTGCTTACACTTGGTGCAGTATTGCTCGCGAAGAAGGGTTAATGAAGCGAAGGGGACAGAGAAAAAGAAAAAGTGAGTGAGAGAGAGAGAGAGAGAGAGAAGAAAGAGAGTGAGAGAGAAAAAGAAGAGTTAAAGGTAGGGGAAGGGACGGGGACGGAGTTCGCATTATGGTGGCAAAGTGCTGGGCGTTGCTCTTCAATCAGTACCTGTTGATCGTCTCTCGAACGTTATCTCTGCGCGCAGTTATTTACTTAACGATAATCCAGTGCTTCAGCGATCATTGTCGTTATCATGAGACAACACGGTAAGAATGATTACCTCGTGACATTTGATCTTACTCTCTTTCCCCGCATCACGTTCTTCTCTCTGTCTCTCTCTCTCTCTTTCTGTCCCCCCCTTTGCTAATGTTTTTTTCCACGATCGATCATCGTGATGCAAATTCGTGTGTTTTAACGCTGATAAGAGTGTCGCAGGCGTATGCAAAAGTGCCTCTGGACTTAAGCTAGTCGACATAAGCGATATGTCTCCGTTTTCGGTAAAATTGTGTATATAATTTCTTGTTTACAATTATAAAATATCTTCTGTTTTGTAAACAGCGCATCAAGAGAAAAGTTATCGTAGTTTAAATGAGTTTATAACTTTCCAAATGTAAATTACACTTGCACATTCCTTTCCTCTTGTTTCTCTTAATTATTTAATAATTATTTAACATTGTACGCGTAATACTTTCTCCGGGAAAACAATAATAATCTTTTGTTATAACGAAATGCAAATTTGTCTTACAAACTAATCTAGAAGCGATAAAAATCTGAATTATAAGATGCAATTATAGTTTGGAGTTACTTAACTTTATTTTTTTTTAGATTAATATTTATTTCTACATCTGGATATGAAATGTAAATTTGTCTCAGGCAAATTTTGTATAGATCGTTGAACTCGTAGATCCTGTTTGAACTCTCAAAACTGAAAACTGCGCGTGTAACTTAAAATTCTCTCGCGCGACCTTTTTCACTCATATGGCGAGACCGCTTAACGAAGCACCTCTAAGCTCGTCGCAATTATGTCCCGATGAGTGCACTGTGCCCCGACGGTGCAGTTACGTCGTCTGGAAAATCGTATGAATCAGCAGCCGAGGTTTTTGTCTCGCCCCCAACTTGATCGCGCGATCGTAGCACGCCGTCCGTCGCGCGTCTTCGTCATTCGTATAAATATCGAGCCCCCACAGAAAGAATACATTGGAAAAATGTTCATGGAGCACGCAAAGAAAGAATCTTTTGTCTTGCAGCGCTAAGTGATGGGCAAGGGTGAGGAGAGAAGCGGCACGACGGCGCAGGCGGGCGAGTCGACACTCCTGGGGAAAAGCTCAAGCGAGGCCAGCAAGATGTTGGAGGCCGCTTTGCTCCAGATGGACGACATTATTTCCGGTATGATTGAAAGTAAATATATTAATATAATAAGCTTTGATATATTATTAATTTGATATATTATTAAAAGAAACGTCTATTTGGGCTTTCTTAATGATAAAATTATAACATTCAAATATAATAGCTATATAAGCCCAGAGCCAGGTATTGGTTTAGTATAATTAAGTAACTCAGTAAAGTATAATTAAAAAGAATCGGTTATACCAGACGTTTCGGCTTATTTTGGCCATTCTCAGTGAGAGATAACAAAGTCAACGGAACATTAGAAAAACAAAATAAAATAAAAGTACGCATAAGACGCAAGGTTATCGGAAAGCGGTTACAAAATTCAATCAGTTATAAAAATCAGTTATAGATGATATATTATTCACAGATATTAGCGCAATTTTTTTTAATAAATAAGATATAATTTTATTCTATACGATTAAGAAGATAGAAAGTAAACACATTAATTTACAAGGATTTTTAAGAATAATGGAGCAAATCATAAACTGCAAGTCACGGACCCATTTCGCTTTATATGAGCTGAAAATTTGTTGCAAAACTAATCGAGTATATTTTGCAGGTGCTTGCGCGGAGAGCTCGTCCGAGGGCAGCGCGGAATGGAAGAATTCGGTGAAGGAGGCGGCGAGGAATCTCGTGACTGCGATAAAGAGTGCGCCGACGCCGCCCCCGCCGCCCGACACTGCCACCGAGGATATCCTGTTGCAGTGGATGCAGCCGGTAAGCAGGCGGACACAGACATCCTTTCCGTTCACGCCGATTTTTATTTTGCTCGCATCCGTATTTGATGGCGAGCTAAGGACGAGCGTTTCCGCGGAGTTTCGCTCAGCTGCTTCCGCTTTTCACGACGCGACGTATCCCGGAAACGCGGACAGTTTCCGCGATTAGTTTGAATATCGGCGACGTCGAGGAAGCACCTGTGGTGACCGGTGTGTTAGAGCCCTTTTCACATCCACTGCACGCGTCCACGCACGTGTCGCCGCCGCACACCGATCACGTACATCCGAACGTCTGACTTTGCAATCGTTAGACCGTAATCACATCACGCGATGTTGACCGATCGGACAAAATCGGTCGTTAGAAATTTAATTTTTTTATAATGGTATTTGAGTGGCATATGACGATATGATGAACATGGTTATGTATTTTCTATATTAATCGGACGAGGTTGTTGGTAGAATTTTTCTCTCGCGAGAGGTAAGTACAATATAAAATTATAATTTTTACTAATTTCATGCAATGTTATAAGCATTGATAGAGATTGTTGTTTTGCTGTCATTATTGCAAAAAGCCTTTGCGTTTTAAAAATCTCTTTTAAATTCAAAACTAATCAAGTTTTTCGAACTAAATGAATCAATTGGTGAAGCAATAAGAAATTACATCCATAATTAATTTCAGTTTGTTATATATTTATTTAAGCAATAGACGACCTTTGAAATAATCTAATAATAAATAGATAAATAATATAAGATAATGCAAATATTCATATTTACTGCATTATTTTTATACATTTTATCATGCGACTAAAATTATTTATTTATTATTGAGCCTAAATAGCCTGAATGAAGGTAAGAGAGGATCTAATGGCTGCGATCTCTTTTAAGTAATAAAAAGAGAAGGCACCAATCTATTTATAAATTGCCATTAGCCCTCTCTCTCTTTCTTTCTCTCTCTCTCTCTCTTTTCTGTGCTTCCTCCCCGCTCGAAGGATTTCATGACGTTAATTTTAGTTTCGGCGGAGACGATGCCGCGGCTGGCAGTGTGAAAGTGCACTTCATCGAGATAATGTTCAGTTGTGTATGAAAACGTTGATATCGCAAGTGATCCTGATTGTTCTTTCGACGTTACAGGGTGTTCAATGAGCATTCATCGCAGTGGGTGAAGTTGAGTGATTTTTGTGATTTGATAATACATCTTGACAATAAACTCACACGTGGTTTATCAACCGATTTTTCACTGGATCGAACTCGGGATTGTAATGTGCATTTTCCTGAGATCAACGAAGAGACGAACGCAATAATTCAGGGGAAAGAGACACTTCGCGCTTATCATGGAGAACGCTTGGAGCAACGGCATTGCCGGAGAACGCAAGGATCTCACCCCCATAATAGAAGAAGAGGATAAAGGACAAGCGAAAGGTTTTTCTTCACTTCTTTTTTTATTCTTGTGAGCGTACAAAATAAGAATTTAAAAAAAAAAAAAAATAGAGAAACCGACGTTAGATCGGAATTCCGATTCTAAGGAAATCTTCCGGAAAACGTAGGCCAACTGCATCAAAAATACATTTGAAGCAGATTGATTGTATTTTCAACTAAACTTGGAATTTGGTCAAAAAGCGAAGTGAAAATTGTACACTTGACGCGCCGCGGAAAATAAAGCCGTGACACTCGGACAGTTTTGATGCTGCACGGTATAGAATAACTTGGCAGGCGTCCGACGGTCGGGACGGTCGTGAGACTCGCGGCGATTCGGTACTAAAATCGTGCGGTTGGCTGGCTGATGAGCTGGCTGGCTGGCCAGTGCACCGTGAGTTATGCTTTTAACGGAGCCCGAATAAGTGGTCCAGCTCGAAATAGATCGCCTTAACCGCGCGCGCGTTTGACCGTCGGCGGCGTGCACGTTCATTGACTCTCGACCGCGAGGTACGCGAGTATAGTATCGCGAAATCGATTATTGCTTCAATCGCCGTCGAAGTAAACATCGCGAAAAATAGATCAGCGCGCTTCGCGCGATTCTGGCAATGAAAAAACCCCGCCGCGGAGTGAAAGGCTAACAGTCGGAAACCTCTTGAGCGGATTAAAAAAAGCTTTTAAACCGTATCTAAATTCAGGCTCGCAATCGGACTCGTCGGACGCGGCGTCGACTATAAAGCGCTGGAACAGCCGGTGGACGCCCTCAGAGGGTTACGACTCGTCGGGCACGTCGTCGATCTCCGACGACTACGTCGAGGATTATCCGCGGGATATCAACGGCTCTGGTCTGTCCGAACCGGCGGCAATTGCGTGCGAAGCAGCCTACCGATCGCAGGAGTGTTTGTGTCAGGTAGACTCTTAAGTTGGAGAGAAAATTCGTCTTATATGCGCGCTTTGTATAATTTGCGTTTATATATACATATATATTTCAATTAAATGTGATTACAAGAGAAAGCAGAAGCGAAATACCTTTGGCCGTGAGATACTGATAATATCGTTGTAGGCGTGCTTGCTCGGCTATGCTAAGATGATAGCGCTTCAAGGAAGTATGCCTAATATCTGTGCAGTATCCAGCGGCATGCCGAATATCTACCCGGCAACGACCGCTCATCTGGGAAGCTTCCCGTCTCTCTGCGCGACGCCGTGTTCAAGGTTGCCGTTTGTAGTCGTCTCATCACTTACACTTATGCTTCTTTTTACGCACCCGTCCGGGTATTTTTAACAAACTCTGCTACGTTGATCTTTGCAAACCGATAGCATCTCCAGCGAGCTGGCGCATCACGTGAAGGAGCACGCGAGAAACGTCGGCCACTATCCGCACATCTGTCATCTGCCGCAACCGGTCCCGATGTTCGCGAAGGAGCGCGAAATGCACGCGGGCAACAGAACGAACAGCACGACGTCCTTGCCGGTGAGCTCGACGGGAAGATGCGGCTCTCTGGACAGAAGGCGGCGCAGACTGCGCAGCAGAGTGGACCGCGATCAGAGAACCGTGTCTCAGAGCGATCTGATCTGCCACGAGAGAGATAAGCTGCACCACTACTGTTCGCTACAGCAATTCCACTGCGGCAGCAATATGTGCATGAATAATTATCATAGTAAAACCGAGGTATATATTGTGTACGCGCGGGAGCTCTTTCAATAAAACTTTCGAACGTGTGCGTGATAAATATGAATTATTTCCCAGTCCTTTTTGTACTCGAATATTTATATCGCACAATTCTTTCGTTAACGGATTACTTTGTTCATTTCAGGAGCGATTGAGGAAATTGGAAAGCGAGCGCGGAGCATTACACATGGAAGTGTCGGTTTTATCCGAGCAGGTCGACGCGCAATCGAGCAAAATCCAAGAGCTCGAGAGCATACTGCAGGAGAAGAAAGATACTCTGAGACAAATGGAAGAAGCTTTACAGAAGGTGAGATGTCGCACGATTTTGCAACATTGATTCACAGCTAATAAACTTGATATATTTATTTGTTCAAAAGGAAATTCTATCGAGAAGCGCACTGGAGACGCAAAAATTGGAGCTTCTCACTTCTTTGTCCGAGATGAAACTCAGACAAGCCAGTTTGGAGCACGAGAATCTCGCACTGCGCAATACAAGTCCCCTATCAAATGTTAGTATACTCTTAAACAGCTAATTGCATAGATTCTTTTATAATTCTGTTTTTATATCATGCAATTTTGCAATAGTACGAAATTAATAAGAAAAAAATTCACTGACTTAAAGCGATCTTGTGTTCGCAGAGCGAAAGATTCAGTAGACATACGGGTCAATACAGTAGTCTTCCTAGGCCGCCGACGTCCAAGAAAGGCGTTGTATTTGGTAAGGTTCCAAATTTAGTCTCGGGAGCGCACACGACGGTACCCTTGGCTGTTAGGGGAATCTCTGCGAGATGTCTGTCCGCTCCTATTCTAGGTTCCGATCGATCTTTATCTAAGCATGCGGTGTCATGTTTAAATGTCATGCCGTCTTTAATGATGAACGCGCCAATATTAATCGTAACAGCATGTCATGATTTTAATTGGGATGTAATTCGCTTGCACTCACGGCTAATGCGCATGCATTCGGCGCCATCGTTATTTAATATTTAATTAATTTTTCGTGGTTTAAATTAATTCCTATAAATGTATCAATATCGAACCTTTTATTTTTAACTTTATCATTATAGTTTGATCAATTTATATTATTTGGCGGAATATCCAAAAATCTAGCTTGCTAATTGTCGATCTTTTATATCTTTGTTTTAATTTTGTCATTATAGTCTGATGAATTTATATTATTCTACTAAGTTTTGTAGAATTTTAAAGATATAATTAGCTAATTATAATTATGAGCAGTTTTTGCGAATATTTAGAGAAAAATTGCGAATTTCAATGCGAATCAGAATCGCGAAGGTTTATAATGTACATCTGATATGACATATATGTGTTTGTTATTAAGCAACATTAAAGTCGCGTGCAATTAATTAGTATCAACATTGCAGCGGAGGAAGAGAAAACAGTGATCGGCGAGGCATACGTACAGGCGGAACCACTGCCGCCGAAACTGCTTGCAGAACATAGCATGGAGGAGATTGGCGATTGGTTGTCCCGTCTCAGTCTGGAATGCTACGCCGGCGAGTTGAGACGATGGGGAGCCACCGGATCGAAGCTGCTCGACGCTGCGCAGGTTCAACTGGAAAAAGAGTTGGACATAAAGAACGCTCTGCACAGGAAGAAGTTGCTTTATGCTATCGAATCGGAGCGAAGCAACGGCGCTGGATTTCTCGGTTCTCCCAAGGTTGTCAATCGATGAATTACTTTGCGCGTTACTATCCGAGAAAATCCGAGGTTAAAATCCCTTTCTGATATTTTGCAGATGGACAATGCGGCCGTGTTACGATGGTTGGATGACATCGGACTACCGCAGCACAAGGAAGCTTTCCACAATGCAAAGGTCGATGGCAGAGTGTTGCACAGATTGACGACGGAGGATCTTCTGTATCTCGGAGTGACCGCGCAGTTGCACGCTGCCAGTTTAAGACGCGGAATTCAGGTATTCTATATATAGAGGATATAACCCTCTTCTTAAGTAAATTATAAATTTGGAACGATAATGGAATCGACGCTATAAACTGCACAGGTTTTACGGGATTTGAACTTCGAGTTCGATAACTTGGAGAGGAGATCCGTGAACGGAAACGGCGCCGACGGTACCAACATGACTCTCTGGACAAATCATCGCGTGATGGAGTGGCTGCGCGTCGTGGATCTTGCGGAGTACGCGCCGAATATGCGCGGTTCTGGCGTTCACGGTGGTCTCATGATCCACGAGGACCGATTCACCTCGGAGCTGCTCGCCACGCTGCTCAGCATTCCACCGGCGAAGACTCTACTTCGTAGGCACCTGACGACGCATTTCAATCAGATTCTCGGCAGAGAAGTGGTCCAGCATAAAAGAGAGGTCGAGAACACACTCGGATTCGTTCCACTGACGCTTACCGCTAGACTAAAGGTACATTTTGTCTGTCGCTATCTATTGAAAGCGTAATTTAGAATAAACAGGTTAGAAAAATCTTACGATCATCCAATATGCTTGTTTCATCATGATACTAAATATTGCTTGAACTTTGACCAGGCACCAAAGAAATCTCAATTCACACTGAAGCGTAAGAAGAGTAAAAACGAGATGGACTTCGGCAATCTGGTTTGCCCGTTGGAGGCATCACCTCCAGGTACCCCATCAACGCCCTCATCAACACCGGGCAGCCCTAACTTGAACTCACCCACATTTTAACCACAATTAAATCTTCATTCGGGTAATCATCTAAACTAACTTGTAAGTCTAACTCAACTAATGAAAACTGCATTACAGATATATAGGATCGTACTTTTATAAATTGTACAAAGTACACTCACATTTCTGGGAAAGTCTGTCATTTCTCTCATATTTCGGCATAAGTTATATACTTATTACACACGTACACATTATTTGTTATATCAAACAAATGTAAATATGAAGAACATCGGCATATTTACTGCTAACTAAATATCTGTTGGCTTATATCACACATTTTTATTAATATATTGCTTATTGTAATTAATTATCATTCATTGCTTCGTTATAATTGATATTTTTTCTCCAAATTATAAAGACAAGATGTCATATTTTATATATGTTTAAATCTTATGCAGTTAAAAAGAATTATGTTTTTCAGATTTGGAGGATACTGGACAAAGAAAAATTATCGGTTGTATATGAACGATGGACGAGTTGCAAAACGATGTATTTTAATGATAAATGAATAAGAATTTTGTGAAAAGAATGTCAGAATTATCTGGGACCAGTTATCCATATCGTAAATTACATAGTCACAGTGTTATTATGTATTCGATAAGAAACTGCTTAAACGAGAGCTAACTTCGACACCGCCAAAATCATTTTAAGGCCGTAAATTAAAGGATTTGATAAGAGAGAGAGAATTAACCCCATTAGAGAATAAATATTTTTACTACGAATTATGAAAAGATATATTGTGTGGGTATACTGCGCGAAAAGAAATAAAACGCTAAATATTTATATCTACTTTATATATCTGTCTCTGTTCACTCTTAATAGCTTTAACATACAGAACACAACAATCATGCGTTATATATTTATTATTTTCGTTAACACGGAAAATGCATTTTTATCGCATCGCCACGTTTTGCGTGCAAGTAACTTTAACATTTTTCCATAATTACTTTTTAATAGTTACCTTGTTAATCATTTTATCGTTTATTATTTTGTTAATGCATCATTTTTTAATTGTTTCTTAATTTTTCTTGCAAAGTAATTAATAGCCACTAAAATATAGGAATTATTATTATTTATTATATTGCTTTTCCAAAAATAATACAAAATATATGATTCTAAAGGAAAAGATAATTCTTTGAATCACATACAAATTGAAATTACTAATTTAGATATTAAAAATTAGATTTTAAAGATGTTTATAATCAAAAGAATATGATTTAACAAAAATAAACTAAATTTTGAACATAAATTAAAAAAATATCCTTTTTTTCGTTCATTTACACATTTACTTTTATCAATGAGTTTACATTTTAGAAAATCTGACGTTAACATTCCTAGAATTTCTACTTAAATGAAATACGTTTTATAAATATAAGATTAATAAATATTTATTTACTATTTTATTTATTTATTTATTATAATTTATTCATTAATAAAATTAATATTAAGCATATTTATACTAAAATATGTTTTTAAAAAATATAGTTAAGAGATCTAATCACATGTGAATTTGATTTAATTAACATAATTATTATTTTATACATTTGCATAATTTGTAAACTTACATATCTTTCATGGAAAATTTATTTTTTGAATATAGTTACTTTTATCACAATTACGATTGATGGAATCTTTCATGCGCATGCTTAATATTTTGGATACATTTTATTGGCAAAGTTGGTACGCTTCCTTTCTCTCGCTCTTTTACTCTTTGCCTATTCCTTCAAGATGGTGAGTGTTATTGCGTTACAGTATTTTGATAATAATCCGATGATATAAGAGGAATCGTCATTGTATTTGCAATTTACTTGCAATAAACACACTTAGAGAATGTCGTAAATATTCTTGTCTCATTATTACTTTAGAATTCTTAAAAATTCCGATTCTTTGTTCTGTATTGGGAAAGCATAACCTCAACAACGCGTTAACATTATTTTCGATCCGATAATTTTAAAGTTATTAATATGTGTTCTACTATGTATATTTTTGTTATATTTTCTTAGTCAACACACAAGAAGAAGACCAGGAAACTTCGTGGACACGTGAGTCATGGCCACGGCCGCATTGGTAAGTTCAGTCAACATAATTTGTTCCTGTAAGCAACATCCACGTGATGCAAGCAAAATAAGAACATGCGGTAAAAAGTACATCATACATTTACAAATTATTGCAATAAAAATGCATCCACGGCTTATTTCGAAAAAAAAATTCAAATTTTTAATGAAATATTTTATAATAAATATTTTGACTCAATAATTAAAAATTGAATAAAAATTGCTTAATTTTTCTGTTTTATCTTTTTACTGCTATTTATTGACTGCGTTTATATTCAGATTTCATTTTTTAAATAAATATTGTTAAGTTCTTTGTTTTTCATCAGTTGAAAATCGTTACTGTATGATGTTCGCATCTTTTAGGCAAGCATAGGAAACACCCTGGTGGTCGTGGTAATGCTGGCGGTATGCACCATCATCGTATCAACTTTGACAAATACCATCCTGGTTACTTTGGAAAAGTGAGAACATTTTTGCACATTTATAACGGACTACGCTAAATTTTTACTAGAAAATTTTGAATCTAACTGATGTTCCTTTGATTCACAGTTGGGTATGAGAAATTATCACCTACGTCGTAATACCAAATGGTGTCCCACGATAAATCTAGACAAATTATGGACTTTGGTTTCTGATCAGACGAGATTAAAATACAAAAATGTCGAGGGCAGAGCGCCTGTAATCGATCTTGTGAAGGCGGTGAGTCATTAAGCTTTTTTTATTTTATCCAATATACTTTTTTTCTTCGAATATTTCGATAATATTACTACATATGATGTTCTTGCAACGGGCGGACTGAAAAAGTGCTGTACAACACTTTATATTTCTGTTGATTGTTGCTTTCTGATAAACTTGCAAAATAATTTTTAAAACAATTTTGCAAAATTACTGTGGTTATATTCAAACGCGATAATATAAAAAATGTGAAATAATCGATCTGCATTAATTTTTTTCAGGGATACTACAAACTTTTGGGTAAAGGACGTCTTCCCAAGCAACCTGTTATCGTTAAGGCCAAGTTCTTCAGCAAACAAGCGGAGGATAAGATCAAGGCAGTCGGCGGTGCATGTGTATTGTGCGCGTAAACATCAAGTATGCATCTAATTATCTTTCCTCATTGTTTCTTCAAATTTGCAAGAAAATTTTTACATTAAATTATTTTATGATGATCTTGTAACGGGCGGTCGGAAAAGTGCTGTACAACACTTACGTTACATGTAGAAATGTTACATTCTTCTGATTAATTTGCAGTAAAATATTCTTTTAAAAAAAGCCATATATTCAATATACTAACTCCTATATTTTATTTTCAGAGCATCATCTTTCGTGACACGATAATACAAATCTGTAAAGTACTTTCTAAAGATGATGAGATCAAAAATCTCAATAGAAATGAAAGATGTATTTCGATGTCACGACAAATAAACATTTTTTTTAAACATATACATTGTCCGATTTATCCTATTCTTACATTGATATTTTACATGTACCAAGTATATTACACATTCTTCGACTTCGTGAGAATCTCACTCATAGCAGCGAGATTGGTTTCGCGTTTTGGCAGTAAAAGTATAAACGAAGTGATATTTCCAAGAAGAAGATTGTATACTTGAGCTTGTCAAGAAAAAGATTTTTTATCTCATCAAACACCTTATGCTATGTGAGGTGGTGGAGGAGGTATTTGCATTCCAGTGGCCAAAAGAGCCGGCGGCGGTGGTACTGGATTGAACATGGGCGGTCTCGGCGGAGGTGGTGGAACTGGTACCATTGGGCCGAGCCCTGGCCTAATAAGTGGAACTGGTGGCGGCGGCACTTTGCCTACGGATGGTTTCTCATTCTTGAACGCAAATTGCAAAAAGAATTGCTTTGTGTCTTTGTTCCAATGAGTCCAAAACTTTCCCTCCGCTTTCTCCACCTCCCTACTGGGAACCTGCAAATTTATAAATAATAAATAAAAGTTTTTACTTGAAACATTGAGATTATTAGAATTTAACATTAATCTTTAGAGAATTGTGAGAATCTCTGTCATAGAAGACAACTTTTTAAGAATAAGATGATAGAATAAAATCTTTATGATTTAAAAGCAAACCCTGCGACTCTATGAAGATTAAGAACACAGAAATCAATGGGTCTCACCTTGAAAGCGATGGTTTCGTATGGCTCAGCAGCGAACAACAAGTATTGCCACTTGCGATCCGGTGGCTCTACCCTCTGTTCGTATGCGGACATAAACCTGTGTCGTGGTATTACATTATCCGCCACTTCAGGGTAATCCACCTGGAACAACAGACTCTGCTGGCCGGATTCTGGATCGCGCTGCTTGGTGACTCGATAACCGGGTCTACCAATCTTGACGAATTTCTTTGGTTCGACCCGCGGCTTCTCCGGTGCCAAGGTTTGCGGCGCTTCCTTAGCCTCCTTCGCAGCACGCCTGGCTAAATTAGCTTGATGCTTCTTGCCCTGCGTATGCGCCAAGTAACTCCCCTCGTTGTTGTGCAAGGTCAGACAAAGTTTGCACTCGTACGAGCCAAGGTGGTTTTTCATAAAGTACGGATCCTTGTTCAAATCGATAGTCTCCAAGGCGAGCTGTCGCAGCCGTTCCCGGCGATCGCGATTGCTCTCCGACCAGGAGGCGACGCCGCCGCCGCCGGTTTTGCCGCCAGGACGATTTTGAAAGTCCATCTTTTCCCGTTGTAGTAAACACGCTAAATGAGGTAGAGCTTGGGATTCGCCTCTTGTATGTGTAAATAATTGTGAATAGTACTGTAGAAACGAACAATCCCATCGCCAGGGGAGACTATCTGGCCGCTGCGACCGCGGTTTGTTAGATGGACGTGCCGGTATGGAAACTTTGTGCCTGAACAGGATTGGTGGTTTATTTCTATATGCGTTAAAAAATATTTGGACAAATATTAATTTTGACAATTAACATAAAATAAAATAAATATAAAAATAATATAATGTATGAAAAGATAAAACACTACATTGTAAAAACAATTTATATTTATTTTAATTAAAAAAAAAAAACATTTGACTTATTGTTGAGACTTGCTCTTATGCATTCTGCGTTTATGCAAGTCATATGTATATGCCTTAATGAGTGCAATGTGAATTTTTCATAAAATGGAACAAACGCATCTTCCTGCATTGTGCTATTCGTGGTGTTTCTCTGTGTTCGTCATGTTTGCTGTGTTATGAGAAAGCACTTGTTGACTGTAAATAATAGGGTTGTCTAGATTTGATTCGATTTAATCATGATACGATTTAATCGTATAAACGTGAGATGGATTTAACATTTATGTTGCTGCTAAAAATCAATTCTTAAGAAAAATCCGGATTTTGTTATACATCAAACTACTTTTACTTGTATTGACTTTTTGTTGACAAACTACGAGAATAACGATGGCTGCGAGAGGCATTCATAGTTTAAGATTTAATCAGGATCAAGGTAAATTTCTATTTTTAACCAAAAGTTTTAATTTCTATAGTCTTTTTATCTTATTTTCCATCCACAGGATGCTTTACATGTTGCATGGAGTCCGGATTGAGAATTTACAACGTTGAACCACTGGTTGAGAAAGCTCATTTTGACAATGATTTAATGGGAAGCATTTCCATAGCCGAAATGCTATGGAGGACGAATGTGATCGCTGTGGTGGGCGGTGGAAATCGTGCTAAATTTGCCGACAACACCGTCTTGATTTATGATGATCTATCAAAAAAGTTTGTTATGGAAGTCACATTTACCAGTCCTATCAAAGCAGTCAGATTACGAAGAGACAAGTAAGTTATTTAACATTTTGTATCTTTTTTTTAAATTATGAATATAAGTAAAACAGTTGCTTACACAGCAATCTATTGTAGAATGGTAGTGGCGCTGCAGCGAGAGATTCATGTCTTTTCGTTTCCCACACCCGTTCGGAGGTTACTGACGCTGGAAACTAGAGACAATCCCATGGGCTTGGTAGAAATAGCAACATTTGCCACAGCGCAGAAACAATTGCTGGCTTTTCCTGGTCACAAACTGGGCAGTGTACAGTTGGTAGATCTTGGAGCTACAGAGGCTGGAAGTTCCAGTGCTCCTGTTACTCTTTCAGCACATCAGGTGATTATTTTAATGATTTTTTATATAATTTTTTATTTTATACAGTTATTTATTATGGCATCCATGTGTCTTACCATGAAAACAGGGTGCACTGGCTTGTCTGGCGGTCAATGGTAATGGGACCATGATTGCAACTGCATCTGCTCAGGGAACCCTGATTAGAGTGTGGGATTCTGTGCGCAGGAGTTTGTTAGTGGAATTAAGACGAGGTGCCGACCCGGCTACACTCTATTGGTGAGTGTAAATATGATTAACATTACAATAATTAATGTTCTTTATTTTATTAATGTCTCGATATTTCTTTTAGTATAACTTTTAGCAGGGACTCAGAGTTTTTATGCGTCTCAAGCGACAAAGGAACGATACATATATTCGCCCTGAAAAACACCAGCTTGAACCGACGATCTACGTACGTGAATAATTTTCCGAGTAAACAAACAATTTTACTATGCAATGTATGCATAATTTTATATGTTCTGTATTATTTCTTTCAGTTTCTCGAACATGGGTTTTCTCGGTAATTATGTTGAGAGTCAGTGGGCATTGGCTACATTCACAGTGCCTCCGGAATGCGCGTGCGTTTGTGCATTTGGTACACACAATTCTGTGATAGGTATTTAGAATATTTAATTATGTTTAGAGAGATGTATTCTATCGTTTATCTCTTTACTTCGTTGTTTCAGCTGTATGTATGGACGGAACTTTCCACAAGTACGTCTTCACAGCAGAAGGTAATTGCAATCGGCAAGCATTCGACGTCTTCCTCGACGTGTGTGACGACGATGATTTCTAACATAAGGCCTACTGCGTGTGTATGTGTGTTTAGTTACGGAGTTATGTACTTGCAACAAAATTTCTAGTCGGTTCACGAACGAAATATCCTGTATGTGATAATTGTACAGGTAATCGAATCGCCGATTACGTAGAAAGTGCATAAAGTCATGTTAAGAAGGTTAATATTCATGCAGTTTTCAAGTACAATTTTTTGTATGCACTTTCTGCAATTAATTGTACAGTTGTAATAAATATTAATAGACATTTATTTTATACAACAAACAATCCATATATTTTTTCTATTTATCACCTATCCCTTTTTGAAAAGTATTGAGATACAAAAATTACACATAATATGCAACAGATATATCTAATTCTACAGAAATTTTCGAATAAATTACAAACTTAATTCATGTAGATCTGTCCGAGACAAAAGTTTGTTCTCTAATTCTTTCTGAAAAAAACTGATTGTTAATAAAAGTAATAATTAATATAGATAGTATACAAATTTATTGTTTAACAATTTTTCTGGAAAAAAATACATACTGTATGGTTCAGGATTTATCATAGGCCGGATCATGGAAGCATAACAGCATGTACCTATTAGTCCTACAAAACTTCCGACAAAAACACCATATCTCCATCCCCTCAATCGCATATTTTTTCGATCTGTAAGAAGCGTACGTAAATATTAATTTAAAGCAAATTTTTTTTATTCTAACAATAAAATATATTTCACTTATTTCAATGTTATATTTCCAACCTAAAAAAAAATTATTTGAAATAAAATTTTACACAATTATGATATTGTCACCGAGATATTGCATTAATTCTTACCACGAGATTTATTTTGTGTTTTATTAAACTAATCAATCACATTGAATTTTCCAGAATTTTACTTGCAAAAATCACAGTAATCGTTATTTCATGTTTACTTTTTTGGTTATGATCATTATGTGTAAGCGTAGTAAACAATTTTACCACTAGATGGCAAATCAGTTGTAACATTTTGTTTCTCGTAAGTGCATTCGAATGTACTTGTTACTATATAAACAGCTTTTGAAAACGTACTATCGTACTTGCTTCGGCAGTACATATACTAAAATTGGAACGATACAGAGAAGATTAGCATGGCCCCTGCGCAAGGATGACACGCAAAATCGTGAAGCGTTCCACATTTTTTGCTACCTCAAATGCTATATCTATTTTTTTTATTTATTTTACTGATTATTACAATGATACGTAACATACGTATCCTGTTATGCTTTGCACAATTAATTATTAAATTTTAATTATATATTTTTCACAGAGAAACTGTCATACGTAATTTCGCTATTCGCAAATGACATATTTATTAATAATAATGAAATGAGGATTAACAGTAGCGTATGTTCTTACATATTTCTAAAACATCTAGAGATGAGTCCTAAAATTTTCAAAATCGAACATACAATCATGATCGTGTATATTTTATCACAAACGTATGTATCAAAAAAAGATTGTCAAAACAACTGTTGTTGACTAATGTCAACCAACGTCGCGTCCTTCTGCGGTTTAAACTTTTCAAACCGCTGTGACTTGAAGCAAACGGCAAACGTATTATCACGCGGATAGAAGTGGCGATTAAATCGGAGATAACGTTCGTGAAAGTGTCGATTTATTGATAGCGATATCTCAGTGAGAAAATATGCTCTTTTAGACGCTGGTGCAACTGCATTAATAGGTTATGTCCGCGAGTGGACAAATGAATCGATTGTAGTATAGAATTGCGAGAAAAAGAACATGTCAAGAAAGTGGTTGTCGAATTTTGCGCTGGCCGGCACCATCAGGTTGCTGTTAATGAACTCCGGATACCAAAAAATCATCAGCAACCGCGTCGAGGTATCGACCGCCTTGAACTCCTGGAAGAGAGGTTAGTCTTTGATTTAACTTATCCCAATTATACGAAAAATACAATTCTGTTTGAATGATTGGAAGGATGTGACGATGATTTTTAACTAATTTAGGTAATCGGATCTGTTTCTTACTCCGATTAATTTTTCAGTGACCGAAGGTGTATACCTGCACAATTTTGACATAGACCCCTACCAGGGAGACCTGTTCCACGAAACGCCGATCGGCTTATACGTCTTCAGTTTTATGCAAAAGTATTTATCACAGTGGGCATTATTTCTGCTGTTTGTTATTACCGACTTGACGACCGCCTTGTGCCTCGCCCTTACTGCTAAACACTATGCGATTGAATTGGTGAGTTCAGTGTTGAAATCAGACGTTTGAGCTTAATATTTAATTTAAACATTTTATAATTGATTTATAACGTATCTAATATCTATTTCAATCTGTGTTACAGGCATCGAAAAGAAGAGAGGAGAAAGATAGAGAAAGTAAGAAGGTCAGTAAAGATATTTCTAACACGTCAGTCCTGTACGTTTCCGCAGGCTATCTGTTCAATCCTTACATAATACTGAACTGCGTCGGCCTGACGACCACAGTTTTTACCAATTTGCTTTACTCGATCGCATTGTTGTCGATGACGAGACGCTCCGTGTTTTGGAGTTGTACATCAATAGCGCTACTGACACTGCAGGGATTCTACCCTGTGTCGCTTATGGTGCCAGCGACCATTTACGTCGCTCGTGCGACGAAGGATAGGAAAATTGGCGTTGCTGTAATGCTCGTTGCATTCGCAAGCATATTAACGGCCCTACTCGCCGTCTCGTATTGTATCATGGGCAGCTGGTCGTTTTTGGGGAGCACCATCGGCTTCATTCTGACCGTCCCCGATTTACGCCCGAATATCGGGCTGTACTGGTACTTCTTTACGGAGATGTTCGAGCACTTCAAATGGCTCTTCATCGCCTCCTTTCAGATAAACGTCAGTTTACTGTACATAGTCCCGTTAGCGCTGCGATTGCGACGCGACCCGATGCTGCTAGCGTTTTCCTACCTAGCAATAGCTGCCATATTTAAGTCCTACCCCTGCATCGGAGACGTTGGCTTTTATATATCTCTACTACCGCTGTGGAAGCACTTGTTTCAACGTAAGTCCAAAAAATTATAAAACTTTCATGCTCATTAATGCGAATTGGTCTAATTTCTACTTGTTTTTTTTTTTTTAGATATGCAACAAGGATTCATCGTAGGTTGTTTTATATTGTTTTGCACAGTCTTTGCCCCAACTGTGTGGCATCAGTGGATCTATTCGAGATCGGCGAATGCCAATTTCTATTTCGGGGTAACGCTGGCATTCGCCATAGCGCAAATCTTCCTTCTCACAGACATTCTGTTCGCTAGTGTTAAACACGAGTTCGCGGTTCAACATGGTATCAATAAGAAAGTTAATGGAAATGAAGCTAAACTGCTGCTCGAATAAACGCTAAGAACTTCCTTAGATCAAAATGTGTAATAATTTACCAATGAACAAGAGTGGATAATACGTGTCTCATCTGCCTCGTGAAAAAATAAATAGTTTTTTACAAAAGACTGTCTTTATTTAAATGGATTCATGCATAGACTGATTTATATAAAATAGTTATACAGTATAAAACTTGATCACAATAACAATGATTAAATAATGTTAGATAAAACACAACAGCTGAATAATGAATTAGGAACTTATATAAAAGTTATTGAGAACAATATAATTGTAAAATTGCAAGGAGTATAAAAAAATGTATAACATTTCTTGTTAGCGCTATTGTAACGATATAACGATATAATATTATAGTATCATAACATACTATGATACTTGTTTGTGCGTAATTATGACATTGATATCTTTGATAATATTGATTTTAGAGAGAAACCGTTTTATGCAGATCTTGTATAATCTAAAGCCAATATTACCATAGAAATATTAAATCGTCTTGTCTAAGGTCCTGCGTAAAAGAAAATATTAAGAATAAGCATAAATATTAAATATTAGGAAGAACAATTTGGAATTAAACAATCAATGAATAAAAAAGAAGGAACGTAAAGAACCAAATACGTTAGATTTTCGTACGAATCAACTTATGTATTACCGTGTGTTATACCGTCTTATAAACAAACGTTTTTGTCTGTCAACAGGCTATCTTCAGTTCACATAAATAAGAAAATAATACAATAAAACGGAAACGTACACTGAATATTAAAGTGTAAAATATAGAAAATGTTCCATTAAAATAATACACAGAATTTGATGTGTTATAATTTCCATAAAAATTGTTGACAAAATGAATTGTTAAAATTCATAATGATCGCCAAAATTACAATTATTTCACGTTCATGATACATCATTAACATTTTGACTTGAGATTAGACAACATATATCTTTATCTTTTCTATCTTTTAATGTGAATAATTTGTAATTTTGGCGATCATCATGAATTTTAACAATTCATTTTATTAATTTTTATGGAAATTATAACAAATCAAATTCTGCGTTGTTAATGAAACTTTCTATATTTTACAGTTTAATATTCAGTGTGTGTTTTCGTTTTATTGTATTATTTTTTTATTTATGTAAAACTGAAGATAGCCTGACAGGCAGAAACGTTTGTTTATAAAATGCTATAAGCTAATACACAAGTTGATTCGCACGAAATTTAGCGTTTTTGACTCTTTACGCTCCTTCCTTTTTATTCATTGATTGTTTAATCAGCAGAGCCTTTAAATTTTATTTTAATTTATTTTAAATTTGGAATTACTTTACTTCAAACAAAAGAACAAAATGAATTAATTATTCCTAATTCGTAACGTGTTAATCTATTTTATTTTTTGTTTTGAAATGAAATTCCAATTTTTTATTCCTAATTAATATTTATTCTTATTCATAATATTTTTCTCTACTGTGCGTTGGGCCCAACCCTTTGAATTTAGGTGACATATTGCACATATAATTAAGACTGTTTCTTTAATATAATCACAAGACTTTATTAAAACAATTTTATATATATCTTTTATATACAACTTTTATATACATCTTATATACATCTTTTATATATCACATTTATTTACATCTTATATATATGCGATTGTGAACAAATATTGTCGATGATTTGATGAAACATACATCAAAAGAAATATTCTAGATAAAAAATTATGTTTTAGATTTACACTATTTAAAAAGTCAGCGCGAACATATTGTCACCTCGATTCAAAATTAAACATTTAGCGCTTGATATAAAATACGATATTTACACGCGACTTCTTTAAAAAAACAAAGTAAAATATTTTTTAAAATACAACGATTAGGTTTCAAAATGAACAGCGCGCGTTTCGCCAAAATTCAAATAATGCGAATTAAAATAATTTAAAATGTCCATTGAAACTAAAAATCTCGAACGGTCATATCTTTATTATAAAGTCATGTTATTTATTTTGCGCATTAGCACGTCGGATAACTTTTTTGAATTTTTATTTTTCTCACTGTATTCTATGGTGATGGAAAGTTTCTTCGCCGGATTGATGTTATCGCCCCTTAACTTCTCTATCATGTCCGGCTTCAAAAGGCATCGCTCGAACGGAATACATCCCCCTTGGTTTTCACAGTATTCCCAAAGTAACTTCCAACATTTACTTTTGCAGAGAACATTCGGGTCGAATTTGTGAGTGTTTTGGCGCGTGTTAGAGCGACGTTAAATATCTGAAAAGAAAAGAAAGAAAGATCGTTACAATTAAGCGACATTGATTTGTACAATTGGAATATTAGTGTGCATGAATATTATCATGAGAATAATTTAAATCATGACAATCATTAAATAAGTAACGAATTACGTACTTTCGGATTGGATAGGAAACCGATGTGCTCTCTGCCATTGTGCTTTCGATCGCATCGTTGACAATATCATCACAGGTTTCTCTTGCCCTTAAAATATCTCCACTGTTCCCACAGTCACGTCTTCCAAGCGTCTCGCTGCCAATTGCCGAGTGATATCTAGCTGCTGCCGTTTAAAAGGCGTTGACATTGATATCCTTTGCCGTGATTTTGCAATTTGCGAACTTTGTCTTGAGCAGCATGCTGACACAATGCACCACTACTAGTGCTTCAGCAACGTTGTAGACACTGCAGATAAATTGCGCTTGTTTTCAATCGTGATCTTATAGATTATTGTTAAATATAGAAGGATTTAATTTACCGCGTGATTATTAAAATGCGATTTAATATCTAAATTTACTAACCTTTTGGCTAAAGTCCTTTCTTCTCCACCTCGAACTTCTTGGAATATCATTGGAAAATTTTTATTAGGTAGTTCCGGCCAGTTTAACGCGATTTGTGTATCGGCTCCTCCGCAGGCTATGAGATCACCGTCATAAAATAATTGATTGGATATGTGTAAAAGTTTTTCGTGACTGCGATTATTTTAATTTTGTTATGTAGTTCGGATTGTAATTCCCATTCTGTTTTTTTATACGGTTTTTTTATACGGTTCGCAAGTGGTCGTTGATCGTTCCAGCATAGATATTCCTGTTAGCATATTAAACAATGAAAAAATTATAGTATATACACGCACACATATTCTAAGTTATAGATACTATAGAAAAAACTTACCAAGAAGATGTTCACACACACAGATCTTTTGTTACGAACGACAGGTTCTAATTGATGAGGATCACCGGCAATAACAACTTGTGTATAAAAATCAGTACACAAGATGCCGGTACTCGTTATTACAAAAGATATTAGCATTTCAGGTTCAATCGTTTGACTCGCTTCGTCAATAATTATATAAGAAAAATTAAATTCCTATTCTGTTTTTTATACGGTTCGCAAGTGGTCGTTGATCGTTCCAGCATAGATATTCCTGTTAGCATATTAAACAATGAAAAAATTATAGTATATACACGCACACATATTCTAAGTTATAGATACTATAGAAAAAACTTACCAAGAAGATGTTCAGATCTTTTGTTACGAACGACAGGTTCTAATTGATGAGGATTACCGGCAATAACAACTTGTGGATAAAAATCAGTACACAAGATGCCGGTACTCGCTATTACAAAAGATATTAGCATTTCAGGTTCAATCGTTTGACTCGCTTCGTCAATAATTATATAAGAAAAATTATTTTCTTGGAATCCCATGGTAGACAACCTATAATAAACAATGCGAGATTATATTGTGAATCTAAAAATTTAAAAGTGATATTTTAATTATAAAATATCTTTTACATGTTTGGACAATGCTCAATTGTAATTTTATATGAGACATAACTAATTAATTTTATTTATGTAAAAATCTATTCTTTCTTTCCTACAAGCACATCTCGAATATTATACATAAAAAAATGAAACAGCCAAAATACATAAAAAGGATAGGGATCAAGAACTAAGCGAGTAAACTGCGTGTAGAATGGCTGTGAGATAAATAGAAGAAATAGGATTATACGTAGGTAAAATGTAAAAAAATAGCAGAAAATGTGAATAAGGAATGTATGTAAGGTTGTAAGGTTATAATTTTAAAACTGTGAATGGCTTAGTTTACACCGATTGTTTAGTACACGTACCAAGTACTAAATCTGTTTCTCCGATAGGTATAAATCGTTTAGTGTAAAATCTGCGCCAATCAAAGAAGCAGATTTAGTACTTGGTACGCGTACTAAACAATCGGTGTAAACTAAGCCAGTGAATGAGTGTGATAGGACTGAATTGTATAAACCAAGTCCCTTTCTTGGTAAAAGCTGAAGTAATAAAGATATGTATACATACCTTAAAGATGTAACTAATGTTGTAATGATTATCTTTTTACATAGCAGTAGCTCCCTTGTCAAAGATATAGTTTTTTCGTCAGCAAAAGTTGCACACGGTTGAATTTGTTTATCTACTTTCTCCCTGTTGTAACAAACAAAAATGCCGCAACAATCGAACTGATTAATGTAAATAAAATATCACATGCCGTAAGGACATAGATCTCCCACTTGTACAATAATAATTTGTGTAGAAAATAATAACAATTGTAAATTTTTTACCATGATCTAGATGGGGCATACATTCGGTATAATATATTTTCCGGAACTTTTCCAATTAATCTTGTAGTGATTTCATCAGCTGTTGCATTGGATGTGGTGCACACCAATGCATTCTCCGTCGGGTGTTGCCTTACAATCTATTAAACAATAAATCAAAGATAGAAAGAAAAGAAGATAAAATTAAAAGATATCATATAATAGCAGGATATGATATCAAGAAGAAAATGAGATAATCACTTTGCTAAATAAGGGCTCTGATACAAAAATTACCTGACATATTGTTTCGATTAATGTCGCTGTTTTCCCTGTGCCAGACGGACTGAAAATTATATAAGGCGCAGGGTGCGCAGTCTTATTTAAAATCTTCTTTACAGCTTGTTTCTGCTGTTCGTTCTTTGCCACATTAGGATTTACCCATTCAATATCGCTACATAATTTGAGTAATGTTAATAAAACGTTTAAATTTGTCAAATAATAAACTATTAAATTGCAAAACTTACAATTCTACATCTTCGTCGGGAATTTCCATTTCTGGATATATTAAAAGGATCCAGTTGCGCATACTGATTGCCGTTATTGTATAATGACAACAGTGCATTGGCCAATGCTGATTCACGAAACTTATATCAAAATTGCTATTGTTGATTAATTCCGCATCCCTAAATTATTTGTAAAAATAATAATTATATAAATACAAAATGTCTTATTTGTTTTTATTTAACATTAACATTAACAAATAGTATAAAAATTCTTAAAATTTTTATAAATATTTATATATAAAATTGTTTTAAACTTGTACAGAAACATCTAATTGTATCGTTACTTCGTTCTTCGACACTTTTACAACTCTAGTTAAAATATTTCTTTTTGAAACAACATGATAAAGAGATACTTCATCATCAGGTATCATCAGTACAATGACAGACTGTTCACTAGATGACTGTTCACTGTTCAAAGATGATACATCAATGATAAAACAATGTTCCGAATTAGATTTCTTAAGTTTACTATTTTTCAATGAATGTTGTTTCATTTCTTCATTTATTTTAAATTGTTCCAAATATAAACATATTTTTAATATGGCCAAATAATTCTGAATCTCTATCTTTTTTACTTTAGATAAACTTTAAATGCATTTTAAATAATTAGTAGCTTTCTCTGTAAAATTCCAAGGTCCTGATTCATATTTTTATTCATGTTCTAGTGCAAATTTCATACAAGGTGGAATGATACTTTGTGGCAAGCAAAAGTTTTGTGCTTCTAGAAACATTGTTGATTCATTTTTGTTCATTTCTTGATTTTCTCTACTTAATGACGTGGCCAACACGAAAGGGGGGATCTCCGGGAGCTTTTCTGAGTTGCTCTGAATTGGCCTGAACCTTACCTGTAGGAAGATGAAATAGACAAAGGCTGCGTTCCGTAAAGCGCACATATGCGCGCAATGAGCTTAAAGGCGTATCCAGACAAACTTGCATAATCGCATAAACATATGCATAAGAAAATTGATTGGTCTATTTTCTTATGCATTTGCGTATGGACCAATCAATTTTTTCATGTATATGTTTATGCAACTATGCAAGTTTGTCTGGATAATGGCCGGAGCACAGACTTTTGCATAAAGCATAACGCATAAGCATAAGGAAATTG